TTTTACATAGCACTGAACAGAACCACATGGACTGATGAGGCCTGATCTAAGATCAGTGTTCTTACACTGGGGTGCTTAATAAACAAAGGCCATTGTGTGTATGCTCAATGTTTATTATACTTTATGCAATATAAACAATATTTAACTGAGTATTTGCTGCTGATAGCTGTGCGTATGGAATTCAGAGGTTTGTACTGGATGATACAACACGATATGTTTCACACTGTTGCTCTTGGATCTTAAAAATCAGAATATGCAACCAACTTCTAAGACTGAACTTTGGAGATGTGCAAAAACATTCCTGGAGATCTCTTTGAAAAACTGAAAGCAAATCTGAAAAGAACGGCATCTGCAATAAAGGTAAAGAACGGACACACTAAACAATGAAAAATGATATATTTAGTTGTAATTTTCGGTTATAGGTTTCCTGCTTATTAACTAACAAGATGAAATGTGTATTTAATGACCATTGTGACTGGAAAGTAAATAAATGAAAGGGCGGTCTTTGATACTTCGATTACTTTGAAAAGTAATAAGTAATAAGAGAATTAGTAATTAGTAATAAGAAAAACCCTTCTGTGAGTAGATATGTCCCAACTTTTGAGTGGTACTGTAAAGAGCTCTGCTAGAGTGAGGCAGAAATCTGATTCTACTTCACTCTCGCTTTCTAATAAATGTTTGGAATAAAAGCTGAAATTAATTTATAGCTGTGTATCTTTTGAGGTTTCAAGCCTAACTCTCGAGAAGCCGTGTTTTGTGTCCAATGTCGTTCGGCACGTAACTGCATAAAACCAACAATTAACAGAATACAGAAGATGCACACACAGACCGACACACTGCACAACCCTCCCCAAGACAAACAAACACAATTCTACACTAGCAGGACCACTGTCATTCGAAATATAGCCAGCAAATTCCTTATCACTTTTCAATAAAACACAGACGTAAATCACGTTAATTTTTTATATAAAGTGGTTAAAATATGGAAGAATATTGCAATGACATATAATATTTTGCATGAACCTCTTCAGTGTTTTTTTTTTCCTGGAAGACTAGAGTACCACAATTGTAATGTACAATAAATGAATTCCTTAACAGATTAAGTACTGTACCAACTACAAGCATAGATTATTACTTTAAAGAGTGCAATATTCCTTACCAAATTGTATATACTTCCATTATGAGTTGATATCCCCTAAATAATGTAGTTTCTCCCATAAGCAAACCACTCATTTTATTGTATAGTCTATTCCAGTCATTCTGAATTATAAAACAGTTTCCATTTCCTCCGTGATGAACTCCTTTAGCCCTGCACTGTCCTATGTGCTCTAAATGTAAGACGACTATGCGCGGTAGGACTGAAGTGCTTCGTTCTTCTCTCAGCTGCCTGGCTCAAGCTCATTAGGTGGCACTGAGCCTGAGTAACTAGTCATTGGCCAATGGGAGTGTCCGCTATCGGCAGTAGGTTGCCTGATGGGGGCTGCCGTGATCAGAAGCATGTAAACGATGTGAATTTTATTGCAGATCTCCATTTTCTGTGCTGAAATGAAATGTAGTGTCCAAAAATGATGCTATGATTTTGTTCATCCCTGAAAATGTTTATTATTCACTACTAGGGGTGTAAAAATGCATTTGCTGAATCACTCTGAAGGTAGAGATTCAAATGCATAGACTTTGGAATATCCTAGTCTATAATAAAAATAGTTTTAAAAATGCGCACTCATGTTTGTTTTTGTCCAGAATATAAGTTTACGGCTATTTTCAAGTGTGAAAACCACTAGTGTAAACAGTTCCTGTGTGCAGTGTATTTTTAAACTTTGAATCGTACTAAAATAATTACATTGAATCACATCATGGTAAAATGAGAGAAATGCTGTAAATCTATCTTAATAGACTCTTTACACACTTCCGGAGTCAATGCAGTGGAAATCGTCATAATAGGAAAAACATTACAGCAGTGGCGCTGCTTATGAATGAGAAAGACCTGCAAACTCCGCACAGAAAGTACCCTGGTCGCCCGGTCGGGGAATTGAACCCAGGCCTTTCCTGCAGTGAGGCAAGACCACTACCCACTGTACCACCCCCTACATTAAAACAATTTTTCAACAAAACATATTGTTCACTGAGTGAAGCAGTTATATTCAGAGAAAAGCAAGCTTGACGTGATCTACAAGCCTTTCTTTGAGAATTACTTGCCTGACTACGAAGCTGAGGGTCTCATGACAAGTTTCCCAGCAAGGTCAGCTAACATTAGCTGTCTAATGATTACAAGAAAATAGTCAATGTTCTTGTCATCTTCAATGTTTTGTCATCTTTTGGTCATACTACGTGACTTAACCCTACATTTTCATATATTCCCCCTCTTTAAATGTTACTGTGTCCAATGTTGTAAGTAGCCAGACTTTAGTCAGTGTTCTAACTAAGCTAACCAACAAGACAGTTTAATATCACTGACATTAACGTTTACTATACACAAGTGTCAAAACGTACTGACCAACAAAACTGCCACACAGAACCCTGTGGCCGGTCCATATAGTTCACTGGATTATCTACTTCATATCAGATAATTAACCACCAGTTTTTATTTTATTTATATATAAGGTCACATATTCTCTCAGCCATTCACAGCTTTTTACTTCCTTCCTTAAATCCGTATCTCTAATCCATCCAGTGCTGAAACTATGAGCATCAGCAGACTATGATGAATGTCCCTTGTCAAGCTTGCTCTTCTCTGAAAATGAAAACTGCTCCACCAAACGAATGTGTTTGGTGGAACGTCTTTAGGAAGCGATTCAGTGTATGATGACATCTCTCATTTCAACCTTGAAAATCAGTTCAATTATTTTGGTTCAATTCAGAGTTTAAAAATACACTGAATGCACAAATGTGATTGGAGGGACTGCCTACAGTGTAGTGGACTATAGAGAATAAAATCAGGTCAGAGATTTACACCCCTAGTAGCTTCTATAAAAAAATCTGTAACTACTAAAAAAGCTAACGTGTAAGTTGAGTAGCTATAAGAGTGAGGAACTGAAGTGTGGGCCTACAACCAGACCCTTAGAGTTTAAGGGGTTAATGTATGATGGTAGAAGTTGTGATTCACCCGATCTCAGACCCATCACTGTCAAACACACACACTATTTCTAGGTATGCCCGATCAGAATTGCCAATCTGCCAGTTTATTCATTCATACTGGCCAATCTGTGTTGCCACTTTATGATGACGTGAGCAAGGTAAGCGCACTACACCTACATTTGAATGTTGCTGCTGCTACACCTGTACCAGAGACGGAGACTTGGGTCATCAACTCAAACTCGAGTTGCATGTTAAATGACTTGTGATTCAACAAATTTTAGCCTGAGCAAAAAAAAAACCTGATTAAATCAAGCTAATCTTATAGTAAATCAACAGAATCTTAAGCTTCCAACCTCACATGACTTACTGTGCACATCAGTGCTGCTACAGTCATGCTGTCATTACTGCAGTGCTGTTCGCTGCGGCAGATTCGATGCATATATTGAGCCTTTCATTACAGAAAAATCTTCAGTCTAAAGGATAGAACTGAAGCGCTACACAGTAAATGTCTGAAAAGGTAAACTAGCATGTAGTTAGGATAGCAAGCATGCTACCTAGTGCACTAGCTAATCTACACAAAGGTGCCAGCTAAGTTTTAGTCACAGATCACATAACTTTAAAACTAAATAAAACTTCAGCTGGATTAGTTGCACTAGCTAGCTTGTGTGATGTATAAACTACAGACTAACCAATAGTTTTAAGTTGTTTTGCCTCATTTCTTTAAACGAGCCACAGCGTTTCAGTTCAGACTGAAGGTTCTTGTATAATGAAGAGCTTGTTATTTGCAGACCTGATAGGCTGTTAGTTGTGTTTTTACTCGTGTACAGTGCAATGCCTGCAGCTATAAACAAGACTAAACTAAAATTCTCTGCTGAAAACTCAAGATTTGACCAGCATACTGATGCATGCCTCATTGAGCTAAATAGCCAGTTGCCACTCACTTTCAAATAGCACTCTGGCTAACAGAAATGACTGAAAATGTGCTCGGTTTAAATTGGCCACACAAATTGGATGTAAAGAAAAATCCGAAATCGGAATAAAAATTGATGATCGGTGCATCCCCAACTTCCTATTTATAATACAGGTTCTGTATGACCTACAGTGCATATGAATAAAGCTTCGATCTGGTCTGCACATTATATTAAGCCTAAACCAAAACTAAATCCCACTGACATTGCAGGTTTAATCCCAATGAGTCTGTGTTTAATCTATATTAGAAATCTAACTGTTAACCTTCGAATAGCAGCCTTGCCTTTAGAATAACTGTGCAAGACAGGTTAAGTAACGTGGAGCGAGTAGACATAAAATTCCTATGAGGTTTCAAAACACACTTCGGGCTAAGTTTAGCCTCCCCTAAGCCCCCCAGACCACTGGTGTGCATGACTGCATGTGTGTGTAAAACCGAGTACTTCAACTTTTCACTGTATGGATGAAGTGTCAACATTGGTTCACTGTGTGGTGGCCTATGAAGCCGCTAAACAGTCTAATAAAACTGCAGTACTTACACCCAGTGAAATGACAAATTCTGCTAGCAGACCACTGTAAGCTGGAAGACCCTTGGTATATGCTGGGAGATGGAGGAGTTCAACCTTTTCTTAAAGGCAAATTATGAAAAGCAAATTAAAAAAAGCACAGCCCTTTCACAAAAGCACTGTGGAAATAAAATGACTTACAAGAAAAAAAAAACCCTGCGCTCAAATCTAACTGTTAAAAAACCATGGCAGCGTAAAGAAATGTGTACATTCTGACCGTTAGAAAAAGTACTAGTGTTGCACGGGAGCCAGTGTTAACAGCAGCGAACCGGTCATTGTTGGTCAGTGTAGTGGAGAGTGTTTGTTTTGTTTTAAATGCTGGTAGATGTAGGTCAGAGATTCTATTGTAATATTAAAAAAACAAACAAATCGAGTGAGCAGCTTTAACGAAATCACCAAGAACACATAAAGTGACCGTTGCTCTTTCAGTATTTGTACTTGCAGAAGGACTCAGTGCCCCAGTGCGGACTGCTGCATCCACGTAAGACTGGAACTGTGAACGATGCTGGACTCCAGATCTACAGCAAGAACAGCAGCAGAAGAGAAAAAGAAAGGAAGAGATAAAACAAAACACAAGAAGAGTTATTCTCTGCTAGGGGCTGTTTAAGCACTTTTGAATATGACATCGTGGTACAATCAAGCCTTAAAGTATCAAATATTAATCTCTAGATTTAAAGACAAATTTTCATGCATATTTATCCACTATATGATTAGTCACGCCTGCGATTGCACCAAATATTTAATAAAGGAATAAGCCATGCATTATAGTGATTTTACCACAGTTAAGGGTGTTGTTAGGCATGTATAGTATACTCCCTTACCTGTGATAGAATCACTGTAACGCACAGCCTCAAGTGGCTTGTTGCTTTTATAAAATGGTTGACTACATATGATAAAATACTCATTTTAAGTAATTATTAAAATAATCGAGATAAACAATTATTCCGCCTAAAACCGTAGTTCCTTCAGAGTGCGTTATTGATAGCACCAAGCTAACGATATTGCACGTCCCTTATCCCAGGCTGGGGCTAAATCTCAAATGGCTCCCTGCTTTTAGTGCACTACAAAAGAATTAGAACACTGGCTCTTGCACTCAAACAGTGCATAAGAGCGGATAATGACAAATAGTCATTTGAGAGTCAGCCACATCCATACTGGACAAATAGTGCGCTATTTGGATGTAAAAGCTAGATTTTCACAACTTTCAAAGCGATTTGAGACTCAGCCTGCTACTTAATGCAGATCTGACTAAAACATGGACATTTAAAGCATGTAAGACATTCAATTGACATATCTTTTCGGCTTTTATATTGTATTTTTACAGTGAATCATATAGTAAGTACTTCAATTCAAAGCCTATGATATTAATGGAGGAGTTGTTTAGCCTATTTGCTATCTTTTAGCCTGTGAGCCAGCTGATCAGCCTCTTGTCAGCCCCTCAGTTTAAAACAATAGTGAACTCTTACTTCATCAATACACTCTGTGATCCATGTGAGCTGCTTTAGAGTCAAAGATTACTCCATTAACAGCACAAGAATCTTTCTGTTACAGTGGCTTCAAACGAAGCTCAGACAATCAGATTTTAGGACACTGTAAAAGCAAACAAAATGTAAAAGCCATTCAAATAAACTCCATGTTTACCACTTCTATGAAGCCATGCATGTTCCTTTGGAAACAAACGTGCTTTTATCTAGACAAACCAGCGCACACCAGACTGGAGATTGTGATTTGGCACAGTTTATGAAGTAACAGTGTCAGTTTCAACTCCAGGTGCAGTCAAAAAAAGTTTCCTACTGCTCTGGATGGCTCGCTAGCAGTTCTCAGCTGCATTTATTACTGAGAATAAATGAGAAAATAATAATAATAATTAGAATGATAAAAACAATAAGAATAAAAAAAATCTTCCATTCAGTTATTAAAAGGGAACCGTATCTTGAGCTTTTCCTATTGTTATAGAATATTCAGAAACAAAAATATTCAACACTTGCAGCTGAAGTCAAGCCAAAAGAAAGAGATGAGACTGGCATACACTGCCCACCAAGAGTCTGGGGACACTGTCTCCTTCTGCCTTTGGTGCCGGTCTTTAGTAATTTCATATACTGCAATACTCAACACGTTACTGATATTAAAAAAAAACATTGTGAACAAAAATGTTTATGTATGTTTCAACGTGTTTTTGTTTGAAATACAATATCATAATAATAGTGAAAACCATGATAAAAGGTTATGTTACTGATATTTAACAAAATGAATATTATAAGTAGTGTTTGTTTCTCAATGCTACTTCTCAATAAAGAAAAATATATGTATAGGTTATCTTAACATAAAACAACTATTTGCAAAAACTTTTTTTTGCAATTCTCAGCTTCATTAAAGTCAAATTTATGTTTTGACAGTTTCTTTTCTAAACTTTTGTTAGAAATATATACTGAAACACTTTTTGTCCCTAAAAGTGGTTTAAACCTCTGAAAGGTTTAAGTACCTGAGTGCTGATATGCAAACAAGGGGAGAAATGCATGGCCATTAGTTTTATTCCTAAGATACAATTTTTGTAAGTTGTTCCTTCAGCTTTGCAGAAAAATGGCACAAATCAAAACAGCTGTCTATTTATTTTTTTGTATTTCATTTTTAAGGTCATTAAAATAATGCCATTTGTTTGGATTCATGCACCAAAAACAGTAATTAATTTGTACATGACCATTTTCTTACTTCTCTTTATTTGTTACTTTGCCTTTAGAACACATATATATATATATGTGTAAATAAGCTCTGTTCTGATTGGCTGCCCTGTGCTTCAAAACTTGCTGCAAGCTGAATGGGTGGGTCTTCAAATACACTGAATTCAAAACTGCTGCTTTACAGTTTTATTTTTTATATATTGACAGTAAGGATCGTGTAGTGATTGTATGTTTTTGGCACTTTAACCCCTTACGTGGAGTTTGCATCGAAGTCCCTGGTGTTACTGAATAATAAACCTTAGTATGTAATAAGCCTGGAATTTTAAGGGGTTAACAATGTTTACATGCTATCAAACTGTTACTCTTAAAATACGGTTTTTAATTATATTTGCCCTTTGATATGTTACGTTACTACAAACCAACAAAGAAACAAAGCTCATTTTTTAAAAAAACAGAGAAAAGCTACTCCCCAAACATTGGTAAGCAGTGTATCTGCCTCACAAACTGCAAAAAAAATGCATTTTGGCAGATTATGAGCTGCTATGAGCCGTCGCTTCACTTCCCTCCATGTCTGTCTTAACAGAGAGTTCGGCTTACTTTAATGTCTCTCCAGAGAGGAGGACCCACTCACATGCAGTGGACTGGCAGCTCTACCAGTGCGGAGGCACATAGCTGTAGCCGGGCGTCCCTTGCGGCCTGTACGTTGGCACGGTAACTGGGTGGGTGCCGATGTGTTGTGTGTGCTGCGGTGTGGTCAGCAGAGGTCCTGAGAACATGAGAACACACACATGCAATAAAAGTGTTGTTCACACAGAAAATGCATCTTTGGCAATTGCAAAAAAACACAATCCTTCAGAATCTGATGCAGCTACAAATATTTCAACAGCATACAAATACTCTGCATAGTCTTAAGTCTTAAGAAAAGTCTAAAGACTTTTCAACATGGACAAAAGTGCCCAAAATTCAGGTTTTACAATGGATCTTACTACTGCTTTTAGCTACGTAATATACTTTTATTCATTTTTATACATACCAGTGTGTCACGGTCTCAGAAACCACATAAGCAAGTCTATACTTATCATAGTTTAAGGTTAAAGCTAACTGGTGGATATAAGCTTCCATTATTTGTTAGCTACGTTGGCCTTTCAGCTATAATGCAAAACTAAAGAACTACACTTCAGACTCCAAACATGTCTTGGCTGGTCAACTACATTAAGGATAAGGAGAAATCTGTAAATGATCAAAATGGGATGCACTTCAGAGCACAACAAAGGCATTATAAGCGTTCCAGCTTCAGGGCAGATTCCATTCATGAGTAAAACTTGCACTAGGTCAGGGGTCGGCAACATGCAGCTCTTTTACTGCCCTGTTGCGGCACCACAGCAGAATTAGAAGTAAAAATAAAATAATCCTCCTTTGCATTAATTCATTCTGACACACCATTCCAACACAGTTTTAGCAATAAATGGCCTTAAACACTGGAGTTAAAGCAGCCTATGACTGCTCATTCATCAACCTTTAACCCTGAAGATTGGCGCACAGACTGCTGGTCACCACAGCAACACAGACAAGTCTTGTCTAGCTAGAATCTCTTTTGCCAGGTTCTTGTTCAAATTTTCGAGGAGTTACATTCTGGCCCCTCAGGCACCATTTAAGGTGGAATGGGAAATTGAAGCTGACAGATGAGAAGCTGACTTCAGCCTCGTAAAAATTCGAATGTCGCTAGAGATTTTACAAGAAACTATTCTACTTATGCAGAAAGGTTTCCTGCCAGAGATGCGAGAAAAGCATCTATAGCTGAGCTAAAGCTCATAGCCGAGCAAAGTAAGTCTGCATTTTCATTTATATTTTTTAGCCTATGCTAGTAGCACATACTGAGACATGTTTACAGCCAAGATGGTAAAATGGACATAACACGTTGTGGCTCCCAGGGTGCTCTGATTTTTGTTGAAAGGACAAAACGGCTCTTCTTAACATTTGGGTTGCGACCCCTGCACTAGTCTGAAACCCTTTAAGCTGGAGGTGTGACAGTACCTGCAGACATGGCCATAGTGGAGCCGGTGAGCATGCCCATCGTCACGTTGTTGGGGCGAGCGGCGGGGACTGGAGCGGGGTAAATGGCCGAAGGCAGGCTGTTGGGCTGCACCACTGTGGTATGATGGATTACGTGCGGCTGCGCAAACATCGGCTGCGAGTAGTAAGCACCCTACACAGATGGGATAAAGGGGAGAGAGAGAGAGAGAGAGAGAGAGAGAGAGAGAGAGAAAGAGAGAACAAAAATAAAACAACTGCATAAAGAATACTAAAAAATAGGCCCATACCAAATTAATTTTTGTGACCATTTCAATACTAGGTGTAATAAACGTGTCACATAAAATGGCAAATATAACCACTACAAAGTAATGCTTTGTTAAGAATCAGCCAATAATAAGAACTAATACAAATAGCATCTGCTAGGTATTATATACTTTTGTAAAGCTATGGAAAAACTATACTACTGTTTTATTAAACAATGAATTTTTTTTATTTAAAAGAATTACACATTTTTAGTGTTCAGTTTGTCAACTCTCCTCTTTTTTAGCTTCTCAAGATTCAAGTAATTCCACGGTCAGTAAAACCTTACTCCACATCTCAGATGTTTAGTTTCAGTGTTTGAGCCAATATTTTTCTACATTACCTGTTTTCTTTCTCAGTGAGGGCATTTTGACAGCTACACATCCTTTCAGACCCATATTTCCTTTTCAAAGATGAAAGCTTTATGCTTTTTATCTGAGGGGGACAGTTTTGGTGGTCTACCAGGTTTGTACCTGGTAGACCACCTCACTTCCTCTGTATCTTTAATCACTTTGCAGGTGGACTATTTTATATCTCCTCTCCGACAGCCATTTTAGACGCATATGAGGAAGAAATGTGTGAGGTGGTTAAAGTGAGTTAGGCTGGGCGTACGCCACACGACCTTTAAAATCTTAACAGATTTCACTCGTTTCTCCTCTCGCTCTATCAGCTCCCGACCTGGAAAATCACTTCAGATTGTGAAAATTAGTTGTAAAGGCCAAATCGGGGTTACCATCAAGCAAAGGATCATATAGTGTAGGCCCAGCTTTAGTGCAGTTGCTTGTGTGAATGTTAGTGTCCCTTAAGCGGAACATACTGTCAGTGACAAACACTGTTAGATTGATGTTATACTTTGTGTTGGAGGCTTCTGTGTTTTCTGTTAAATATTCTGTCGCTGCCCAAGGAACAACATGTATCTTCATTTATGCTGATTTATTTTTCATCATTTGAACACAGCAGCTGTCCTTGAACAGCTTCCAATAATGGCTGTCTTGACTGGAAACTGAATAAATGAAAATGGTCTCTGACTTTACACAGTACTGTACAGTTTACAGTTTTAATCTAATTTTCACTGAAGCGCAATTCCACACCATAGACATTTCTGCTTCTGTATCATCATTATCTGGCTATATCTTGTGTCATCAGGTCATTAAATGCTTGCAAGCGCCTCATAATGTCATCAACCTAATGCTTCTGGTACTTGATCAAATACTTAAAGTGCTTGACGGGCCTGATTCCAATACTGCCAATACTATTGATTCCCTACTTTATAAATTAACTCCTAGCTCAGGAGATGGGCAGCTTTGGATCAAAGAATACCTGAGTGTAGAGGTTCTGTTGGGGGTAGGCACTTCTGATGGGGTACATGGCCGTGGAGTAGGGGTTGGGGGATGCCGAATAAGGAGGTGGGGCTCCATTGGTTTGTGTTGGGGGGACCTTGTATGGCGCTCCTGTTGTGTATCCTATAAAGAGAAAGAGAGAGAGAGAGAACCTTATGATAGGGTGACTTTCCATACTGAATCATACCAGGGATACAGCACATGAGTGTGACTTCAGAGTACATGCGCGTAAGCTTTACCTGGCGGGTATCCCGGGGTGCCTGTCTGGTAGACGTTGGGAGTGTACGCAGGAGCTGTGGTGGGATAACCTGCAGGATAGCCTGAAGACAGACAGAGATCACAGAGCGTCAGGATAAGAGCAAAAGGAAATGTGTGTTCGAGGTAGTGGTGGAGGATGAACGTTATTATGATAAATTACATCATATTTTTGTTAGAATATCATGGGTATCGTCAGTACACTGAACAACAGTGCGTATCATAAAAAAGACAGATTTAATCGATTATAAATAACCTGTAAAAACTAGTCTATCTTAACTGCAAAAAACTAACAAGCAGCTTATTTTATCTATTTTTATCAGTGGTGTGAGTTTTTTCCTATTGTTCCTTCTTACAAAGTTTAAGTCTGCAAACACTGAAATAAGGAAAGTCTAACGTGGCACTACTGCTTTGCTTGTGCACTGTGTCTATGTCAACTTCTCCACAAATCTAAGAATAACAAATCATTATAATAGACATTGAGTATATTAGGGTTGTGAATCTTCAAGTGCACATCAAATCCATTTGATTCAAATGCAATTTTTTGTAATTTAAGAATGAATTGTTATGATTAAAAAAAACGTTAATACAAAACGCTTCTTATTGTTTTTAAATCGATTCGATTCTTGATTCATTGGTTTCCGATTCAATTCAAAACCAATCTTTTATATTTTAAGAAACTGATTTGGTGATTTGATTCGGAAATTCAATTCAGCGATTCAAGCTTCTTTGAGAAATATTACGCTGGATTAAAATAGAAAAATATTAGCTAAATCAGGAAGTTTTGGCCATAGAATGTTTCTAACAGAAGAAATATCTGCAGTGTCCACACACTGCCAATGATTTGTCTAAGTGAGTGGGTCTCCACTTGGGGCTCACGAGATAATTTGAGGGGTCAACAGACATGTTTTTTTTCAGTTCATGTTCAGTATAGCCTGATTCTTCCAAATAAAGTATAGCCTGATCCTTCCATATAAACTCAAGAGAGGAAAAAAAAGAACAAAAACTTTTTACTGGAAGAGAAAAGAAAGACTGATCGAGAGAGAAAATTACTTTCTCAAGCTGTAATTCCGCTAAACTGCTTTTGTGTTGGGTCTGTGATTAATTGTCTCCCTAAACTGTTCTACACTCCAGAGGTAATCAGCCAGAGCAAGCGTCAGACCACTTTTATTTTCTTTGGACACAACCAGACTAGAGGGAATATGAGTGGGAAAACGAATCAGTCCATCTACATCAGTGTTTCCTTGCCCTGGTCCTCAAATACCCCTGCACTGCATGCTAGGGTCAGCTAATGAACAAGTCGCTGGAGTTTAAAATGGGTGTGTTAAAGCAGCACAAGCACCAAAATATGCAGTGTAGAGATTACACATAATGACCAAAATGAAACATAACGATCATGATTCATGACCATTCACACGTTCCATTTTAACCCTTAGAATTTATTGCTAGTCATTTTGTTATGTATTTAATTTACAATACTGTGCAAAGGTCATTTATTTAATTTTCACTCAGAATATTAGGTTTGTTATTCATTTCTGAGGAGATATTTCTGAGGAGTTAACAAAACTTAGAGTTAAAAAAAGATCAAAATCAAGCTCGACACTTGCTCCAGATCTGAAAAATCCATGTGTTTATTTCCATTCTTCCACAGTGAGAAGAACAACTCAGCGCTGTGGGTCTGAAAGGATGTGTAGCTGTCAAGAAGCCCTCACTGAGAAAAGAAATAGCAAATGAAACAAAGGGGCTGCTGCTGGTCTGCTTAGAACAATGGACAGAGGCTCATGTGTGTTTTTCTTTCTCCAAGACTGTGCACACAATAACTTTCCATCAAATTCATATAATCATAAAATATCTCCTCTTCTTCTTACAAACACAAACGTGGTGTGGAAGTTAAAAGGGCCAATACCATCTCACCTCTTGACCCTAACACTTAGCCCTACCCCTCCGTTTTGTGCGTTCACACTTAGGGATAGGGTGTCCCAATTTTTGTTGAGATAGAGGGGTGGGTGATGTGTTAGGGCTACATGGCCCTCCAAACTGAGGAGTGTTATGAGAAAAAAAGAAAAATCAGCAAGATGGCTGAGCAAGCAACCAAAGAAACCCATGTAATAGTTTCTCAGTTAGAAATCACGATAACCGTTGTATAATAAGTTTAATGCTGTTTCAATGTATTATGGTCCTTTTCTTCATAACAAGCAAAAGTCACTAGTAGTTTGCTGATGTCTCGGTAGCTAGCTAGCTAAATTTCCTGTTCCACCTTAAATGGAACAGCAGTTACATTCTGGTGCGTCAGGCACTGCTGCACCATTTAAGGTGGAACGGGAAAATTCGAACAAGAAGCTGATGAACAGCTGACTTCAGCTTCATATCACCGAAGAATTAGGGGTGGGTGACAATAAATAACTGTCGCATCCCCCCTCTTTGAAGGCATGTGACTCCCTAAATGTAAGTAAAGCCCAGCAGTGAGGAGCTGAACTTTACCTTCCTCTGCCATCACTGCAGACTGGCAGGGTCACCTACAGAGCAGCGCTAGTAGCCTGTTAATGAAGTAATGCTCTTTTTATTTGAGGGTTGTTCCATTTTGTAAGGGAAGATTTCAACCACTACCCCTTGTAACTCAGTTTCAAAGGGTAAGGTGACACTCAAAAACAAGGGGTTGGGGTAAAAATATGGGCCAAAGAATCTGCACTTTCCACAGAATTCTTTAACCTGTTTCAATGCGCAAAGAGTGAAAAATACCATAAAACACAGCCTGCTTTTGTTATTGATGAAAATAACTACGGCTCATCAGGCTTCATCTGTCACAAACAGGTCATAGTGAGAATACAATCCGTTCCTTTCTAATTACACTTCACAATTTTGAAGAAAAACATGCTTGAGAGTGTAGAGAAGCTCACCTGGGTACGCCACGTTCTTCGGGTTTGCGTACGCAGCGCCTGGCTGCACAGGACCGTAGACAGGATTCATACCGGTAGTTGCTCGGCCCTTACTGGAGGGGAAGGAGGGCCGGAGTGAGAGAGAGACAGAGGAGAAAAGGATAAAAATGTTAGCGTAAATCACACGACGACGGGCGGCTGTAAAAACAGATAACCCAGCAAAGCCGATGTTTCACCCTAAAAATAAATGACTCCGATTCTTCTAGATGAGAAGGTTTCAAAAACTCTGCCGCTGCCGTTTCTGTCTGATATGAATGATGAAGTTTATTGTCAGAGATTAAAAAACAGCTTATACGAAGAGACTGAGAAACAGAGGAAACAGAATGTCCAGACAGAATTATAGACAGATGAGCAGAGATGAGACAGAGAAACTGTACAAAGCAAACAGAAATCGATCACGTCAAACACTGAATAATTAACACAAAGGAGAGGTAACACCTCACGTTAAAATCAAAGGACCTAAAACATAGCATGATGGATGGCACGTGAGAGGGATCGTGTGATAACGTGCTACAGGAGAGTTAAGCTGAGAAGCGACTGACAGGCGGAGGGGATAATGCGGTGAGGAAGCAGAGGATGGTGCTGTGATAGATGAGGAGAGTGATGTGGAGAGGAGAAAGAGGACTATGATAGATGGACGCACTGGCTGTTTATGACACCTCGTAAATAGACTCCCTTAGAGAATATAACTAGAGGACGCATCATAGTCCGGCTGATGGGATGGCGCGAGTCGTGGCTGTAAATCTCTCATGCGTGGCTGGGACGAGTGTTCCCCGTGCCCTAAATGCTAAGGACGCTGCTAGAGTTTCTGAAGAGCAATCACCCCATAATATGGTACAATCACAATGCATGAATTATGACACAATCCTACTAAGAGCTTTGGTCTTACGCTCACCAGAAAGGACAATGCAGAACATTCTGAAACTCTCCTACAGACATTTTACCCGATTACCCCAATTTACCTGATTTTCCTCTTATTCCAGGTGTGGTCGACCAGCCAGGACATGTCTGGTGGCCAAAACGTGCTTCTGTAGTTTAGCTACCAGGATAATGCTGCTAACACTGGAAGTCAACAGTCACCCAAATCCTCTCCATAAACACATCCCCAAAACTTCTCAACCCACTCAAACTGCATCCAGGTCTTTATTAGGGTCGTGCAGACTTGCGATGTGGTTTAGGACCCAGTATGACTTACTGTTATCTATAAAAGTGACCAAAACTTCACAACGCATAGTCGTTTGGGCAGCCACTTTAAGGTGCTGTGCTGAAATTTGACTGCACACCTCATGCAAGCATAGACAGACTACATTTACAATTTCTGTTGTTTCTTTTTATAAATAACTACTAATATTGAATACCTGTCCAGGGTGTATCCTGCCTTCCGCCCAATGACAGCTGGGATAGGCTCCAGCACCCACAACCCAAAACCCAAGAGGATAAGCAATTTAGAAATGTGTGCTAATATTGAAGGTTCAAAATGAAGACAGGTACTGCTAACACAGCTGGCCTTGGCCTGTTCTCAGCTTTGGTTTAGTGCTTGATTTAGCAGCGCCTGGTTTAGCTGCAGCCGTAGGATGGAACTGTCATAAAATCATCTTTATGTTGTGTACATCGTCTATAAACAACAGCCTCCATTTACACTGTGTAAACACTTCATGACGAATGGACCAACAGAATTTCGAAAAAAGAAAAAGATCTGTTTAGTTTACATAAAAGCTGACAGAGATCATCAAGTTGAGAACAATCTTTCCCCCTCCTGTAAAGTTTCCATTGCAAAGGCACGTTTTCTTACAACAGCAACAAATTACCATCTGTTCTTGACGCACCAAAGACTGTGGTGGTTCCTGTAAGGCCTATAAATATAACATTGTTCTGGTAGGGAAAACATCTATTTGTGAGTTTTCTGACCAATACTGCGACTGCATTTTAAATGTGATTATTATGCGGTTCCTTGCATAAAACATCTTAAGTGAACGTTGGCCATAAGTGTCCCCTTTACTTTAAAGAAATAAGCAGGCAAAAAACAAAAATACCCTTTTTTCACTCCACAGCTGGTCAATCAGTCAAGACATGTTTGGAGTCCTAATTCTAACACTGCTTAAAAACACTAGAAGTCAAATTGTTTCTGTAAAAATGCATCATTAAAACTTCTCTGAACTCAGTCAAACCGCATCCGGGTCTTCTTCAATATTGCACAGACTTGTTGATGCACTAATGTCACTACATGTCATTAATCAAAATACTAGCTCCCTCCATGGACATGGATGCTACAGATGGACACTACAGATTTTTTTTTGTTGTTTTTTTTGTTTTTTTGTTGTTTCTTTTTATGAATAAATGTTAATAATCCTGAACAAAACAAGCTGAAGATGTATGTTTATAAAAGAAACAGCAGAAATTGTAAGTATAACCTAAATTCAGTACTTGTTGTTTAAAATATCTGCCTGCTGAGTTCAGCTACATGGTGTAGTTTTGTTCATTTTATAGCTCACAGTGAGTCCCATCATGTCCACAGTGTCAAGTCTGTGTGACCCTAATGAGGAGCTGGATGTGGTCTGAGAGGGCTGAGTTAAGTTTTGGGATGTATTCACAGAACAGATTTGGGTGACTATTGAATTCTGCTGTTAGCAGCGTTAGTCCCACAGCTCCAGCACTAAACTAAACAAGCAAAACCTGGACTTCGAACATGTCTTGGCTGACTAATTACATCTGGGATAAAAGGGAAACTGTGTGAATTAGATTTTTTTCCAAAACCTTTCCTTTAATAACACAAGTCAAGTCTTTTTTTTAAGATGTTTTGTCAGTTATAATTGAAAGAGAGACAAAATAATGAAACATTACATAACAAACATGCAAATTTCAATGACATGACAAGACTGCATACTACCATATTTCAAGGGCTGTTAGTGGGAACCATTCAAAACAGGGCAGATCACAAGGGCAAATGTTTAATTCAGTTAAAGAGGCCCTTATTCATCAAAGTTTGTGCGAACAACTGCGCAGATTTGACCACCTTTAATGACGTACGAACAGCTTTGCTTCTGATTCATGACGTGACGTGGAAACGAGCAGAGATTTGAGCTTAAATGATGATTCAGCTTCAGTGCGTGAAATCAAGCGCCAGTCTACCAGCACCACATTTACATATCATTTGCATAAAGCACAAATGTTTCAGTAGGGAGCCAATAAAATGACAGCATTCAGTGGCTCGTGGGCCAATGGCTGCACTCGTAGGCGAAGTTTAAGAGAGAGCAGTGAGTGCACTGTTCCCCCTACTGATGAAACTTTCTAGTGTTAAAATTACAAGAATAAAACATGAATTAAACAAAACAACTTAGTGTTTTTAATACAGTAGAATGATGAGACTCTGTGGTAAAATAACATGTACACACTGTATTATAGAAGCTCCTGCACTAGCTGTGTTTTGTATTTTTTTATTTTTTTGAGTCAGTAGGATAAAACAAAATATGTCTTTAAATGGAACATAGAACAGTTGCAGCTTTTGATTATACCAATGTGCAATTAAAATAAAATTAAAAAGTGCATTCAGTCATGTGCTGGATTGCTATGTGCACATGTTATGTGTTATTGTTATTTTCCACTATTTTTATTATTGATATTATGCATAATATTGATAATAGTTCTAGTCACTTAACTGCAAATCAAGCATTTTTCAGGTTGTTAAACTATTACATTTATTATATTTACACACATTCCTACCAGACGCGAGTTTGTACAGATACACTAAAGGTTAAACAGACGAATAATGAAACTGTGATGAGGTCATTTTACGATCAGATTTGACCGTATGCAACTTTGATGAATAAGGGCCACTGAGAAGGTACCGTGAGGAAAGCATTAGGGGGGGGACTTTGAGCAACACACTAACCTCTTCAAGTTCTGAGAGCTTTCTGGTGGGTATAAGAAAGCAAATTTGTCAATGGGGTGCCCACTTGCCATGTTCTGAGGGGGCTAGTGTAGGTGGAGTGGAAAAGCGTGTGCAAATCTGAAAAAATCAAAACAGATCATGATCACAGTGGGTAAGAAAGCAGAGCGAAGCAAAAGCAAAGCAAGGCAGAAGCAGCACTGAGACAACAACAGGCTGTTTACACACAGACACGGGCAGATGGACACAGACACGACAGTCATATGCAGGTCTGATGGTGAGCAACCACTAAAAAGGAATCCCACCGATTTTTCAAAATTTCAGCATAATTAAGTTGCTAAGATGTAAACAAAGTCATTTAGAGTCTTTTAATGTGAAATGCACTTTTCTAGAGAACATTCAGGATTGTTTACAGCGGTGGTGATAGGAACCAGACGTCTGAAAGGTTTAATGCATCTAAAAGCTCCCTCACAGGAAGTAATTACACAAAATGGTTATTTATGTGCTGCCTGAGACACTGTTACACAAAAGGTTTGCTAAATATATTTATAGTGAAGTGGTCCAGTACTGTGCAAAAATCAGAGATCGTCTGATTTCTTTTCCAGTCAAAACAGCCTTGAAGTACAATTTTTTAGCATCAGGGAAAAACCAGAAAACATAAATTTAACAATAAATTACACAGAAGACTCAACAAACTAATTATAATCTCATTTTTCAGTATTTACACTCTTTACTCTTATTACAGCTTCCATTCTTTTCCCGAGACTCGCTTTCAGCTTTTCAAAGAAATCTGCAGGGATATTTTTTGAGTCTTAGAAGCTGGTTGCATTTTCTGCTTCTCAAAATCTAGGTAACCCAAACACATCCAGTGATATCGAGGTCTGGACTCGAACATTGTTCTGAGAACACCAGCAGCTTCTCTGTTTGATTTCTCCTTATTTATCTATCTTTTCTCAGTAAAGGTGACCTGAGTCCCACTTTCTCTGTATCTTTTAATCATTTTTTGAACTCCTTTTTTCCTCCTTCCTTATGCAAGTGGATTATCGTTTATCTAATCTCCTCAGAAATATCTCCTGAAAAATGAATAACTTGTACTTAATGGCCGTTTTGACTGGAAATTAAACAAATGTACAGTCCCTGATTTTTGCAGAGTGCTGTGCATGCAGGGTGTTGTTAGGAAAAATATTATATTTACCAGTATTTTACTTAGATTGCTTGGATTTCCGCTATTTTACCATAATCAACATATAAAACATGCCTAGGTTCACTGGTGGTTTTGGATATCAAATAAATGGCTATATTTGTGTTAGTCACTGTGACCCCTGATTCCTATCACCACCACTGTAAAGAAATCTGAATCAGTAACCACTTCACATCAAACCACTCTGAATGACTGTTTACATCTCAAACACAGAATTACGCAAAGGTATTTAAAAACTGGTGGAATTCCCCTTTAATGGCTTTGAGCTTATTCAAAATGACATGTACAGTGCTAGTAAAATACAATACAGTCCTTTTTATTTTTCTATCGTGTATGGCTTATTTCAAGGGTGTAGTGCTGTGTTGATTTTAATCATTTGAATTAATTAGGCAGTTAGATAACCTGCAAACATTTCAATATTTTGTATTCCAGGTTAGTTGATACCAGTGAGTAATTTCCACAGCGTGATCAGTCAGTATGAGATGTTTACATGTGAAATGTACTGTACTTGGTGTGAAGCGGGTTCACACTGAGCAGACTGTGTATTTACACAAAGGTGGTTGATTGTATTTTGATTCACTGGCTTTTTAATTGCCATATTTTTATACCACCCCACTGATACTGATACCACAGAGAGGCCCACGCACAATCAATCATGATCTCAGAGCAAGTTAACAGAACATATTATGTGGTGGTACAGTGTGTGTGCGTGTGTGTGTGTGTGTGTGTGTGTGCTCTGTGGGCTTTACAGGCTCTTTTTTGCTTTATATTTTTCTTAAGAAAATGTTTTATACATATTTTCATGTAACATCTGTTTACCTGGGCAATAAGCATCTAATTTTCTTTAGAAAATAATAGTATTACAATAAATACAAATAAAATTAATACAATAAGTAGTAATTTTGTGTTGATGTGTTTATTTAACCATTTTCAAACCTCTCCCTGAGGAAGCCCAGTACTATTTATTGTCATCATCCAATTCATGGTTTGTGACATTTGGCAGAATGTCACATTACGCATAGGGGTGGGCGACGTGGCAAAAATATTAGGCTATATCAAGATAATTCAAGACGTTTTAACAATACACAACCTGCATCACAATACTGAGTCATTCTGAGATTTAATAAGTTGTATTATAAAACAGACCGTTCTGGTCCTAAAATCTGATTGGCTGTGCCGCGATCGAAGCCGTTGTAAAATCCACGATATATCACGGCTACGACCGCCTCTCAACAACTGAACTCTTTAATACTGCGCCACGGCACGAAAAACCCTTCTGTTGTTAGTGGATTATTCTTTGACTTTAATGCTGATCGCACGGATCATCGAGTGTACTGATGAAGTAAGAACCCGTTTTTGTTTAAACTGAGGGGCTGACAACTTATTTTCTTTACTAGAACTTGGCTGGTCAGCTAGTTAACAGGCTAAAACATAGCAAACATGCTAAACAACTCCAACATTAATATCATAGGTTTGATTCGCTGAAAAACAGCAATAGAAAAGTCTAAAGAATGTCAACTGAATGGATTATACGCTTCAAATATCTGTGTTCCAGTCAGAAGTAACGTTAGCGTCAAACCCAGACTGAGTCCCAAACGGCTCTGTACTCCCTAGCTAAATAGTGAGCTGTGTAACATTAAGTTCAGAAATTCTACCTTCTGCTGTCAAATATTGCACTGCCTGCCGAGTATGACTGAGGATGAATCCCAAATGACCATTTAGCAATATTTTGCATTGTTAGGCTGCAGGAGTCAGTATTTAAATTCCTACGTAGTGCACTATGTAGGGAGCAGGGAGCTGTTTGAGATTCAGCCCCAGAAAAAGACTTGCGGTGGTAATTTGGTGACCAAAAAATACTTATAAACTGCGACCATTTTATAAAAGCAATAAGCCACTCGAGGCAGTGCGTTACTGTGATTTTATTACAGGGAAGGGAGTTTTACTCCGCTTCGCGTCGTGCCAAAGAACACCCTTCCCCATGATAAAATCGCAGTAACCTACGGCATCTCGTGGCTTATCGCTTTAGTAGACAAGATAGAACCTGGAGTGCAACATAAAAAAATACTATAATAATGATAATAAACCTACAACTACAATGATTTGTATCCAATGATTCAAAAACTGTGCCGCACTAAATCCAAATAAACAGGACTAAATATGCTCACTTTGTAATGAAACATGTAGTTAGTCAGTATTCGAGTACTGACGATATCCTCAGAAAGTGTATTGTGAAATAATTTATCACGATAATGTTAAAATATAGTCATATTGCCCAACTCTAATTATGCACATACTAAACATGGAGTGTCCTGACTGCAGTGTTAACTGGTAGACTAGCATATCTTATGTGAACGATGTGGCTGTATTATCTACGAAAACACAAAGATCAGACTGAGTCAGTATCAGCCAACATCCAATAACTAGCCGAAAACTAGCAGGGATCCAAGATCATTTAACTGGCAGTGGACAGATGTTCAGATTCGACCGATATTTCAAACTGATATTTAATGATGGTGCTTTAAGGGTTCTTTGGTGAAGAAAATGGTTCTATATAGAACCGTGAACACTCAGAGAACCATTTGCATGATTAAGGGGTTCTAGGAATCACGAAAGGTTTCTTCAGACTGATGGAAAATGTGCCGTAGATGGTTCTATACAGAACCTTTTTGAAAATGGTTGTATACAGCACCTATATACCTACATAGCACCTTTTCAAAATGGTTCTATATAGAACCATCTTTAGCACATAAAGGAAAATTTTCCATCAATCTGAAGAACTCTTTCATGATGCAAAGAACCCTTTAATCATGCAAAGGGTTCTTTGAGTGTTCATGGTTCTATATAGAACCATTTTCTTTACTAAAGAACCCTTGAAGAACCATCTTTTCTAAGAGTGTATTTATTTTACTCTGTGTAAGCAGAACATTTTAGGCAATGCTGGGCTACTGGGTTAAAATATCAGCGCTGCATTAATTTACTGCATTTATAACACTATATTTTAAAAGGCTTTATTTCTCAGTGATACTAATCCAGGAAGATTTAGTCCTAAAACGCAGGCAACAGTTTGAACAGCCACTGTCAAATTACACAACATTTTGTTGATTTTCTACATGAAAACAAGTTCATTTGTCCTCTCCAGGGAACTTTTTGGCCAAATTATCTGCTAATTTCAGTGCAAAGTTTCTATTTTTAGCTAAGGTTAATATGGAAAAGAAAACATAAAATACAAAATGCACCACAATGTTTACACAGGTCATATTTTATGTTTTGTTTCTTTCCAATATAATAACTTCATCCAGTAAACAGTAACTATGCTTTAAAATGTGCAGCAGTGTGTTCTCTGTAGAGGATGTGCACATATTTCACAGAGAAAATACACCAGAAATGCAATTTGACCAGAAGCACCCAAACTGTTGCAAATAACTTTATGTACATTAAAAATATTGAACAACAGCATCAGCCCATAGTTCCCATACTGTTGCACCCCTAAAAACTGGAACGATACAGTATACACAACAAGCTTTTAGGAAAATTCTACATCAGAAACAGATACATTATTTTGGACTATAAACAATCATAATCGATTCTAACAGTCAAAATCAATGCAGTTCAGTCGATTCAGATTCGCTGTAAACCCCTAATGGATATACGATCATCTCAAATGACAAATAACCCTTCAAACAGCCATCTGTCTTCAACAACACAGCGTTTGCTCTGCTGACCGTCGTCGCCTCGAGCAGTGCTGACAAAAGCATCCAGCTAAAGCCCAAGGCTAAAATTTCGCCGGCAGCAACCATACTTCACAAAAAACGAGAGGAACTGCTGGCCACTCTTTATCAGGACCACCTCTTCTCTTCGTGCAGCAGTGCATGCAAAGGAAATCGGAGCTAGCTTTACAAAGCAGGCCCGGCAGATTCCTCGTCACTGGACTGTGCGCTCACACGCGACGTCCTCCTGCGCAAATAAAGAATTCTGTTTTGCTAAACAAGACATGTCTGTGCAGGTTCGCAGCCACATCACGTACGGTAAGAGGCTCATAATGCAAGACGTACAGACAAAGAAGGGAGATAACGTTAACCATATTTGATAGTCTGCACCTCGTCTCAGAAGAGGGAATAAGAGGCGTTTACCTTAAAAAAGACACTAATTGTCAACTAAACAGGGACCAAAATCAGTAATCTGCACCATCTGCTGCTAAGAAGGATCCTAGCCGTTCAATTTTTGTGACTAGAGTTTAAGTTTCAGCAGAAGACTTAAAATGGACTGCTGTGATTTTAAGAGAGGCCCACAAAGAAGACGCTCTCACTGTTTCTCAGCTCCAGACTTGTAGCCCACCTGTGATTTCCTGCTCTAACTCACCTGATTCAGCTCCTATTCAGGGCCTAGAGCTGGGTGATACAGCAAAAATACAGTATTGCGATACCTGAACACATTTTCATAACACACGATACGTATCACGGTATTGCATTTTTAATAAGCTGGAACAGAAAAAAATGCAGCAGAAAAACATTTAAAAATTCTAACAAAAACTATGAGAACAATGTTTTTTTATTCAAAGTTTCACTAAAGTTTTTTCTTTTTAAACAAAGATGTAGTTGGTCTGTGTTCTTAAAGGCACAACATGCTCCGAAAATCATATTGTGACATAATTTAACATGATGTGCATCAGAAAAATTACAATTAGGCATTTGCCATAAATCATTTAGCTCTATTTTGCAGGCAAGTGGTCATCTACCATTCAATTTTCAACTTGTTGAGAGCCATTTAACCAAATACAGAATGCAGTTTGGATCGGTAAGTGCTTACTGCTGATTGGCTTACTTGGAGTAACACTAAAAGGCGAGTGATGTGTGAAGATGTATCAGGATGATCAGAATCACATCCGCATCAGCAAAAAAAATATCAGCAACGGATTTCAAGCCGATATTTGGTGACATGTTTACTGTAGAACGTTTGGGGAACGCTGGTCTACTGCACTCGTAACTCTACAAAAATAAATGTTATTTCTCTACGATGATAATTTAGATTCATCTATTTTCAATTTCCATATATTATAAATATTTACGCATAAGCATCAGCAGACACTTCCACAAACAATATCAGATCAGAGCATCGGTCCAGAATTCCCATATCGGTGCACCCCTAGATGCAAGGCCTGAGGAGTTTACAGCACGAGTCCACTTGCAACTTCGCCTCACCGCATCCTATTTATTTCAATGCACATGATGGTTTGCAGCGTGGGAAAACCTGCTTAGCCATGTGGCAAAAAAGTTCAGCAGATTTCAACTTTATGCAAATGAATGCGGAATGTTCAGCCAATCAGGTAACGATAGACTGGTCTTCGTCACAAACAGCAAACACAGTAATAGTAGAAAGGTAGCTAGCTTGTGCGGACGACTGATGAATTCTTCAAATTCTAAAAGCATAAAAAGCATTTGTCTATATTTTAGTCTCATTCTAAGCTTCTGTGCAGCAGCAAACAGCATATCAGATTGTTTACTGTGCCAAATATGTTCAACACGGTTCCTTCATTTCCATTACAACATAGAAACGCCCACCAGCAGTGAGCAGACACGTCCTGTGCGGCGAGGAAACGTGCACATGGACATGTACCGTTATCCCAGCAAGGGTAAAGTCTAGATCTTTATTACCATTCATTCAGTTGATTCATGCCCAATTTACCAAAACTTTTCAACATCTTTTTTCTTAGGAATGCACAGTGACATCAGATATCTTCATGAAAAAAAATGATCATTGATATTTATTTATCAAAAATGTAGGTGATGCTGGGTTTCTGTGCTAAAATGTATACGTCATTGATTTTTACACCTCTCGTTGTCGTTATGTTTTCCTGTAATGCAAATCCAGGTGGACTTAGCACCAATTTCTACATGTTCTGAAATGTTACGCATCTGTCCACAGATATGTACATGAAAAATATCAGATATCAGCACCAGCACCATTCCCATTCCTACACGCTTAAAAAAGATGGTTCTTCAAGGGTTCTTAGGTAAAGACAATTATGCTTAAATGGTTTGTCACATGGTGAAACGGTTCTTCAGACTGATGGACAATGTGTTCTATTGTTACTGCACCTTTAAGACTAATATATGTTAATGACCTCTGTTCTGATTGGCTGCCCCTCCATCAAAAAAGCAGCCTGGACTGAAAAACTCCTTATGACTTTAACGTGAGGCAGGGCTAAACAGCTGTAGGCCGAAAAGGTGGATGTGTGTAAATGAGCTGGGTTTGTGACATCACAAAAACAGCGAATTCAAAACGGACCCGTATGTGCACTGCATGGGCTGGGAAGAGAACAGTAAACAGCGTACTAGTTAAATCAAACTCATTTCTTTAAAGATATCTTTTTCTCGTGATATGAGTCCTTTAAAGGGGCACCAAAGCCAACAGCAGCTGGGACCAGCATCACCCGGGCCTGGCGTAACGCTAACGTTAGTTGTGCTCATTCAAACCACACTGAGTCCGGACGCGGCTAGCCTACAGCTAAAGCTCGGCAACTAGGAGTTAGCCAGGCTGCACAACAAAGAAAGATCACGTTTCACGCTTTCCCAGCCCGCTCCCAAACCTCCCCTCACGTCCAGGTCCTTTTCCTTCTCTCCAGTCTCCCGTATTTTTCGACCCTTGCCGTGTAAACACGGTGTACCTACCACACGACACCATTTCGCACTGCAGGTCTCGGCCAGTTCCTCCTGTCATGCTCCGGGCTTTATGGAGGGATTTTTGGATTTTGACGAGTACCAAAAACACGATTATGGGTCCGAATGAAACCAAATTCCCTCGCTTTTCTCCAAATTTCCTTTCTCGAAACTCTGGCTCGGAGACATATATGTATTTTTCCCACGAGGCTTCCTGTTCGCCAGCTTCTTGTTCGAATTTTCCCGTTCCACCTTAAACAGCGCAGCAGTTACATTCGGGCGCCTCGCGCCAGAGCGTTAACTGCTGCGCTATTTAAGGTGGAACGGCTGGCGAAGAATGAGAAGCTTGACTTCAGCTTCGTAGCTTATTTTTCCCCCCGAATCCCCGCACAGTACGGTCTGCCTTTCACGTTTAAGCGACTGAAACGTCCATTTTGAGCTGTAAATGAGAAAAACGCTGAGAGAAACGTTTCCACACTCACCCAAAAATCCCTTTTTAACGGTTTTGACGGTTTTCTCCTCAGGCCGGGCTGTAGTTGCCGTAGTTACCGTTAGCTCCGCTCGGTGAAGGTGATGGTTTTTCTCCCCCTCCCCGCCTCGCTTCTGCACTTTTCGGGTTCGTGTTCGTGAGCAGAGCCGCTGGTGTGACATCGACATTCACAGAGAGAGAGAGAGGGAGTGGGGGATGGGAGGAGAAAAAGAGAGAGGGGGAGAAAAGGAGGACGGCGGAGGGCACCCAGGCTGGAGGACCTACTTCCACAGCTCCGCGAATAAAAGCCTAGCAGCGGTTTCTCCTCACTGCAGGAATTAACGGCGGCCTGTGTCCGCAATGGCTGCGTTTTGTACACAAACAAAACCTCCTCAGCGCACTATTTGGGTCTGTTTCCTCTGGAAAAAAAGAAGAGGAGCTTTTGTTTTCGTGCTCCTGACTTCCCTCAGTCTCTTTGTTGATTATGCTGATTATTAGCTAAGGCTGAACGATTCGGGAAAATATCTAATCGCGATTTTTCCGACTAATATTGCGACTGCAATTTAAAATTGCGATTTTTTTTTATAAATTGAGATTCAGGCCTGATTTATTTTGGCTAAAAAGATCAGAATATCCACCTTTTTTAGCTTGAAGCTCGGCTATTGAACATAGTGCGCCAAACTGCCAGTAAGTTGTGGTTGTGATGTCACAACACATGGAGGTTTGGTTGCCTCTGATTGGTCTAACTTATCTTTAGACATGTCACAGGCTCTTATTTACGGAAGTCCAGAGAGGCCATGAGGTAGTCAGAATTTTCCAGATTGTTATTTTGAGATAATGAGTTAAATATCTTGTTATTTCAAGATAACAAAATTGTTTTTGTGAAAATGTCCAGTATAGGGATTGTGAATTATTGCCATAAACGGCCACCTTCCAATTCGTGACCTACCAAAATATTTGTTTGTGACTGGACAACACTTGGTGTATTTCCCATTTTATTATAAAATGTATCAGCATTTATTGACAAATACTGTATAAAAATAACAAGTAAACTGCTATTGAGAATAATTACTATCAACAAGTTGTCAGTACAAAGGAAGTTCACAATTAATTTACACATAATCCATACATACACTTTGGAAATTGTTGCAGACACAAGTTTATGTGTCTGGCACTTTATTTCTTTGCAAGATGTCAGTCTTTTATTTAGAGACGTTAAACATTAAATGGGGTCAAATTGACCTCAAAGATAATAGGAGAGATATCAGTATCAGCCCACAATCCCTTCCCTATTTCCCTCTCTATTTCCTTTATCATCATAAGGCTGTTTTGTTGTTGTTACTGTGCCTTTAAGACTGATATATGTAAATGAGCTCTGTTCTGATTGGCTGCCCCTCCATCAAAAAGCAGCCCAGGCTGAAAGACACTCTATAAATTCAGTGTGAACAGTGAATAGGCGGGTCTAAACAGCTGTAGGCCGAAAAGGCACAGATATGTAAATGAGTTTACTGTGACATCACAAAAACAACAAATCCAAACCCCCCCCACTATTCGGGTTTGTTTTCTCTGAAAAAAAAGAAGAGCAGTTTGTGTTATCTTTGTTCAGAAGCGTGTCTGTCCTTGCCTGCTCCTCTCTTTGTTTATTACGCTGATTATTAACGCTGCATGAGGCGCTATAACCGTGTAATCACTTTGATTTGTGTTCAGTGCACCTGCCACTCATGAGTCTGAGTCAAACGTTAATCTGATTCAGTCTAGCAGTTTGTGTTTATCAGATTTAACTTTTGTTTTTTTTTTGGTTTTTTTTCAGTGTAACAGTTCCTACATTTAGGCTACATATAAAAAAATACATTTTTATTTTGAGAATTGTAGAACACACACACATGCTGGTCACAAATTTGAAATGACTTGCCATATTAACATTCATCATTTCATGTATAATACTAACATGTACAACATGGATTTATATACTACAAAAGGCATTTGATGTGTTTTATTCCATATTTCAAGAATTCTGTGACTTATTAAATAATAAATAGTATTTCTGTCAAGTTATCAGCCATGAGACTCTACATTTCAAATGAAATAATTTCTGGATGGTAATTTTATTATAAACATTAATTCTCGAAGTGATATGGCTTTTTTGGTCATTGTAGAATCTTCTACAGCATTCTGGACATATCTAACATTTTCATTTATAGTTTCTAAGTGTGCTACAGATTATGTTAAATCTGTGAGTTTGTACAGGACGAGCATAATAGAATCATTCTATACACTTATCTGCAACCAAATTGGTTTTATATTGTTAAACCACCTTCATTTATTATTTATTATAATTTTTTTTAACACAAAATGAAGCAAAAGTCTCAACAACTTAATACGATATCCATTTTTAGAATTTAGTGTCTTTATTACAGCTTCCATTCTTTTCAGGAGATTCACTTTCAGTTTTTCAAAGAAATCTGCAGCCTCACCTCCAAAGTTCAGTCTTAGAGGTTGGTTGCACTTTCGGCTTCTCGCCATCCAAGTAACCTCAATTACAAATTTCAGTTCATAAAACCTTCCTTCACATCTCACATGTCCAGTTTCAGTGCTTTTCTTTTGTGTCCATCTCCTTTTCTCAGTGAGGTTCTTCTTGACAGCTGCACATCCTTTCAGACCCACAGCGCTGAGTCGTCTTCTCACAGTGGAAGGATGGACTGTGGATGTTTTCAGATCTGAATCAAGAGTGGAGCTTGATTTTCTCCTCTCTCTCAAAGATGAAAGCTTTAAGTGCTGTTTATCTGATGGGGACAGTTTTGGTGTCTACCGGGTCTTCCAGGTGGTTGTTAGGAACCTCATTTTCTCTGTATCTTTATATTTTTAATTGTATTTTTTTCTGTTTATTCACTTATGTTTTTCCTTTTTTTTCCTATGCAAGTGGATCATTTCATACCTAATATCCACAGAAATATCTGGTTTTAGCAGTTTAGCTGTGCATAAGAGAGAAATTTGAAGGCACCTAAGGTGAGTTTGAGTAGTTGCTTGTTTGAATGTTAGCGTCTCTTTGAAAAGGAACATCAGAAATAAAAAGGCAAGAGTGGACAAATTAAACTGAGCATGTGTTCACATGAAGATGATGCAGGCTGGACCGGTCATCACTCTCTACATGCTCATGGTTACCAACAACCACATGTACCCTTGGTTCATATTGTATTTTGTTGTATTTTGGGTATAGTAGGCCTTCTCATGAAGCCTACAGTGCCAGTCAGTGAGATCTAGAGGGCCAGGATGATCTTCACTTGAGCTAAATGGCACTTCAGAGGACCTTATCCCTCATAGGGAGAGTCTATGGGCCGTGCTGAAGCGAAACAGCATTCCTCTCTTTTGAACTGCAGCCTAATAAAAGTGGGTCCCCCTAGTGGTAGAAATGTGCACAGAGGCGACAATAGATGTCCTCAACGTGAAGGTCAAGTGCAGAAATGCTTTGCTGTAAAAAGATCTACAGGGCTTCACTCTCCCTTCAGTTTGCTGAGACAGTTCACCTCATTACATGCTAATGCTGATACACTATAATGATAATACAACACAGAAGAACAATAGTGCACACGTGTTATTACATGTTCAATAAATGCTCTGTTGAAATGTTGTAAAATAGCAGGAAAAAGGAGTAGAAGAAAAGTGGTTCACACGCAAATTCATGCCTCCAAGATATGCAAAACTATGCATATGAAACCACTGTTCATGTGCAATAATGTGACAGTTATTACATACAAATTAAAGGGCCACTCCAGCCAAAATGAAAAATTTAACCGCAGCTACATCTGTTGTAAGCATTCCTATTCGCCTTTTACAGCAGTGCTGCAGTGGTCTCTAGTGTGAGATTTTCCAGTTTAAACCCCCTTCTGATGATGTATTATGAAGGTGGGAGGAATTTTTAAAAAGCTACAAGCGCTTTAGGGTGCAAACATAATGTCACTGCTAGTAAGCCAAATATCACGCCTGTTTTTGGCCTCTACATCAGTGGATTTCTTTACGATGTAGGCGGGATTCCCAGTGTCCCTATGACATATTTGTGTAAGGCATGCCGGGTATTGTAGTGAAAGAAGAGAAAATTGTTTAATGAAAACACAGAAAGGACACAAAATTGTGAATTCTATTAAGCAGAGGCTGAAGGATGCAAAGCTGTGCTGCATAATATTACATCACAGGACAAATAACATATTCAGTGCTAGTTTTAGACCTATTAAAGTACACTATTCAACCACTAAGCATATAACGCGGTTATAATAAGTATTTAACCCCTTAAACTCTAAGGATCTGTTTGTGGGCCCACACTTCAATTCCTCATTCCTCATACAGACCTTATTCTTGTTTTGTTTCTGTGTGTTTAAGACTGATCTGTATGATATTTGTAAGTACATTCCAGGCTGAAACATTCCTTATAACGTCTGCGTGAAGGGGCGGGGCCAAACTGCTGCAGGGTGAATAGGCAGCTATACAGTATGCTGCAAAGGTTTTAGGTTTAAAATTTGTTTGTCTGGACAGTGACAATCTATTTGCTCATAAAACACTAATGTTAGTATAAATACAAATAACAGTAATACAATACATATTGGTTTTATGTGATGTTAATGTGTTCACTTAATTATTTCCAAACCTTTCATCACAGCAGTGCAGCATTATTTGTATTTAACAAATCCATATGATGGCTGGGGATGTTGAGTCGAAATCCTGAATCAAATCTGTGCTTTTCTAACCAGCTCACAACATCACAACTACTGTTATGAAAGGAAGAAATTCTTATTTTTTTTACTGTATTTATGCTGATATTTATTTATTATAATGTTATTATAAAGTTTTACTGGCAAAAAAAAAACACACAGCCAAGATAAATGGTTTTAAACAATTTGCTTAGGAATTTTGCACACTACTATTTAAAAGTGTTCATTTTTGTGACATCACAAAAACAATTAATTCAAAATGGGCTGTTCAACAGCTTTTTCATGCGTTCTCCATACATTTATGGACTGGGAAGTGAACAATAATTTGGAAACGTTAACAGTGTTTTCATTGAAAAAATGAGGAAAATCAAGATATCCGTGAAATGGGCCCTTTAAGATTAATAACTCAATATTAAGCTCAGAGTTCAGTTGGCAAATCACCACACATTTCTGGACAGTATAGTACATTTAGCATTCCAAACACAGTACAGTGTTTTTTGGTTAACAGTGAACCACAAGAAGTCCAAATATTATATTTTTTCTTTCTTTTTTCTTTATTCCTCTTGATTATATCTTACAAGTGACCAAATGCTTTGAGGAATTTCCTTGTAGAGCAAACTGAGCATTGGAGTGGAGCTTTATTGATTTCTCTTTATTGCCATTCCTCCACACACAATGCTGCATAAGCCTCTCATACCTTTTTGCACACACAGCTGTGACTAAAAAAGCTCAGCTCCGTCCCACGCTCAGCGTCAGGCTGCTGCTACAGCCGGTTACCAAGGCGATGCACCGAGGAAGGGGTCATATAAGCACCTCAACCCATCTGGAGAATGTTAGCAAGAGTCCTTTGGCAAGATTATCAACCGGCATGATGGAGTGATGTGGAGAGAGTGATGGAGATTCAGGCTAAAGCCCAGCTCACTGTGATGTGTAACCTGCTCATGTGATGCTAATTAGTGAGGGTCAGCTGCCTTTATAATGCCAGTTGTAGGTCAGTTGCCTGAATAAACCACGTCGGTCTAAAAATGGCAGGTTGTCAGGGATGACCTGATGTGGCATGTTGTCAACTTACTATGTTTAACCTCTTAAACTGCTGGCTGATTACTCAGGTATCTTAAAGGGCCCATATCATGGAAGACTTTTGGGGTAAAGGTTTGATGTGGTATGATATAAAAACTGTTAAAATTTCATACAGTCCATATAAGCTGCAAAAACAGCCTACTTTGAATTCATAGTTTTTGTGATGTCACAAAAAAGCAACTCATTTACATTCATCCGTCTATTCAGGCTACAGCTGTTTAGCTCCGCCCATTCATGTTGAAGCTACAAGGAGTGTTGCAGCCTGGACTGCTTTTTGAAAGAAGCACTATACAGAGCAACCAATCAGAACAGAGATCATATACATACATCAGTTTTAAAGGCACAGTAACAAAAACAGCCTGTTTAATTTTAAGGGATAAAAAGAAGCAGGAAAATATTCATGTAAGAATGAATGATGACTTTTTATTGGTACATTAAGCCACACAAACTCCATAATGGGACCTCAGGGAGAAAAATAAGGGCACGAAAATGTAAAGTATGGGATTTATTAATAATTGCCACTATTACGTCTTATTTAGTAATTAATGCTACATTTACAGGTAAAAACACCTGTACAGTAATGCAAATTTTGCTAGCGCTGCTATAGGATTCTGGTAGTATGTTGACGCTAAGCTAACTGTGATTCACTGAATGTTTTTTGGTCATAGTACATTAAGCACAGACACACAAAATGTGTAAAATGCATTCCACGCTTTACTCAAAAGCGTAGCAGACCTATTAATATCTATTTTTACCTTGTACCAGTTTTACAGTGACTCAGGAAATCAGCTCTGACACAGAGCTGCTGCTGCTGTTTTCCATTAATAACAACTGACTGAAACGCGTTAGTCAGACCACTCGTACTCACAGTCAGCAATGTATTTAGAACTGCCAGAAGGAGTTGAGTGTCGCTTTTCCTCACAAAATTGGTCCCACCACCTGGAAATGAAAATGTGATTGATTTCTGTGTCAGGTCTTCTCTGTAAGCTTAGAAGGCCATGAGGGTGCTGCACTGCCGATTAGTCATTGCATCACACCACCAAACAAAGAATATTTTATTTTTCATGACATGTAAGGAATACATTTAATAACATAAATTACATTTTCAGTTATTTATTAAAACATTTACTGTCATACATATACTTTAGTATGTTTAAATTAATACTTTAAGACTTTCACACAAGTATATTTTGGCTTCATACTTCACTTTTAACAAAGTGAGATTTTGACAAAATACTCATATTTTCACTTACTTATACTTTTTCCATACCTTTTCCACATCTGTCAGTTTATCAGGTCACATGGTTACAAATATTTGTTTTCCATCATCTTATTAGTAGCTGCTATGAATTATTCTTGAATTAGGCTTTGAGTGCATTATGTCACAATACATTTGTATTCGTACTGGGGGAGCTGTAAGTGTCCTGTGTTAGTTAAAATGCTTAAATTATTCTCTTTGTTTACATTTACCCTTATATAGTTTACCTTATATAGCTAAATCCTCTCTAGTAAAGCAAAATTGACTATGAGAAAGAAGCTATATACAGTACTGTGCAAAATTCAGAGACAACCCTTATTTGGTTAATTTACCTTATTTTTCCTCTCAAAATGGACATTAAGTTAAAAATATTTATTTTCAGGAGATATTTCTGAGGAGATTAAATATAAAATTAGATATAAGATTAGATTAGATATAAAAAGGTGTTTTATAAGGAAAAAATCCATAGGTAGTCCTGTCCATCCTGTGAGAAGGAAACACAAAGCTATGGGTCTGAAAGAATGTGTAGCTGTCAAGAAGGCCTCACTGAGTAATTGTGCCAAATTAAATAAAGAAGCTACTGTTGGTCTGAGAACAATGGACTGACCTCCCCAGTCTGACCACCTCACCAGGTCCAGACCTCAATATCACTGTTAAGAAGCAGAAGATGCTAAACCAACTTCTAAGACTGAACTTTGTAGGTGTGGCTGCAGATTTCTTTGAGAAACTGAAAGTGAGTCTCCTGAAAAGAATGGAGCTGTAATGAAGGTAAAGAGTGACACATTAAATACTGAAAAATGTAATATCATATTTAGTTGTTCAGGCTTCTGCATATTTATTATTATGTGTGTGGTAGTTTTGACTAATAAATGAAGGGTCATATTATTATTGATGTTATTGTCATTTATCAACCCATATCGTGTTTATAAAAATGTTTTTTTTTTCTTGATTGCTTATTTTTTGCCCATTATCTTTTACCAATTTTTCCTAAGTTTATTTTACATATTTTAAATGAATATTGAATGTTAAAAAAAACATTGTTTTCATAGATATTCACAGATTGTTAAAAAAAAAGTGGCACTACTGTTGTGTTTTGTGCAGAAAAACTAGATAAGAGATTCATATTGAGGACTATGAAAATGCCTTATAGTATTGTGATGTTATATTCTTGCCACATCACCAAGTTGATCACACATATGGCATCAGTTATATAAATTAGCGTCACAACTGAAGGCATCTGTTTACTACACAATCCCAAGCACGTCACAGAAAGAGAAAGCAGGGCGGAATATTCCAGAGATCAGTAGTGGGGGACAGGGCAGTGAACGAGGCATGTAATCCCAGATTACTGTCAGGTTCACCTCCTCCCTGGCCTGAGGATTAGAGCCAGCATATAAACACACACACATACAAACTCAGACATACACACTGAAGTCCCTCCACACTTGACCGAGTCATATTTAAGAAGTGCTGTCATCCAGCTAGCCCAAAAAGACTGAAGGCCACCCGCCACTGCAGACTGATTGGGAATATTTGGGAATATCTGGGATTAGCTGGAAACTCAAGGCAGACTGAACTGGACTCATGGCCCTGCTGAAGTCTGGCTGGCTCTGGCGGCAGTGTGAGTAGCTCTATGCTAAGCTTTCCTACCAATGGAAGGAAGAAAGATGTATAGAAGGAAGGAAAACATATTAAGTAATATTCTACTTTGTGATCAATACACTGTTGTGTAATTGAGTCAATAATTACAAAGAGAAAACACTCAGTTACAACAGCATTTAGCCCTTTTACAAGTACCAGAACTTTTGCATGGTCATCGGTTCAGTACACACTTTAAAAAGGTGGTTCTTCAAGGTAAAGGGAATGGTTCTATTTAGAACCCTGAGTTCTATATATACACTTAAAAATGATGGTTCTTCAAGTGTCCTTTACTAAAGAAAATGTTTATTTATAGAACCATGAACACTTAAGAAAACCTTTTTGAAAATGGTTCTATATAGCACCAAAAAGGGTTCCTCTATTGTTACAGGCTTGACATCGTAACAATAGCAGAACCCTTTCTGGTGCTATATAGGGCCATTTTCAAAAAGAAACTATACAGAATCTGATTCTGAAAGGTTCTGTACAACATCTGACGAACCATTTCACCATGCAAAGAACCATTTAAGCACGAATGGTCTAATTAGAACCACTGCCTTTACTAAAGAACCCTTGTCGTTTTAAAATGTGTACTGAAGGTTCCAGTTTAATGTTTTTTGGTACCTTTTCAAGATTAGCACCAACAGGACCTAATTGTACTCAAGGTCACCAGGTCGCCTTTTATATCACCAGTAAGTGCACCAGAGAGTAAACTAGACTGGTTTGTTGATGTATCGATTGATATTTTTACCATCATTCACTTGTGAAGAGTTCGCTATGGTGACAAAAGCTAGCTAGCTAGCTAGAAAGCTAACACTATTAGCATTATTGCTAGCCTCCACACAGCTTTTGTTGACTCGTCACCTGATTCTGTGTAAACATGGATATTTTTGTGAGTTTGAGTGAAGAACAGTGCAGTATACTGTTTCATTTAAGTCAGTAAATTAAGCGAACTAACAATAGTAAGGGTAATGCTAAACAAAGGCAGGGTCATAACATGACCAATAAGACAACTAAATCGTCTGTTGCACTGTTACAACAGTTCCAGCTGCCTCTCAAGTAGGTAGAAAGTAGACCTAGAACTAGAACTGTTCTGTTATTCCAATTTGGGTGAGTTTTTTAAAAGTACAGTGGAGAAACACCCTTAGTTTCACAATAGGTACTAAATAATAAGCCTTAAAGGGTAATTCATCCAATTTTCCAAACATCTTTAAATAATTCAGCCCTTGAGGTGTGAAAAGAGTCATTCAGAGTGGTTTGATGCGAAATGGTTCATTGTAGAGAAACTTTCAGACTCAGATTTCTTTACAGAGGTGGTGATAGGAACCAGGGGTCGCCATGTCTACAACACAAATATAGTTGTTTTATTTACCATCCAAAACCACCAGTGAACCTAAACGTCTTCTGAGTTTTATATGTAATGTTGATGATGGTAAAATAGTGGTATACTTGAAAAAATACATTTTCTTTGGGGGACTATTTTGCCTTACAAAGCACTGCATGTACCCCTCCACCATGAATTGATTGAAATAAATTGACATTTTATCAAAACACTATCATAAAACAATGTGTCAGACATCAGGCAGCATCTATCTAACCATTTCATGTAATAACTTTCTGTGAGGGAGCTTTTAGAGACGTTAAACTCTTCAGACGTCTGGTTCCTATCACTACCACTCTAGAACGGAGCATTTCACACCAAACCACTCTGAATGACCTGTTTACATCTCAACCATTTAATTGTGTAGAATTTTTGAAAAATTGTAGCTCCTGTTTAAGATTAATAATATACTAGTCTGCAGTTTAAGAGGTTAATTAGTATTATAAGACATTCATGGTCATTTTTCAGTGTTAAGGTTCAGATCAAAGGTTTGAATAAGCAGTCCGAACAGACAAATCTCTTGGGACGCATTGTGGTTAATGTCCCAGCAGGTAGACAGTAAGCGAAGAGATAAAGAAGCTATTAATAGTGAATGACTAAACAGGTTGGTTGGTGCTGTAATGTTGTTAGTAGACCGAGAACTTGGAAACTTGGAATGTTTCAATTATAGGAAGAGTTCCCTGTTAAAACTGTCTTCACGTAAATGCTGTATAGACAAATCCAAATATTAGATATTAGTTATTAAAATACTGTCAATATTTCATTATGTTGTAATGTTTCTCTCACTTGATTTAGTACATAAAGCCTTGGTTTTACACAACAAGCTTGCTGACCAAAATGTACAGCTAGTGTAAGTTATTAAAACTCAAATACATCAAGACAATCACAATTAATGATTCTTTATTTACAGCACTGGTGAACCTTGACTGTTAAAACTAGGCCTTCAGTTCATCCCAGAAATGTCAATATTCAGTGAAAAAAGAGGAAAAACACTGCTACAATAATGATAATTTCTGCTAGCACCCCTGTGGGATTCTAGTGGTAGGCTATGCTAGTGCTAAGCAAATGGTGATTCACATTACGGCATTTGAAGCTTGTAAAAGACATTCCACGTTTTATTAGATGTTTTAATATAGAGATATATATAGGTTTTATATATAGTTTTGTATTAACATATTGCTGTTGTCGGAAGAAAACCTCGTATCTCCAAAATGGTTATTTTACAGGAGAAGGAAAAAACATATTTTACTTTTAATGTAAATCAATGGAACCAGAGTTTTGCCCACACACACTTATGCACATTTTAATGCAAGTTTACTGTTTATATGCTGAATTTAACATATTGAAAAAAAAAAAAAGTTATGGCACGTTTTATATTTTAGGTTTTATTTTTTTTCCAGTACGATAAACTCAGCAAATAAATAGAAACTGTGCACTAAAATGTGCAGAAAGTGCATTATTTAAGTGTGCTCTCTGCAGAGGATGAGTTAACTTATTTTCACTCGGAACATCAACAGAACATATCATTGGAAAAGGGGTTTCAAACTTTTGCATAGGACTGTATATGCTGAAAAAGGGATGCATTAAAGAAACATATACATTTCAAATTTAGGTGTTTACATCATTTCTGTGTTTTCTACAACATAGTTCACTTATTCTTGTCGATAATGTGTTGACGTCATGTATTTTATTCATATGGAAATTATGTACACATTTGAACAAAGTAGATTCAGTGCACTGCTTTCAAGTTCTACTCTACAATCTTCTACAAGATATAAAGACTACAAAAACATGTCCAGATACCAACAATTAAATTAAAATGAAGTATACAGTATACACTATGAACACTACCGGGTAAAGACAGCGTTCCATTTCTTCTCATTTTATTGGCTGTGTTTTAAAGCAACACATTAAACGAAGGGCACAAATACGACTTGCCAATGTATTGAATAAAAAGAGCCATAGACGTCTCTGGAAGGCCTGACATTTGTGTTATGAAACTCCAAAATAATCCCCTTAGCTGACAATGCTGGCTAATCAGCTGCTGCAGTTCATGGCCATGCTAACCCAGATGTACTGCTGTAAATTGTTTCAAAACTGCCGTGAGAAACTGCTACAGCAAATGTATGTACACTATATGTCCAAAAGTATCCAGACGGCACTTCTGATTAGGGAATTTAGCTACTTTAAGGTGAACCCATTACTGACACAAGTGCTCAATTGCGCACACCTCATATAATCTCTATGGAAAAGCACTGACCAATAGAATGGGACAATCTGGAGCAGCTGCACATGACCCTAAAGTCACCATGCTCAATGTCAAGTGTCTGCTAGAGGGGTATAAAGCCCCCCAGCGTTGGGCGGTGGAGCAGTGAAACTGTTCTCTGGATGGAGCTCCATCCAGTGGCTTTGTTTTACTTTTGTAGTAAAAATGTATTGTGTTATGTTGGAAAAACCACAATACATATCATATCACGAAATTGGTGCTGTTACCCCCTTAAAATTCCAGGCTTATTACATACTAAGGCTTATTATTCAGTAAATACATGGACTTCAGTGCAAACTGGTTGTGATTCTTAGGTTATAAAAGTGTGTAATAAAACTTTGGGCCCAAAACCACCAGCAAATCTACATGTTTCGTTTTTATTCGTAATGTCGCTGGTGGAAAAATTGTGGTAAACCTGAAAAATATCATTTTTTCTGGTATTGGTTCACCACACAATGCCCTGCATGTACCCCTCTGCCATGAATGGATTTGACATTTGAAAATAACCATTTAGGCCAAAACTTTCTCATAACAAACAAAAACAATGTCTCAGGCATCAGGCAGCATATTCATAATGATTTAATGTAAAAACTTTCTGTGAGAGAGCTTTAAGAGGCATTCAGATGTCTGGTTCCTATCACTATTCAGATGTCTGGTTCCTATCACCACCCCTGTGAACTGTTCTGACAGAATGGAGCATTTCAAGTCAAACCAATCTGAATGACTTTGTTTACATCTTAATGATGGAATTGTACAGGAATTTTGAAAAATCGGTGGTATTCCCTTTTTGTGTGGGTTTATTAATGTACTGCAAACATTTTTAGTTCAAGCTGCCCTGAACATCTTTTTTTACAATGCAGCTTTAGGCATGAAATATGAATAATGAGTTAATAATGCAGAGGTATTTGGAAAGTTGCCCTCTTGGGGTTTTCCATATACAGCCTTGTCTTCCCAGTCTAAAGCATTTTGTTTTACTGAATCTACAGTCTCGCCCCTTTATTACAGGAACAGTTCAGCGAAAAGGCAAATTTACATGTTTCTACGAACCCTAATTCCCAAGACATGTTTGGTGTCTGAAGGCTGGAGCTATGAGGCTAATGTAGCTAACAAGTAAAGGAAGCTAATACTGTTTAGTTAGCATCGTACAAACCTCACGCTAAATCATCACACACTTGCCTCAAACCTTGTCTACGTGTGGTACGGGACAAAAACTCTTGCTTTAAAGTTAAGGGTTGGGGAACAAATCATATATGCACAATTTTACTCTTATCCCAGAGGGAGTCAACCAGCCAAGGCATGTTTGGGGTCCAAATTTAGCTTTCTGGTTTGGAGCTGGAGCACCAAGGCTAACATTGCTAACAAACACTACAACGCAATAGTCACAATCAATAGCTCCAATCGCTTCTGTGAGGATACATCACCAGAATGTCTCTCTATCCACTTAAACCTCATCCACGTCTTTATTAAGGTTGTGCGGACTTGTTGATCTGGTTTAGGACCCAGTACGACTTACTGTAAGCTATACAAAAGAATAAAACTACAGGCAGACACTTTAGACAACAGGATGTTTTCACAAACCACCTCAGGAGCTGGAGTGCTGATCTAGAATCAGCATTTGTGCCAATGACGGTCAAAAATACGGAGAAATCTGATCCAAGATCAGTCCTGCTTTGTGAATACAAGACCCGGTGTTGTCAGCAATGTTTTGTGCATTTTTATAGCTCACAGTAAGGCCCAATCCCATTTCTTATTTCTACCCCTACCCCTTGTTTTCGTCACCTTGCTTCTTGAGTTACAAGGGGTAGTGGTTGAAATCTTCCCCTACGAAATGGGACCCTCAAATAAAAAGAACATTACTTCATTAACAGCTACTAGCGCTGCTCTGTAGGCGACAGCAGGTAGGTGATAGCAGAGGAGGGTTAAGTTCAGCTCCTCACTGCTGGGCTTTAGTTACATTTAGGGAGTCATATGTCTTCAAAAAGAGGAGGGCAATTATTTACTATTGCCCATCCCTAATTCTTCATTGATATGAAGTCTAATTCAGCGATTGGCCAGCTTCTTTTTTGAATTTTCCTGTTCCACCCTAAATGGAGTAGCAGTTACATTCTGGTGCTTCAGGCGACTGCTGGACTATTTAAGGTGGAACGGGAAATTTAGCTAGCTAGCTACCGAGACATTAGCATACGATTAGTGATTTTTTATGCTTGTTATGAAGAAAAGGACCATAATACATTGAAATGACACTGAACTAAGACAATACAATGGTTATCACAATTTTTAACGGAGAAAATACATTTGTGGGTTTTTTTGGTCACTTGTGCAGCTTTTTGCTGTTTTTTCTATTTTTTTAATTTCACTGCGTTTGTACCATGCCTCTGAAAAGCCTCAGTTTGAAGGCCCATGTAGCTCTAACACTTCGCCCGACGCCTCTATCTCAACAAAAATCGGGACACCCTACCCCTAGGTGTGAACGCGCAAAACAGAGGGCTAAGGGCTAAGTGGTAGAGGCAAGGGGTGAAATGGTATTGGGCCTAAAACCACATCAACAAGTGTGTGCGACCTTAATGAAGACCTGAACACCTGTGGATGTACATAAACAATTTAGGCTATTTGGGTGACTACTGAGTGGTAGTGATTGTCAGCAACGTTAGCCTCGCTGTTCCAGTTCCAGTCCACTAAAGAGTAGAAATAGAGTAGAATTTGGGCTCCAAACATGTTTTGGCTGATTGACTACATACAGGGTAAGTGGAAATTCAAGTAAATTTGAATTTGAAACTATTTCTTTAAGTAGAGAGTATTCATTTTCTGCCATAGGAGCTATTCATCTGGGCCATATTAGAATCAACCCCTAAACATTATGACTGAAGAGGTGCTGCAACACTGACAACTGATAGACCACTAACAGTGATCAATGTTCCCTCTTACAGCCTCCGTCCTGAAGCGCTGGAAGCTGAACTGGTGTGATCTGTGGATAGACGGCAGTCTGGTGTTCTATAAGACAGATTCCAGGAAGGACTATGAGACCAGAGTGAGTCTGAAGAGCACATGTGTGAACGTGAAGTGTGGCCTGGAATGTGCAGGTGAGCAGTTCTACAGATTACTGTACAAAAAGTGGCTGTGGATTTGTAAACGGGTCATTCTACAGAAATGTCCATTTTTCTATCTATCCATAAGTGTCACTGGTGTTACTGATGGTCATTGGTGTTACACATAAGAAAGGGAACACCAGAGACATTTTTAATGAAAAATGCATTTTACAAAACGGCTGCTACAGAGAATCAAACCACATGCTGTCAATCATGGAACATCCACTAAAATATGTAATTTAATCCATTTGTATTTTTTTCACAAATTATACACATTTGTATTCACAATTTTTTTCATTTTTACCTAAAACTATAGTAGGTCACACCAGTGACATCAACTAAAAGCTTCATAGGAAATCATGAGCTAAATGAGAAAATCTCTGATAACTGAAAGACACAGTGGCCTCACCATGTGCTTTTCTTCATAGATCCTCAGAAAACAGGTAAAAGGAAGTCAAGTGATGTCATCAGTGTGATTTTTATTTCAAAATAAGAGATGTTTTGTTACGTGGTAACACCAGTGACACGACTCCTGGGGACAACAACTTTCATTATATATTTTAGAATATTTATTTGTCATTTGTTTTCTTTGTGTCATTTCATTTATATATTCCATAGTCATGTATAGATTATTGCAGTTAAAATTGCAGAAAAATGTGTTTTTTTCTTCAAAATATGGCCTCAGCCTTCACACATGACTGTGGGGACAAGCACTTCTGTGGTGCTTGGAATTCTATATAATTGATTTATAAAACCAGTATTGCTGAATTGATGGATCAAGAAGGTGTAATTGTTAAAATAACTTATTACCTTATTTAAAAATATAAATAAATTACATGTTTTTCAAGTGTAATATATTTGTAAATGCTAGCGACACAAAAATGGTCATTTATGTAGAATAACGCAAACTTATTATATGTTACAAGAATCCTTCTTTTAACCTGTGAAATATGGAAAAATGATAAATAGGTTAAGAATACTTTCACCTATACAGAAATCTGATATATTGCAATATATAGATTTCAAATATATAACATACATTAGCATATTTGGTTTTCCTTATATCCAACTTATATTTGTCATATATGGCCATAAATGTGGAATATATGCCAACTTATTTGAAACTGGCCATTGTCAAATACGGGAAATATCATCATTTTTCAGTTTTTGACATAATTTGGAAACGCCTGTTTCCCTTTTCATTGTGTGCAAATTTCATGATGAAATGACTAACGGAAATGGCCCTAAATTACTTGGAAAAAAGCCTGGTTCCATTGACTTACAGATTTAGTGGATCCGCCAAGAGGTTTGCTTCTTTAGTTTAGTGCTAGAGCTACAAGGCTAGTATTGCTAATAAACACTACACTTTTAAAAAAGGATGGTTTTCAAAGGTTCTTTAGTGAAGTATAAAGTAAAGTAAAATGGGACAAAATTAATATCTTCACTGTGCCAGGGTCATCATGTACCCTGCAGAAAACAAACCTGCACAGACCAGCATGAAATTCATGCTGGTCTAAGGTGGTTTATACTGGTCTGGTGCTGGTTTAGCTGGCCACTCAGCATGGTCATGCTGATTGACCGTAACACCAGCATCCAAACATATCAAATTTATTTATCTATAAATTCTGTTAAAGAGAAATTTTTATGTTTGGAAATTTTGCTTTCAGTGTAAATAAACAGTGCTGTAGGCTAAATGTGATTTATTTTCTCAAGCAATAAAAACACAAAATGATTTTTGGCATGGATGTACAGTTTGAGAGAAAAAAATTGAATAAGAACGTTTATGTTTTGTGGAGAAAACCTTGAAAAGGTTCTTCACACTCACATAGCTTATTTACAAAATTAAAAATGAGGACAAAATAATTAATAAAAGTAATATCAATTGAAAGGTAGTGTGGCTCTTTTATAATATCACTCCAAATAACCTTTATGGCATTTTTTAAAGGGAGAATTTCACAGATTTTTCAAAATCTCTGCCTAATTCCATCATTAAACAAAGCCATTCAGAGTGGTTTGATGTTCAATGCTCCATTCTAGAGAAACTTTCAGTATTTAATAACCAAAATGACCAGTAAACCTGCATGTGTCTTGTGAGTCTATATAAGTAATATTGAAAATGATCAAATGCTGCAAAATCTAAATAAAAATCGCAGGCTTTGCAGTGCCTTCCGTCTTCTTTGGAGCAATAAAAGAACTCCTTTATTTTTAGAGCACCTTTATTTTTAAGAATGTGCCCAAGGCTTGTGGCTACTCACATCACCAGTGACTGAAAGTTTACTAGTCATGTGACCAAAAGATGCTCTGGTGCTCTGCATTGGTTTAAAACAGGCGTGTCTCCACCGGAGAGCCACCCCGAGGGAGAACCTGCTGGTGGTGTATCTGAAAGACGGCTCCACCGTGCTCCTGTGTGCCAACAGTGAGGATGAGGCCCTGTGAGTGCACCTCTCCACTCCACACCTCCACATTCACTCACTCGCTCTTCTGCTCACTCACTCTGCTTTCTGTTTTCCCGTGCAGGGCTTGGAAGCTCACCATCATGGAAGCACGACGGAATCCTGTAAGTTTCAGGGCGCCTGTTCGCTGAGAATGACCAGTATGCACAATTGATATCTCCATCCTCTGGCCAGAAAAAAGACAGGCTTCACAGAGCATTCAGAACCGTCCTGTTCAGCCTAATGAGACACTAGCGTGATTTTTTTCATAATACCTAAATTTAGAGTGTCCTCAAATGATTCAGTTCTTTAAAGCAGTGTCCATTTACTGTAGCCATATTTGTACAAGAGTTTAGCATCAACAGAACGGTGAAGCATTCTGCACACAATTAAATGAAATAAACCTGTTATTAATGAAAGAACGACACTAAAAATGGTGTACTCAAAAATGACAGTGAGTGCGTTTACACCTGCGTTAACACCTGAGAATTCAGGTATTTTCACAAAAACTGAGTTGTTTGCTACAATTTATCATTGAACAGGATTTTTTTCCAAAGTTCTATACAACCTCACGACTATGAAAGCAGGCATTTGTGGGTTTTCTCCTGTGTGAGAGTACATAGATGGACTAGCAAGTCAGAGAAGCATCATGTTCTTCATGGATCACAGATTACAACTAAATGCCAGAGGATATTTTCATAAATGATGTCATATTTGACACTTCAAACTCTTTCCTCCAGGTCTTCATTTATGATCCCTACGATGACACCTACCAGTCTGTTCCTGTTGAAGGTCACAATGCGGTGTACATCACACCAGGAAGCGGCAGTGGAGGTAATGATAAGGCCAAGGGTCAGGGTGATTTATTACCCTCTGGGCTTCTTCAACAGAGTTTACTTTACTTCACATTTTTATGTGTCTCTCTTCCACACAAAAATCTAATTGATTGTATTTGTCCCCTCACACCAAATACAGTCAACAAACCGAGACATGTTTGGCATCCAAAGTGGAGCCACAAAGCTAATATGGCTAACAATTAAGGGAAGTTTATGATCACCAATTAGCACCATGCCAACTAGACCATTAGAGATTTTTTGAGGAGTTTCCACTGGAGGTCAAGAAAATATTAAAAGATATAGAGAAAATGGGACTCCAAGCAACCATACCTGGTAGACCACCAAAACAGATACTTTCATCTTTGAGAGAGAGGAGAACATCAAGCTGCTTCAGATCTGAAAAAATCCACAGGTGTTTCTGTCCATCCTTCCACTGTGAGAACACGACTCAGCGCTATGGGTCTGAAAGGATGTGTAGCTTTCAAAAAGCCTCAATGAGAAAAGAAAAGAAGATAGACAGTAAGGGACATCTGCAAATCAAATAAAGAAACTGCTGGTGTTTTCAGAACAGTGGACTGACCACCCCAGAGTCCAGACCTCATTACTCAATGTGTTTGGGATTACATGGATCAGTGAGAAGCAGAGAACGCAACCAACTTCTAAGTAAGCAACACTAGAAGTTACTCAACAGCTCAGCATGGTGGTCAATATGGTGGTCAAGCAGTACTCTTTGCAGCTAAAACATGTCTTGGCTGATTGGCTACATTTGGGATAAGGGGGACGATCATGTCAATTCGATTCCTTTAACTATTCTTTGCTCAGAGCAGTCCCTGATTGGCTTGCACACTCTTTCAGGTACCCACCATGTATGGGTGCACAGGGAACGGTATGACGATGGAATTGGTGAGCAGATAGCACTGGGGCTGCTGGCCGGCATGGCTGCGGGGGCCGCGCTGCGCTCTTTCCTATGGATGCCTTTCTGGTTCTGCTGACGAACTCACCCAGCATCAAGATGGTCACTGGAATCTTCAGCTAAAGCCAGTTACTGAGAGGCTGCACTAGAGAAAGCCTTGGCTCCACCAACCTGCTTCTGTAGGCCTCAGTCACCTAATAGCGCTATTACTGTGCATACAATACAAATAAACACACTAGGGTTAGTTCATGGGTTTAGGAGAATGGTAGGTCAGTAGATGGACTAAACTAGAATGGGTTCAAGATTGTATCCATCATTTAAAAGAATATTGTGTACAGACGTGAATGACTGAGGAGTCATTGTACAGAGTATGTTGGAGAAGACCAAAACATGGCTGTCCAGTTCTTTTATGTTGTATTATATATTTCTCCAATGTACTACATTGACTATGCATAATAAAAATACCTCAGATCTCAGATCTACTTGGGGAAGATTATGACCGTGGATCCAGCAGATGGATTGTATATAATGTGGGATTTAAAGGGGATTTCCCCCCGGCATAATTCAGTGGTTGAGATGTAAACTGAGTCATTCAGAGAGCTTTGGTGTGAAATGGTTCATTGTAGAGAAACTTACAGACTCTGATGTCTTTACAGTGGTGGTGATAGGAACCAGGGGTCACAATGTCTACAACACCAGCCATTTTATTTACTATCCAAAATCACCAGTGAACCTACACATGTACCAGGTTTTTCTGGGGACTGTTTTGACTTACAACACCTTGCATGTACCTCTTTGCCATGAATCTATGTCAAAATGTCGCAGTTCCAAAAAAGCTGGGACAGTATATGAAATGCAAATATGTATGAAAAACAGTACAAAGACAAGATATTTAATGTTTTACCTTATCAACATCACTGTTTTTTAAGATTAGATTAAGTGACCCTTATTAGTCCCACAATGGGGAAATTTCACCTCCTCATTTAACCCATCCGTGCAGTGAAACACCACATACACACTAGTGAACACACACACTAGGGGGCAGTGAGCACACTTGCCCAGAGCAGCTGGCAGCCCTATCTGCAGCGCCCAGGGAGCAGTTGGGGGTTGGGTGTCTTGCTCAAGGGTACTTCAGTCACGTACTGTCGGCTCAGGGGATTGAACTGGCGACCTTCTGGTCACAGGGCTGGTTCCCTAACCTCCAGCCCCCATTGTAGTACACTCTTAGCAAAAAGGGTTCTATATAGTACCAAAAAAGGTTTTTGGTTTGTAACAATAGTGGTGCTACATAGAACTCTTTTCAAAAAGTTTCTATACAGAACCATCTACAGCACATTCTCCATCTGAAGATGATGCAAAGAACCCTTCAATCAAAGGGTTCTTTGAGTGTTCATGGTTCTATATAGAACCATTTTCTTTACTAAAGAACCCTTGAAAAACCCTCTTTTTAAGAGTGTATATGTACTCGCTCTGAAGTTGACACCTGAAACACATTCCAAAAAAGTTATAGAGGCAGTTTAAGACTATACTCTTTAAAAAGATGGTTCTTTAATGGGTTCTTTAGTAAAGAAAATGGTTCTATAAGGAACCATAAACACTCAAAGAACCATTTGCATCATTAAAGGGTTCTTGGCATCATGAAAGCGTTCTTCAGATTGATGGACGTGATGTAGATAGTTCTACAGAGAAACTGTTTGAAAAGGGTTCTTCTATTGCTACAAGCTTGACATGGTAACAATAGAAAACGCTTTTGGGTGCTATATAGAACCCTTTTCAAAAAGGTTCTGAACAGAATTATCTACAGCACATTCTGAAGAACACTTTCATAATGCAAAAAACCCTTTAATCATGCAAAGGGTTCTTTGAGTGTTCATGGTTCTTTATAGAACCATTTTCTTTACTAAAGAACCCTTGAAGAACCCTCTTTTTAAGAGTGTATATATACTCGTTCTGAAGTTGACGCCTGAAACACATTCCAACCTTTACTAAAGAAAGGTTCTTTAAGGAACCATGAACACTCAAAGAACCCTTTGCATGATTCTTGGCATCATGAAACGTTCTTCAGATTGATGGAGAATGTGATGTAGATAGTTTTACATAGAAACTGTTTGAAAAGGGTTCTTCTGTTGTTACAAGCTTGACATGGTAACCATAGAAAACACTTTTGGGTGCTATATAGAACCCTTTTCAAAAAGGTTCTGAACAGAACTATCTACAGCACATTCTGAAGAACACTTTCATGATGGAAAGAACTCTTTAATCATGCAAAGGTGTTCATGGTTCTTTATAGAACCATGTTCTTTACAAAAGAACCATTAAGGAACCATCTTTTATAGGAGTGTAGAAACACTGTAACATGCTCAAAAAGCATCTGAAAGGTGGTGGTGATGTAATCAGGTTTGGGTAAATCATGATGTTCGATACCTCAGCGTTAAAAAACAGCATGTTTCTGTGATGAATATCACATTAGCTCAGGAATATTTTGATAAACTGTTGTCAGTTCATTGCTACATCTGTAAATACAAGCTAAGGCTGTACTATGCACAACAGAAGCAGTATATCAAAAAACAGATGACACAGAATTCAGACAGAGCATTAACTGCACTTCACATACTGTCCCAAACCTTTTTGGAAAAGAAGTTTGTAGCTTTTAGAGACATTTAACCTCTTCAGACGTCTGGTTCCTATCACCACCACTGTGAACAATTCTGACTGTCTATGCTTCTCTAGAACAGAGTATTTCACACCAAACCACTCTGAATGACTTTGTTGACTCTAATATTGTAATTATGAAGAAATCTGTGAAATACCAGTGGAATTTCCTTTAAATATATCGTTTGGCTTAGCTTGGAAAATCACATAATGCTAACTGATGGCTACAGGCTCAACAACATTAGCTTGTATGGTGGAGCTCCTCCTTTAAGAACCAGTTTGGCCCTTTTTCCCCAAAACCAATTCTTTCAGTTCGAATCTGTAATGTTGTAAATGTGCTTTAATTTATGCCTGAGGTTTGTGGCTTTTCACATGACCAGTGACCGCAAGATAGACGCTCTGTAAGAAGTATTGTAGATTTGTAGACTTTGCTGTGAACAGTAATGCAACATCAGACTCAGCCACCAGAGGGCAGCAACCACTAGACTATACAGCTATGCAAAATAAAGGAGCTTATTTACTGAGGTCTTTTTTGGGCTTCTGCGTGGTCATTTAATAACCTGAAGTCGAAAGTTGTAAGTTGAATTCTGCAGTGAAAATATTCTAAGGAATAGAGCAGTAGGCTTAGTATCGTCCTATAAGAGATATATTTCTATAAGATTATACAGCAAACACTGCAAATACACTGCATTGATAACACAGTGGGATAAACATACACTATGTGGCCAAAAGTATATGGACACCTGACCTATATGAGCTTGTTGAACATCCTGTTCCATCCTGTGGGGCCTCTTCCACATTAATGCCCATTGTTTTGGAATGGGATGTTCAACAAGCTCATATAGGTCAGGTGTCCATATACTTTTGGCCACATAGTGTATGTTTAACCCTTTTTTGCGGCTATAACAGCCTCTAGATTTTGGAGTGTGTCTGTGGGAATTGCCCATTCTGTCAAAAGAGCTTCTGTGAGGTCAGACACTGATGTTGGACGAGAGGGCCTGGCTCACAGTTGACGTTCCGATTCATCCCAAAGGTGTTCAGTGGGGTTGAGGTCAGGGCTCTGTGGAGGCCAATGGAGTTCCTCCACACCATAGTAATCAAACCATGTCTTTATGGAGCTCGCTTTGTGCACAGGAGCTCAGTCATGCTTGAACAGGAAAGGGTCTTCCCCCAAACTGTTCCTGCAAAGTTGGAAACATAATTGTCTAAAATGTATATGCTGTAGTATTAACATCAACTTTCACTGGAGCTAAGGGGCCCAAACCCTGAAAAACAGCCCCTGCCCATTACCCCTCCTCCACCAAACTTTACTGCTGGCACTGTGCTTTCCGGTAGGTAGCGTTCTCCTAGCACCTGCCAAACCCAGATTCATCCATCAGACTGCCAGATAGTAAAGTGTGATTCATCATTCCAGAAATCATGTTCATACTGCTCCAGAGTCCAGTGGCAGCGTGCTTTACACCACTCCAGCCAACACTTGGCATTGCACATAGTGATCTTAGGCTTGAGAGCAGCTGATCGGCCATACAAACCCATTTCACCAAGCTCCTGACACACAGTTCCTGTGCTGATGTTGCTTTCAGAGGCAGTTTGGAAGTCTGTAGTGAGTGATGCAACAGATGACAGGTGATTTTTACTCACTATACACTTCAACACTTCCGAGATTGTGTGGTCTACCATTCCATGGGTCAGCTGTTGTTGCTCTTAGATGCGTCCATTTCACAGTGATAGCACTTACAGTTGACTGAGGCAGATCTAGCAGGACAGAAATTTCATGACTTGTGGCAAAGGTGGCATCCAATGACAGTGGCACGTCTGAGCTCTTCAGTACGATCCATTCTAATGCCAGTGTTTGTCTATGGAGGTTGCATGGCTATGTGCTTGATTTTACACACCTGTTAGCAATGGGTGTGGCTGAAAGACTTGAACTCAATAATTAGGAGGACCGTCCACATACATTTGACAGCATAGTGTATCAGTGAACTACAGGGTTTTCAGCAGGGTTTAATCGTAAAGTGCTGAGGAAAACTGCATCAGGTATTCATGTTTATGAATGTTCCATAAAGACCCTTATTCATTATTCACTCCTAGCTCCCCACTACAGCTCCTCTGAGATCACGAGTCTGTTTTCAGGGATGAAAGAGGCCTCATGGAAATCCCACACAGGGAAACCAGAGAATCTGCTGGATGAAGTCCAGTTAGTTGATCACAGCAAACGTCAAGCCTGAGCAGCAGTCCATTTAATATGTATGTTTTTCATATTTCAGTCAATTTATGTTGCAAAGGACTGTGTGGAAGTTGGATCTCATGGGCGATTCTGAGTCAGGAATAGTGAGGCCTAGAAACGAATCCCACAAGGTCAGCAATATGGCAAAACATTGATGTGGCAAAACTTGAAGATATCCTCACTAAGTGTGTGTCATATAAGTGTATATTATATACTTATACATATAAGAATTGAAATCATGCTAATTACCTAATGGGGGGTGTAATCATGTACACGATTCAGTTCAGTTGTGTCTCGATTCCATACATTTTTTTATGCGTAAGAAAAATGAGGAGTGGCTGTAAATGAGCTATTAATCTGTTCATGTTTCCATTTTTAGTTTATTAGTACATGCAACATTATGAAAATACAATATTGGAAACAAAAGCTTTATAGCGTCCTTATCTAACACTCTAGCCACAAGCTATGTTAGCCCCAAGCTAAAAAACTAGCCACAGACCAACATGTATGCCTGTTACTTATCCTTTTATGAAAGTTTGTGATATCATCTCAATACTGTAGTAGGAAAAACACTTCTATGTATGTGTGCACTGCATAGGCAATAAAATGGTGGTTCAGGTGGATTTGATCTACTCATCAGAGGCCTTTGCAGCTCGAGTGCACCCTATCGTTAAAGCGAAAAGGAGGCATAAAACCACGTAAACATTTTGATTTTCTACTTTTCACTCCAGTTGTTATGCTGATAATATAATCTCTTAGTAAGTCTTGATAAGAATGCCAACTAGAATCACTTGCATGAGTGTCCAAGATATTGTGTGTTGAATATCACAGCATGCGTCATTATTGAATATTGGCTTCAACGTCAACAATATATATCAGAATAGTTAGTGAGACATGACTGGCGACCTGTCCAGGGTGTTTCCTGCCTTCCACTCAGTGACCACTGAGATAGGCTCCAGCACCCACACCTAGAAGCAGCTTAGATAATGTGTGTGTGTGTGTAGTGAGATAATAAGCATACACAGAACAGCTGCGCTAAAAAATATAGATCAGCACATTTTTAAATTTAATGCAATAAGGAGAAAAAGATAACAGCATAACAAACCAACGTCCAATCAGCACCGTTACTATGCATTTTTATATTGACAGTAGCTGTTTCCATTTCATTTCTGTGAACAACTTGCTTCTGTCAAACTCACTTTTAGCAATAAAATTGCTTTGCGTACTAATTACTGGAAAAAAAAAAACAACAATAACTGTTGTCACATAAGTTGTTTCGCACATTTCAATCACTAATTTCACATTTCAACTTGACATTTTGGCTTCCAGGACATTTTATTTTTTTCATTATACATTTTAAAATCATTTTTCCCCATTGGAACCATTAGATCATCGCAATAAATACCACGTTCTACATCTTTTGAACTCAACAGCTGCCCTTAACATTGTGTGAAAACATCATGATGAATGGACGAATAACATGGAGAATAACGTCTCTGTTCACTCACATTAAAAGTAAGAACGTTTTTTGTCCTCTCCGATAAGGTTATCGTCTTGTTTTTGTTAGGACAGCGACAAATTTAAAGATCCTGTTTGTCTGCCACACAGAGCTATTAGAGCTCTTTCCATTAAGAAACGTTGAAGTCTTTTCTGTAAATCTCTCTCTGCCAGAGGTGAAAAGTGGCAGCACTCATAAAAACTCTTGCTCCTCCTCTCCACCATGCTGTTTGTTTGCATTTCTTGTAAGAAAAATGTAAGGGAAACCTGCCACAGGACACGAAATTTATGCATAAATACACCCCACTGGCTTTAACTCACTCACTCACATGTAGCAGACTGAATCTTCTCCACAAGGGGCCGCTATTAGCACTTACTTTGGTGCTTTGCATCAATGACACTGTGTCCATGTTTCCTTGTAATTGCAACTGTCCCATGTTATAGAAGTACTGAAGACGCCTGCTATCTGCTGAACAGAGTGTATCGTTATGCAGTTTACTGCAACAGCCTATCAACAGCATATCACCCATCCCTCCCACATTACCCATCGGGTCATCCGCAGCCACAATCAGACGGGCTTTGTCAGCCTAGAATCTGTTCATGATTCAGCCATCAAAAGAAGACATTTTCATAGTTACTAAATAAAGGTATTTATTAGGGATGTCAATAAGACACTGATGTAGTCTAGCAGTGCAAATTATGAGCGTTTGTACACAGCATCACAGCAGCACACGGCGGTGACAGATTAAAAAACAAAACAAATCAAAACACTGGAGGCAACAGCTACCAGACATGGACTTTCCTCCAGGGAAGAAACAAAACTAGGGAAAACTGTAAGAACACCACACAAGTGCACTGTATCTTGAGCTTCAAATCTGCTACCCATGGGAGGATTTGGGTGGGAAATAGGGTGGTTCTAAAAAAGAATAAGTGTGATTTATGACAACATAATGAAGAAAATTAAAAAGGAAACAAAGCGACATGATCAAGTAGAAATAAATATTACAGAACATGGCTGATTCAACAAACCAATCAGAAAAAGAAACAGCTAAAGTGTCAATATTACATTAAATCAAACTTTACAATGCTAGCCAACGGAAGCCCTATAAAATAAACTCTTAAAGGCATGGCTGCATATTGATATATCAGGTGATGTACTGTCTAGGATACTTCCCTTAATATACAAAAAAAACCTACTGTAGTAATAACCGTACTTTTCTTCTACTGTGCTACTCGAAAAAGAAGACGAAAAATGGCAGCTGAGGTGAAAAAAAAATAGCCAGACTTGAGTTGAGGCTGTGAAAATAGCTCTGTGTTTACAAGAGCTTCTGTAACGTGTCAAATAACGGAAACTGACTCATTATTTTTCCAATGACAGAAACACCCCTGCATAGCCAGACTTGGATAATTCCTGAAACTCCGTAAACATTTAGGACATGCCTTTAGTTTGCGTTCCCAACAATACCCTGTGCAAGTTTTGACTTCTGACAGCTTGCATGGCATGTGAAGTACTTCTATTAGGAGTGGGTGATATGGCAAAAATATAATATTGTGATATTTAAAGACATTTTTACTTGATAGTTTTTTTTTGTTTTTTTGAGGTTCGATGGTGCCACATTTAAAATAAGTACTAACACAAACGATGAACATCAAGATGTTAATTCAAAATCCAGTAAACAGCCCCAATTAGACTATTTGCAATGAAAACTGCAGTTGGTCAATGTTAAGCACTGACAACATCCACAATTTGCTCGGAAAAGCATATTGTGACGTAATTTATCACGATAATGATAAATATTGTCATATTGCCCACCCCTACAGTCCATTTAGCACTGAAAGACTCTGTTAACCATATTTTAAAGTACTCAATTTCATCAGTAATGGTTATAATTTATTGTAATTGTTCATTGCTCACAGAACAGATCCACAGATCTCCCAATTGCACATCATGTGAGCCTCCATAACTGTGGCATAACTGCTTATCCATTCAAGGTACAGTGCCAACAAACATAAGTGTTTTGCCAAAAAATAACAAAAAAGGTAGCACTTCAGCATAGAGGACATTATGATACACTTTTAATGCACTTATAGAACCTCAACATGCCAGTAGCAACACATGTAATTAACTGGCTGCTTATAACTGCATATTAAGCAGTAAATAGAGTGAACTGAACAATTTCCAGAGCACAGTTGTGTCATCATAATGTTTTGCATTGTAGATGTCCATTATTAAGCCCTTATTAAGCCTCATCTAGCCAATAATGACTTACTGGCTGACAATTACATCATCACAGTAAATGAAGTATTTTCCAGAGAACTTGAGATGCTCTTATTACGCCTTATTGAGAGTCAAGACCAAGGAAAAATAATCTGAAATTTCTTTGCTTTTCGGTTTACATGCATTATTTACATGACAGATATCATATTATATTGCTGCCCAAAGAAAAACAAGTTTCTCCAAAATGGCAACTTTACAGGAAATGGCATTACTTTTTATGTAAGTTAATGTAAAGAGGTTTTATTCCAAGCAATTTTGGAGTATTTCTGTTGGCCCATTCGTCATCAAATTTTCACACATTGTAATGGGTGGCTGGTGTGCTCCAACCATGTAGATAAAATAATAAAAAAAAATGGAGATATATATTTTTTGGACAGTGATGAAATACTAGACTATCAACCAATAGGTCAAATGTCCATTTAGACTTTTGAAAACAAATGATGGATAACCAACAATGATAGTCAAGTACCAACTACGTGCTTGAAACAGCTTAATCAGGACATAAGTGCACTGGAAAATGCTTAATTCACCCCATTTGCTGCTTAATAATGTAGTTATTAGCAGCCAGTTCATTATGAACTCCTGGTTTGTTAAGGCTCATTATAAGGGCGTTATAATGTCCCCCATACTGGAGTGTTACTGAAAAACAAATCAAAAACTTAACGCAAAAAATAAGCAACACCTTTCACATCCACATTGTGCTTGGTAAGCTTAAGGTCATCTCAGTGAGTCAGCAGAAAGCATGGCGCTGAGGATGATGGACAAGTAGTGTTCTTCTGGTTCCAGGCTGGGGAGGTGCACTGATACTGCAGCTGGGAGTGGGAAGAGCGAGAGAGAGATAGAGACAGAGAGAGAGAAAGAGAGAGAGAGAGCGAGAAAGTGAAAGAGGAGTGTGAGATAGAGAAAGCAATAGAGACAGAGGACGCAGAGGGACAAGGCTTTAGCAGGAACAGCCGCCTTCGCTGACCGGCTGTTCCGGAGGCTTCTCCAGCTTTATGTCGATCACTGAGGAGGAGTTAAGGCAATCAACTGCCGATAACAAGAGGAAACAGTTTGTGTACAGTGTTTACGCAAGAAAATGCATTCAAAGCAGTGTAAATATTTTCCTGCAGGGCGTACTGAAGGATACTGTCTTCTCTGCTCTTGTCCTGTGTGCTCTCCATGCCGGGCAGCGCGGCAGCCACGCGCCGGAAAAGCTGGAGGAGAAAATAAACAAGGCGCTATTGTTAAGATCTGCCGATTAACCAGAGGAAAAAAAAAAAAAATAAAAAATCAGCAGTCAATCACACACAAGAAGAAGCCAGAGGAAGCGTGTGTGTATGTGTGCGCGTATGCTCAACACATCTTCATTTTGGGAGAAAGAAAGCATATCTTAAAGTGGCCACATGATGAAGAAACAAAACACAGCATTCAATCATTCAGATGAAGAGAAGTTAGATTAACTATCAGCACAATTTAGGTGCGACAGTGAAATAAGCCAATCACGTTTTGATTTCCAATGGGCGGGACAAATTTTGTGATTTAAGAAAAAAGTCACTCTAGGCCTTCTGGAAGTTTTAAATACGTCACTGACTGTGAATACAAGCGTCAGCCTGATCAGTGTGTTGTTAGAAATGGAAAACAGTGACAGCTCTATGTCGAGCTCCATACTGGAAGAGTCACTGTGAAACTGATACATAAAATATAAGCTAATGTGTCTGTTGCAAGCTTCAAGTAAAACATGGAGTGTCTTTTAAAAATCTGTGTTTGATCTAGAACGGCCAAAAAATTAGCCAAACTACTGTTAGCTTAGCGCTAACAAACTACTAGAATCCCCTTGGTTTGGTAATTTTCACTGTAGGTTTAATAAATTGCACACTTACAGCCTTTGAAACGCTTCTTGCTCAAAAAATAACAACAACAACCGTATGTAAGCCTACAGCCTACTGTTATTATAGCCTGTTTTTATTTTTATAAACAAAGGCTACTATTAAAGACTATTAATAACAACAATAGGCTGTCTTTACTTTTAATCCTTTCCTGCTTTTTGAACAAGGCACAATGCAGGGCAGCCAACATAGGTAACTTACATATATTCCATTCTATCGAGTTAGTTCACACTGCAGTCCCACAATAAAAAAAACTAATTAAACTTTTAAAAACAATTAAGTATTCAGACCTTAGATATTTACAAGGATTATGTTATGGTCTATTTAAATGCAAAGGAATTAATTGAGATAGTAATAAACTAGTAATAAGCTAAATATATATCAACTCATAATCTATAGGGTAACTTCTATTGGTAGGAACCTGCCGCAAACCCTAAGGCCTACATATAACATAATAAGTTTAATTTTTAAATGGAAAAAAAATACTTAATTCAAAAACGCTGTTTTACGTTTTCATGCCACTACCGAAACACAGAGTTTTAATCCACAAGCAGAGCCTAATTTTAGCCACTCCTCTACATTTTAGAGCAGAAAGTGAGACTGCATCCCTGTCCTTCATAGCCACATGGATGCTTTCAAGTAAATGTGTCCCAAAATCTGAAAATCAGTGTGGAACATTAAGAATTGTGACTACTGAAACACATTTTCTGCAATGAAGTACTTTTTTGTTCGCCAGTCATGTCTTGGTTAGTGTTTTTGAGCTCTGCTCAAAATGAGCTAAAATTGTCACTACCAAAACATTTGGTAAAGTTGGGTCGAGTTATTATTGTTTTTTTCGTCAAAATGGAATGTTTAATCCTTTATTTTATTGAATGAAATGTAATTATGGTCACTCAAAGCAAAAAAGACTTTAGTCTCAAGTCCAAGTTGGTTACAACCCAGTTTTTTAAAGCTTTAAACCAATTCAGTAGAATGATCCATTTATGTCTTAAATGCTTAGTATTTCATTCTAGGGGCTAAAGACGTTGGAAAATGGTCAATTTTGACTGTTTTTGACTCACAGAAAGCCCATAAACGGTGAGTTTCAGGGAAAACATAATATTAAAAAAGTAGAATATGGCCCCTTTAACTGCATTTCACAAGTACAGTCTGAAAAGACCCAAATTATACTTTAAACTTAAAAGAGAAGCCTAACTGTGACGTTACAGCTCCCCACAATGCATTTCCTTGTGCAATTAATCACAAATGATTGACAGCTGGAAGGCAGTATTCCTTGTGCTGGTCCCTCAAAGCCAGAAGAGAGGATGAATCAGCAGATTGACAGCACTGAAGCTCTGCATGAGAAACGGCTTGAGCCGAGCAAGATGTCTGTTCTGCCTCGGCCCGCTTTCCGTTTCACTCCAACAATGAGGCCAATTCAGAGCCTCCAGACAGCGTTCTTTTCTCCCCACTACGGAGACAATGGCTGCTCAGAACAGGCCCTGAATACCCAGCTTTCATCCGACAACAACAAAACCTGTCAGAATGACAAAAGTTTGAGCTCAAAGAGTGGGAGCTTTTCCTGTTCCTCTTAATGTATCACTGTGCGCTATGTGATAGGATTGTCATTAGGAAATTCTGTGATGCATGTTGTACGATGCTGTATACCTTTCAGTAGAAATAACCTTTCATAACCTTTAGAAGATGCTAAACCAATTCAGAGTCGTTGTCATTTGGCGGTCACTGTCTATGCGAATTTGCTGACCATAACTCAGTGATTAAAGAGAAGCGTGATAAGCATCATCAGGTGAACAGTGAGAATCAAAAGCTTATAATTATGCAGATATACTCTCACAAAAAGACAAAGTACTGTGCAGAAGTCAGAGAACGCCCTTCATTTATTCCATTTCTAGTCAAAACAGTCATTAAGTAGAAGGTATTAAATTTTTAGTGACCCATTTAACACAAAATTAAACAGAATCCTCAATAACTAAATATCAATTTTTCTTAGTATTAACTTGTTCTCTCTTTGCCTTTGTCCAGTCTTTTCACATTGCCTCCAATCTTTTCAAAATACTTGCTTTCAGCTTTCAGAAATCTGCAAGGATATTTTTCCACATCTCCAAAGTTCAGTCTTAAAAGTTGGTGCACTTTGTGCTTCTTGATCTCCAAGTTATCCCAGATACACATCTGGACTCACCAGTCCATAAAACCTTACTCCACATCTCAGATGTCCAGTTTCAGTTTTCTGGAGCAAGTTTCCTTCTTTTGTGTCTATTTCTTTTCTCAGTAAGAGCTTTTTGACAGCTACACATCCTTTCAGACTCCTAGCGCTGTGTTGTCTTCTCACAGTGGAAGGATGGCTGTGGATGTTTTCAGATCTTAAGTAAGAGTGGAGCTTGATTTTCTCCTCTCTCTCAAAGATGAAAGCTTTAAGTGCTGTTTATCTGATAGGGACAGTTTCGGTGGTCTGCCAGCTCTTGCAGGTGGTTGTTAGGAGCCCCATTTTCCCTCACTGATTTTCCTTTGACTTTCCTTTTTCTTATGCAAGTGGATTATTTTTCATATAATCTCATCAGAAACATCTTTATCCATTTTAGTGGGTACAGTTTTTGTTGGCAGCTGTAACTATTTGGTTTTAAGATGGAGGAGGATGGAACAGTTAAAGTGGACTATGTGCACAAAAGCGAGAGTGGACATATTGATAGGTTTGATATATATATAGTTGAGTCTTTTTAGCAATTTCCTGTTAAATATGTTTCCTGCTTGAAAAGTGAATAACCTGTCCTTAATGACTGTTTTGACTGGAAAATTGAAAAAAAGGGAAAGGGTGGTCCCTGACCTTTGAACAGTACTGTACATTGCTAGCATCTGACAAATCAAACCAGCTACCACCACTCTTGATCATCCCTCAAACTTGAGGGGATAAAAGTGTGCTCGAGTGCATAAGAGGATGTGTCACTGCTAAAATCAGTGGGACACTGACACACAGGTGGGCATGCGTGAGGGCAGCGAACAAAAACAAAATATCAAACCCACACACACACACAAACACGCTCTACCTGTTTCACATTGTATCCTGTCTTTGCGCTCGTTTCGATATACAGAACATTCATTTCTTTAGCTCTCTGTTCTCCCTCTTCAGTTGTTATGTGTCTGTGATGGAAGACATGCGCATTGCCATTCACACACACACGTTTCATTCACAGCACGTTCACACACATCGCCAGGACACACACACAAACAAAAGCAAGAGAAAAAACAAATGTAAACACATTGAAGTGAAAATGTTTTCCGCACCTGGCCTCACTGCTGCTGCTGTTCCTGCTCAGTACAGAGCCTCAGTCTGACACCAATGCATACTAACATTAACATACTCCACCACTGAGTTGCCAGTTGATTAGGTACACCGACGTTATACACTTCTTTCATATTCATTGGCCATTTTATCAGAGATTTATACAACAGTTCTGGCCATGCAAGCTGATGGTTGAGAAGCGTTCTAACTGTGGTGTTATTTCGCAGTAACGTCACGGGTTTTTCACAAACACTGTATCACTCCGCTGAGACGCCATTGCTAAGCAACAACTCTGACAGCTGTAGGAGACGCTCAAGCCATTTGAACGTTTTTACTTCTTACTTTGCCACAAACAGAAAATGGACACTTAAGATCACATTTGACCGACAGCCGATTTGGTCAGACTCTGAAGATGAGACTACACTAAATTCCCAAACTGTCAGTCGGTCTGTGTGGAGCTGGAGAACGAACTGCCGGCTGTGCAGCGAGTGGGCGGAGCTCGTTACTCTGACGTAGCAACAAGCTGCTTGTTCAGGAACTACAATTTGGTGGAAGGAACTGCGAACATTTAAACATATTAAACGCCGCGTTCACGGCCCAGTTTATCAATTTATTACTTTATTTATTTAACTGTTGTATAAAAACGATAGAACACTCGAGGTCATGTGTTATCGCTATAACATCACGTGCCTGCGTCCAAATCACAGCTGTGATGTTATTTCGTGACAACACACTCCCTCTCGTGTTCTATAGCTTAAATCTACCATAGAAGTCACTTTCTAGGTTTACATTAAGTGTAGCCCATATGTTGCACAATCCCATCAGCCTTCCCTTTATCCCATCTATCAATGGAAAGGGACCACTATATGACCCTGTTGACCAGCTACACTGCTGGGATGTTGACCACTGATGAAGGGCTAAAATTGTGTGTGTACTCCTAAAAGGTGGACCAACATGGAAAATATGTCTTTTAAAGTGGCTAGTAAGTATATTTAAAAGCCTTTATGAATTCATTCCAGCAATACATACACTACAGTGTCCTTGCACATCAGTGACATGGTACAACTACTGTATCAGCATTAGCGCTGTGTTGAGAATGGTCCACCACCCAAACAGTATTCTATCTGGTTCCTTTCCACCGATGGTCAGGGTAGAGTAGAGATGGACTACGATCAGTAATGGTACACAAGTACTGAATGGCCAATAATATCAGCCTACATTTCTATCACTTTTGGCAAGAATATTGACACTAACATCTCAACTTTTTTTTTTTATCATGCCACCGTCAGGATTCAAGCTTGTGTATAACATGTTATAACAAAACATTTATTATGAAAAATAAGAAGTAATTAACAGAATCCGATTATGAAAAAAAGTTCTAGGGAGCTCCACCCCAGTGCTACAACATTTATATTATTTAGGTCTGTGCATTTCTAATGTTTGAGTTTGCGAAGTGCACCATTTGAGAACTGACAATCATATCAGTCACTAAATCACTGCTTTGACTAAAACTACTGGAGTATAAAATGAATGTCAATCTGAAATTAAAACTGTTTTTTTTGTTAGTTTTGTTAGTTCATGTTCCTGATCATATTAAGCATGATTCATCTCATCATACCATTTAAAAGTAAAAATGTTGTTTTCTGTAATTGTTGGTAGAAATGTAGCGACCACCTCTAAATCATTTGATTTGGATGACATCACCACTATTAAATAATGTTAACCAATATCATACCCCTCCCACCACCAATCGCGAGAAGACACTTAGTTACCTCAGAGATCCTCCCTGATGTTTGACTCAGAAATACATCACGGTATGGAGGGAAAAAGCGATGTGATTTCTGTAGACTTTAAAATCTAAAATGAATCAATATATAAATACATATTTTATAATATAATTATGAAATTGTGTTAGCATGAGCTTCATCCACAACATTTTTGTATCCGTAGCACCTTCCTAAAAAGCGCTCCTGTATGGTTGGTGTACCTGATAAACTGGCTACTCCAGCGGTTCAAACTTATCTGGACACAAAGGTCATCTTAAGACAGTGGAGTAACTATGATTTTGAAGCCAATCTGTTATACACGTTCTTAACATCACACTGAACTTAACATTCAGTTAAGAAAAAAAAAAACTCTAACAAAAACTATAGTTAAATACTAGCTGCTGATTTGAACTTGAGCTGAGGATCACAGTGGGAGCAACAACAGCGGCAGCTGAGGAGGACCGGAGGCTGCGGGTCAGGCTCAAACTCACCTGCTTCACATTGTAGCCTGCTTTAGCACTAGTCTCAATAAACATTACATTCAGCTCTTTGGCTTTCCTCTCGCCCTCTTCAATAGATACTTGCCTGTGGCAAATGAAAAGGTTACAGATGCTGGAGAGTTCATAAACAAAGCATTTTCAGAGATTTCAGCTGTTTTTTTGTGCATTACAATGCGAGTGAAAAGGAACACTGGTAAACCTTTCATCTAGGCCTGTGTCGGTGAGCCATCTCAAAACCACTGGAAGAAAAAGTGTTGCTATTATTATCTCTGCAAGTACATCTGCTGATGTTTCCAGGAACATCACTAATTAAGTGTTCAGAAGCATTAGTAGTTGTACTTACAGATTCTCCTCCTTCTTCTTACTATTATTATTTATATTACTATTACAGTAATGCTTTTTCCTCCAGTAACTTTGAGGCCGTTCCTAACTCTTAAGTCTGAAATCATATCTATGTTAGGTACAATAAACATGATACTAATGTCAGATATCACATCAACAAAATGTTTAAAAGTTCCACAAACGAATCCTGAAATTAACAAAATAAAGTCATCCAGATTGGTTTAGTGCGAAATGCTCCGTTCCAGAGAAACTTACAGACCCAGAATTGTTCAATGGTGGTGATAGGAACCAGACGTCTAAAGAGTTTAATGCCTCAAAAAGCTTCCTCACGGAAAGCTATAGCATAGAATGGTTATGATTACATTGAGTGTGTATACATTCGCTCAATAATCGGATCATATTAAGACTTCTGCAGTTATCCGATTATTCGAATGGTCATGTAAACACCACACTCCAATCTAGAAATCCGATTAAGAAATCCAATAAAAAGAACTGTATTTTAGCTCAGTTATCAGATTTCTCAGTGCATGTTACTCTGATTTCTGTTGGATTTCTCAGTCCGACAGATTTCTCAGAGAACAGACAGTGGATGTCGTGAGATGGCAGCAAAACACTGCGCTAAACCAAACACGAAATGAAGGATTTAAGTATTCTTCATCTTCTAGAGGACGCATGTTCATATTTTTCAGGTAAAGTGGAACGATGTTTAAAAACAAAAAAAAAAAAGGCAGCATGAAGTCTGAGTTTTGCGTAATGTTTACGTCACGTCTTCTTCTGTGAGTTTATTGGCTGGTTGCAAAGCAGAAATCTGATTACTGTCTTCTCCATTATCTGATTACTCCAGAGCATGTAAATGTGTTGATTGGATTACTGACAATATCTGATTTTCTGCAGTTATCGGATTATTAAATGCATGTAAACGCACTCACTGTCTGATGCCTGTTTTATGATAGTTTCGCAAAATGATTTTGGCCTAAAATGTAGATTTTGAAATCCATTCAAGGTGGAGAGATACATGTGTGGTGTTATAAGATTTCTTAAGGGACCATTTTGTCTTATATTTTCAGATTTACCACTATTTTAACGAACAATGCATATAAAAACTCAGAAGACACCTGTAGGTTCACTGGTCATTCTGGTATCGCAAATAAAATGGCTGTATTTGTGATGTAGCCATTGCAACCCCTGGTTCCCATCACCACCACTGTAAAATATATCTGAGTCAGTAAATTTCTGCCAAATGAAAAATCAGTGCTGTGATTAACCAGGCCTACGTTCATCACAGTTCCTTTACTCAGAATTTGCAAGACGTAAAAAACAGATTATTAAGAAACACTGATGATGTTTGACGGTAGAAGGATATGACACAACAGCTCCTGGGCGAGACGTTTAGTAACTCCGCTATTAGCACACACCTTTTGTCAGCAAGATCTGTCTTGTTCCCAACCAGCATGATGATGACATCACTTCCTCTCTCTGTTCTGACATCATCAATCCATTTTGTTGTCTGCTGGAAGGAGTTGACATCTAAAAGGAGAAAATAAATACCATGTTGATTCGATCTTAAATCAAGCAAAATGTCACTGAACAGGAAACTATAGATGAAAGTACTGAAAAGAACAGATGAACACCAAACTAAGCACAGACAAAGACAAACGAAGGGAAAGGAAAAGGGCAAATAAGGTTCTCTTGGCTCACGTGTCTAGAACCGAAAGTGCCGAATGGTGCTTAAAATGACTCAACGTGTGCTAGTGATTACAGGATTACAGGATCAATCCTTTCCAGCAACTTCAATCAAAACTTCAATATATCCAGCAGGATTACTGAAAACAGCAGAATGCGATAACGAACCTCAAAATAAATGGGTTATTGTCACGAACATGACAAATACTGGGACTCAACTCGAAAAGATTTAAATGAAGATAAATGTATAATATTTTTTTCTCGGCTTTTCAGAATCTATATACTGTTGCTAGACAAAGTATATTAAAGCTAATTATGCAAAAACATATTTTACAAATTGCAATATTTTGTGATTTTATGCGATTACTGCAAAATATTAACAGCCATTGAGGTTTTTCCTTTCTCTAAAACATTTTGTTATGATACACTTCCTTAGAGTTTACAAAGAAGAGATTAAAATTGAACAGCTGATTCAAGAGTTGAAAACAGTACAAACTCTTTTTTTCGTAATTAGAAAAGTAATTACATGTAGTCACATTGTGGTAATTAAGGTAAAAAAATACTATAGAAAAATGAATAACTTTTAATCTTTTGCTGTATCCAATCTGGAGAGCTACTAAATTACATGCTTATCTGCATGATGATTAAGACATGCAGATATTAAAGGACATAATATGTGATAATGACTCAAATGCAGGTGTGCTGATTTTGCCCTGATTTCCTAAGATAAGTCCCCCTTTATAAAGGACATACATTACTACGATTCATTCACTGGAAACCGGCATATAAGAAAGGCCACTAACACTTTTTAACAAAGCTGCTAAATTGGCAGGCGGTCCTAATTAGATGTCACTGATCCAGTACCGTGTTACTGGGCCGTTATCAGAAAAAAAAATTACTAGATCACATTTTGGAGGTAAAAAGAAAGGATCCAATCCTGTAACAAAGCTATCCTGAAACAGCACACATTCACACAGTGTGCTGTGATTTTGTTAGATGTGTAGTTCTTCCTATGGAGCTGTAGAGTGGTCGAGTAGTTTTTGATCTATCGATTCTCATCTTAACAGGGATTAGAAGTTGCTCATTTTAAAGCGTTTGTTATTTTTAAACGAAGAGATATCGGATTGGTTTCAGACAATACTCATGGTTTGATATCGGTATCAGAAAAAATTGGTATCCTTCCATGTCTAGACCTAATCAATAGTGAATTCATGTAATTCTTAACACCAGGACATAATATACTAATAACAACTACAATAAGAAATAGCAAGTTCAGCATTCATGGCACTGATGGCTAAAATAAAAATGTGATGCCTTAAAAAGGTGGGAAAAATTAAACTAAAGATACAGAGAAACATATAAATGCAAACGTAAAACATTCAGAAATAAAGAAAAAGAGGGGGGAGGGGAAAGTGTGCGGCAGGCGGAAGAAGAGGAAAAACAAAAAGCCAAAAAGGTGTGAGTGAAGACGCAAAAGGTCAGAGGAAAGAAATCTGATTTTATATGGCATCTCGTGTGCTCTTCCCCCCCCGAGTCCTGGGCCGCCGGGCTCCGCACTCACTTGTGATGTCATAGACTACGACGGCCACGGTGGAGTCACGAATGTAGCTGGGGATCAGACTGCGGAAGCGCTCCTGTCCGGCCGTGTCCCAAAGCTGCAGCCGCACCTAGCCGACCAACCGAGCCCCAGAGAAACAGCAGGAGGAGGGAGGGAGAGAGAGGGGGAACGGAGAGAGAGAGAGGGGGAGAGACGGAGGAGAGGACGCAGTAAGAGAGGAGGGAACTGGACGGAGGACGGCGGGACGGGGGGGAGGGTTTGGGGGGATTCAGGCCAGCAGGCCTGAGGTACCTACTTGTGATGTCGTATACTACCACAGCGGCGGCCGAGTCACGGATGTAACTGGGAATGAGGCTACGGAAGCGCTCCTGGCCTGCTGTGTCCCAGAGCTGCAACCTGATCTGTGTGGGATGGGACAAATTATAAAGGAAAAAAAAAAAAGAAAAAGAACCAAAAGTGGGAAGAAATGTGCAAAGAAAACAGCTGGAAGTAATGATGACATGACCAAAAGTAATGATGTCCAAAAGTTTGTAGGCACCTGTTCATCCAGTGTTCATCCAGAAATCAAGGGTATTAATTGGGGCTTTGCCCGTCTTTGCTGCATTAACAGTCTCAACACTAGCTGTTGGAACACTGCTGTGACAATATGATTGCATTCAGCCACAAGAGCATTAGTGAGGTCAGGTACTGATTAGTTCTGGATTTCTTCAACTCATCTCTAAGGTACTGGAGCTCCATCACTTTAGAGAATGTAGTTTGCAGTTCCTCTTTAGCTAATGCTTGGCACTGAGCATGGCAACCTTAAATTAATTTTATATGATGTCTAACAATAAATTAAATCTACAATACAAAATGATAAATTGGTCAGATTAAACAGGACTGCACAGCTCTCACATCTGTGATTAAAACATACATTCCATAATTTGCATTGTTTCAATCGAGTCTGCCAGTCTGTTAGCTCATCTGAAGGGGCGGCTTTCTTCACTAAAGGCGTCCTCAATATAGACATGAAAACCTGCTGAAAACCTCTGCGTTATTACATTTTCTTTTGTGTACCTGAACTTTTTAGTCAGGTGCTACCAGGTACCTGAGTTGAAAGTTCGACGGCCATTGCAACAGTAACTAAAGGAGGCAGGACCTCGAACATGTCAGTTGAACAAGACAGGACAGTTGAACACATCAACAATGGATGCATCTTAAACTCACTCGCAAAGTGTCTACATACTTTTGGACAAATATGAAAGAAAAAGAATGGGTTAAAAAAAGAGGCTCTCAAAAAGCACAAAAAAAATACATGAAGGGGTTAAACAGACAAACATTCAACCAACGTGGAACAGAGACAGACTGGATGGGATGTCTGCAGTACTGGGATGGAGTTCCGCAATCAGAAATTGCTGAAGAAGAGTCATCAGTTAATTGATATGAGAATGAACAGAAAGGGATTAGGAGGAAAAACAGGGAAAATCAGGCTGATTTGGTCAGGGTAAAATAGAGTTAGAGAGAACAGTAGGTGGAGGCTCAGACAGAAGGGCAGAAGATGCAGTCCTGGCACTGGAGGGACACACAAAGGCCCAGCTTTGTGGCAGCCAGGGCTTTCAGCCGGTACTGCAGTGTTCAGAGGGATTCACTGGTAAATGCATTAGTTACAAATGGCCAAATCAGCAGGGGTGTAAAAATGCAAGGTGACTGATGATCAGCATCGACTTTGGAATGTTAGAATCATTTATAATTGATTATAATAAGATTCAACGAAGTACGCACTAATTTTCTAGCTAAAATTCTCCAATTTCATGTACCATGTTAAGAGCGTATTGTTGTCACTGTTTATATTTCACTACTGTGTATCAGAGCCCAACCGATATATCGTTTGGCCGATAACATAAGCTGATATTGTCAACCCGCAGTTTAATCAGTATCTGCAAAAATACCACAGATAATACACCGATAATTAGTGTCATTTCTTGTTTTCAGCATAGGCCAATACCTCGGACACTGTGGGGCCCAATATGAGGCACCACCCCTTTAACCATCAGGCTAAATTTAAACACAAAAAAACAACAAAAACAGGTAAAACTTATCCAGACCTGACATTTCTCATAAGAATAACATGTTAACCCAGAACAAAACTCTTAACAAAAATCTTAAAAACTAATATATAAATATAAGGTTATATCTGTCAATATTATGGGTTATCTAGAATATCAGAGCCTGAAAATGTGTTTCACACAAAATTTTCATATTGTTTGGGCCCTACTGTGTAGCTCTTCCATTTACATTTGTGCACTTTTTAAATACCTCTAAATTGTACGAAAATAACAATCAAACTAAAAAAGTCCTGAGGAACTGTACTTGAATCAAAAGGCTGTAGGAGATTTACACCCCTGCAAATTTAACAATTATAGCTGTTGCCAACACGTAACAAAGAGCTGCGACACCATCACGTGACATATACAGTTAAACATAAGTTATCATCATATGGTCATGCAAACTACAGTGAGTGAAAAGAGGGACAGATTTAGACTTTATTAGGCCAACAATAAGACAGAATCCAGCCTTCTGCATAAATGCTTCAGCTTTACAGCCATAAGCAGCAGTTCAGAAAGGGCACATGCATCATACAGAAACCATTCACAGAGTTAAAGAAAAGATTCTCCACATTTTTCTACATTTGAAAATAATCCTCCACATATGACTGAGACTGAGCATTATGAGTCTTGGCCTATAGACTTTAAACATGCTGACATTTTGCCCTAGAACAAGATCTGGTCTAAAACCATTTACCATCCTGAAATGTACACAAATAATTGGCGAACCTTTTCTTTAAATACACTGTACGTATATATACAAGTTACAAATATACATGAACAAGTTGTGTGTAAAACCCATCCTTTTCATCACATAACAATTTATAACTTGAATGCAACAATCAGGAAAGTTGCACTTCAGTATGAATTCACAATGTAACATCATTGTCATCATATAATTACTGACTTTACTACACCTAGGATTACAGTAGGGCTGGCCCGAACAGCCTTTTAGAGGCTTCAGATCCACTTATGTTTCTGAAAATGTTTTTGTATACTTGTTCTCTAAACCACCCCCTTTAAAAATATAAAATAATATTTTTACATTGTGACGTGGCAAAAATGCATTAATAATAAGGCTGAAGCCCAGCTGCTCACGTACTCTATGTTGCTGACAGTATCTATGACTGCAGCCCTCTCAGTCAAATGCAGCTCTAATGAGAGTCACTTGTGTCACTCGCACACCATTAATGAGTCGCGTATCTAGATGCTAAGGATAAACATATTAAAATGATCATTTTATGTCAACATCAACGTCAGGGTATAAGTTTGTTTTATCAAGTTATTTTACTTGGCTAGTCCCCTTTTTAGTCCCCTAAGATTCTTCAGTGCATTTGAAGTGCTCCCACATGTGACTCCCTTCTTTAGCCTCAGTAGCCACATGGACAGTGGTGCAGTTTGAGGTCGAACGACATGAATGCCTGGCATGGATTTATTCATCTAAACCAGATCAAGTTTTTTAGTTTTTAAAGTTTTCCATATATTAACTACAGCTGTTCTATCTAAAGGTTTTTGTTGTTGAAATGTGTTGTATTTTAGGCTAAAAAACACAAGCTTTTGAATACTAGATAGAGAACCGCATACAAATCAAACCAATAATTATTCAAATTATTCGAGCCAGCCATAGATCACACACTAATGTAACATTTGAAAAACATCATTTCGTTTATTTGCTGTTAGAAGAAATTAAAAAACATGCTGAAGTAAAATAAAAGAAACTTACTGTTCTGTCCTCAAGGTACATCGTTTTCGACAAAAAATCAATTCCTATTGTGGCCTGCAGATTCAAAAAGTGGCACGTCAGGCAGAGAAACTTCAAAACACAACATTCAATTTATGGATTATGTCAGTTTCTTCAGCACATACTTTCTGAAAAACTACACAACTCAAAAATGAGCCCTCACCTGGTAGGTATTATCAAAGCTGTCATACATGAATCTGGTGATCAGTGAAGTCTTCCCAACTACGAGAGAGAAAACAGAGCCAAAAACATAAAACTGTCAGTCAAACATTTTACTATTTAAATCTTCAAACTTGGCTGTACTTGTAACATTATACATAGTGGTCAAAATCTTTTATGAAACCAAATACCATCTCAGTGATGGACACGACAGCTGTGTAGCATTGTGCAAGACGTGTAGTGATGTGTTTATGCACTGTAATTTCCCTAATTTCTGTATGAAATACTTTCTGATGTATTTCGATCGTAAAAACACATGAATATGCTCTCCGCCAGACAGGTGTGAAAATCCAAAGTCTGGAGAATGAGTCAACAGAGCCGCCCAGCCCTCTTTTAACTCAGAGTTTATCCTGTTGCCCAATGTGTCTTGGCTGAAAGTCTGGAATCTGCAGCTTTCGCTCCATGGCAGCATGTAACACACACTCAACAACAACCAGTAAAATGGAGATGCTAGGATGCAGGGCTGTAATGATACCCACATGCCCACCAGGCCTCTAATGAAACAAACCGCAAAAACAAACAGATTAAAAATATAAATAACTTCAGAAAAATAGCCCAGTCATAGCATAAGCCTACTTTACTCTGATAGGCTGCACCCAGCTGCCTATTTTTGATCATAGATGGTTTCCACAAAAGACAGGAAATGAGAGACACTTGAAAGAGAGCAAGAGGCATTAGTGACAGTTCTTAATGTCAAAACACTATTTTTCAATACTATGTTGAAATCATCACACCCTTCCTATGATACAGCCTGAGGATTTCACAGCTTACCTTGCAATTAATCTCACAGAAAGAGACTCCTGTTGCAATCGACAAGATCATCTAATGTAAAACACAGGTATTAAATCAGTTGTGAAAGCTGAATCAAACACATTATCATTCCTGAAGCGCTTTAAATGTGTAACGGCGTTTTCACTCTCGTTCTGAATACCCGAGTCCGCTCCCAGAACTAATTCTGAGCTTGTCTCAGGGAGGGTCTCATTATGGCAAGTTTGTTTTTTAAAGTGATACCTTCTTGTAAACCATGGATCGATCACAGAATTCGAATTTGAAAATAGATTATCCAAAATAATTTAAATAAGTAGATTAATCTGTCTAAAATTGAGCAAATACCACAGAAAAACTCAAAGCTAGGAAGCAAACATTAGCCTGCCAGCTGCATTCTAGTACAGGGTGCTCAACCCTGGTCCTGGAGATCTACCACATCCAAGACACTTAATATTCAGATGCCCCTGAAGGCCTATATAACATGGATCAGGTGTATTAGATTAGGGTTGGAGCTAAACTCTGCATGGTTGTATATCTGCAGGATCAGGATTAAGCACCACTGTTATAATGCCTGTATCTCATTCAAGCACTCGAGTTTAGCTAGGCGGACTGCCCGGCCTCCATTATTGTAAAGGAAATGCTGATCAGGGATCGGTTCTCTGGACAGCTCCCGGGCTCAAAAACAGCTTTCACCATCGGCCAAACATGCTCAACTCACATAGCAAATAGCCATGGGTCTGGAAAAAGGCTGAAGTGTGAAAACCACAGCAGCCTAGAGCCGAGGTGTCCAATCTTGTCCGAAAAGGGATGGTGGACTGAGAGTTTTTATACCAACAGAGCAGAATCACACCGGCTCAACTGGGGAATGAGACTAAGTGAGGAATCAGATGTGCTTCTGCTTGTATAAGATAATTTTAAAAATAAATGTGAAATTATATCACCCAAAATGATAATTCATCAGAATTTTCATCCCCTTAAATTCAGTACCGACTACAAAATTTCAATTAACAAATCGTCAAATCAGCCAACCTAGAAGATGACAACACGCACCCGGTAAAAGATCTGCCTAATGAATCCAAACCTAGCCACAGCAGTCCTCTTCTGCTGCCTCGTCTTCCTCATTCAACTCCTTCTACTCATCACAGAGGCTAATTAGGTAAGACGTTCCCTCCATTTACCTCTTTACCTCGCTGCACAGAAATGGAAACGAGCACTTCAATTATGCATTCCTGCTAATGAAAGAGATCAGTGCTTCTAAACGACACGTAATGTCTAATTAAGGCCTCTTTGAGGAAGCAGCCTGATAATGACTTCAGTGCTCTGAAAGGGGGAGTTTGTGAGAAAGGTGGGCAATTTCTAGTTCAGTCATAACCATTTGTAAGAGGCAAATGACCTGCTTGGACAATGTCCATTAACTCTTTGAAACTGATTGCAGAAAAAGCACCAAAAAGCTGTTCAATGAGCCACTACAGACGAGAGTCTCAGCTGTGCTCCATAATTACATCAGAAAATACTACAAAAACAAGGTCTGTAATCTAGGACTGAGTACATAATGGTTAATGCTTGAAATAGGTTGCTATATTTTACACAGATACACTTTGGCCCCATCAACAATGCTCGCTATCTTAAAAGGCATGTGACCTGAGTGACCGTGAATCATTTCAGACAAAGGAAGTCTACAAAAAGGAGAGTGGGTGAATTTCAAAAAGGATTTTAGCATTGCTGGTTTTGCCTGTTTCTACCACTTGACCTGCTAAGCAGCAGTTAGAACCCAAAAGTATAGGAGGCAGGAGAGGACAGGAACTGTAATTACATTCCAGCAAGTCTCTGAAGGACACAGAGATGAAAAAAAAGCAACGAACAGCCATTATAAGCTTTCAGAAGGCAGTGAAAAGTGAAATTGACTCAAATCAAGTCAGTGATTCACAGAGGGGTTTGCAAAGAGTAAGAAGCATCATAACCTGGGGAAGGGGGGCAAAGATATGAGCCAACACTTGTGCTAATTATACACTGGGATCATTCCTAGCATTCTTGTGGAGGAACCTGCAGCAGCTGCTGGACGAGAGCTCATTTCCTTATGACTACTGCAGTCTCCTCCCACTGCCTGCCTTCACCAACACTAAATGGTTCCATTGTAAAGACTCCGAGAACTTTTTTTTATGGGTAAGTCAATATTGGGTCATGTTTGTGACAAATATGTATAGACGCCTGATCAGGGTTAGAAGACAATCAGATTCTGATATCATTCTCTGAATGCTTTAGGTTCTCCTGATAAGCTTATCCCACCAAGTTGCATGCAAAATGCAAAGTCCAACGCTGTATCAGGAAGGGGATATGAGCTGTAGAAAGGGACAAATATGCAAAGAACCTAACAATTTTGCATCTACTGAAGGTTGGACTTCATCAAAGGCTTACATCACAGCCTTTAATATGGAAAGAGTCAAAAGGCCAGGAACGAATTGCAGGATAGCATCCCAGTGAGAGCTTTCCTCTTCCTCCTGCTGTTCTATTTCGGACAACTGCTGCACTTACACAAGCTCCTTGCCACCATCACAAGCAAAATCTACTGAGCAGAGAGAGTAGGGGTGGGTGACAAGGCAAAAATATCATGACACATGAAGACATACTCACTATAAACATCAGCCATTATAATATTTAAGTTCAGACATTTGTAACCATTTGTAAGAGGGAAATGAATTGCATAGATAATGAATGATCCTATAATGATACCTCTTTGAAACTAATTGCACATAAGCACCAAAAAGCTGTTCAATTATCTACAACAGACAAGAGACTTAGCTGTGCTCCATAATTACACCTGAAAATACTAAAAACACAAGGTCTGCAATCTAGGTCTGGGTACATATTGGTTTAATGCTTGAAATAGGTTGCTGTATTTTTACACAGATACACCTAATATTTAGTTCAGTGAAACTTTTTTAAAAATGCCATCAAAACCTTGAGTATGATTATCGTTTGACAGACTGCAGTGCACTAAATCAAACTAAACAAGGCTAATTATTACAGACAGCAATTTTACTAAGGCTACGTTCACATTACCAGGCTGAAGTGGGACAAATCAGATTTTTTGCCCTAATGTGACTCAGATCTGATGTTTTCAGGGCTGTGTGGACACATAAATCTGATCTGTTCAAATCCGACCTGAGCCACTTTCATAAGTGGTCCTAGATCGGATACATATGCGATTCATGGCCATCGTTCAGCGTTACCATGGCAGCAGCGCCCAACAGACGTTACAGCCTGTAAGCCTGTAAACGGCGGAAAAGCAGCTCATCTCACCTTTTCCGCCTTCGTCTCGCTCTAATAATGAAGCTGAGAGCTGAACGGAGTTAATTATCTTCACAGCGAAGCTCGTTCTGCTTGTTAGTTTGTGCTGATGATGCACCTGACATTACTGAGTAGGATGTGCGCATGCGGGTCATTTCAGGACGCCAGTCCGTTCACATTCATGACAGATTTTGAATCACTTACCTAAACGAGTGTGAACAATTGTCTCAGAGAGATCGGATTTAAACAAAAAAAATCAGATTTCAGCAATGAGGCTTGTAATGTGAACGTAGCCTAAAGTTAATACTAGCAATCCTAAAATCAAGGATGCAACCAATCAAAACAAATCAATGACAATACTGATAGTTCCAGTTGTAAATTCTAACTGGAGGAGCAGAGTTTGAAACCAGCGTTAAATACTTGTCCTCTGTCTCATCACTTGTGGACTTTTGCTTTTGATATAGTAAATTGCTGTAGTTGTGCTTAAAAAGTGGCCCCGAACACCATCAGTTTTAGCTGGACACTTCAATTTTTAGGCAGCTTATCCAGCAGATCCAATTATCTATTGCGCCCTCATACAGTACAAAAAGTTCCTCAACCTTAATGATAAACCTGTCTATTCAAAATAAATACATATTTTCCAATCAATAGCATTGGTCAAACGGTCACTTGCATCCCAACTAATTTTTCTTTCTTTGTAATGAAAGAAGCATATAGTGATGTAATGTATCACAATAATGATTAAATATTATATTGCACACCCCTAAGAGACGACTCTCAATCCTAACAATAGTAATAGATGGTAGATAAACAGATAGTAACGGTGTTTGGCCAGAGTTCACCAGGTTTCATCTCAAGACGAGTTAGACAGGCGTGCGGCCTGGACAAAATAACACAGACATAAAAGAGAGCGCTTAAGAGACGGCAGAACATGACTCAAGTTCTCTATGCTCAGCAATCAATGCCACCTCTTATACTGGTCTCAACATGTTTTTAGTTCACTGCAAGGCAAGCTGAGACAGCATTCAGTTGCTCACCCTGTACCGGTGCGAGCGCAGTCGGCCCATGCTGCCTGGACAGGATGTAAAACCATTGTTGTGACCTGCTATGACACTCATTTAATGCGTGAAAACCAAATAATGCTTCTGGAAAAAAAAACAGCACAGAACCCTGGTGGAGTGGTTGTCTACAGCTTCATCCCCTCACTGAAATGTAGTTAAGAACAGCTGGATTAACAGCGACAGATCTGCCAACTGTGGAAACAAGCAAAAGCTCACAGTCCGTCACGCAGTCCTTTGGGCAAACCCAGACAGAAAAATGTCAATTCTACCAGGAACTGTTTTCATACACACCTTCTGGGCTCTTTCTGTAGTGACAGAAACATATGCACTATGAGTTTGCACATTATGGCAAGATTAATTTGAAAACACCTTTAAAAGCCATAATGCATGGCTCATTCAGCATGTGAGAGCAAAGAGAACCGTCAATCAGACAAGCAATCCTCGGCTGCACCTGCCCCAGACCCCTTAAGCTAGCCTATGAGCTGCATCCAGATGCTGTAGCCCAAAGACAAGCGTCCTACACAGCATGCGTTCACTTGTTTTTCCACCAACTTATCATGCTGTACAGCACAAAAAGGCAGATCAGATGGAAAAAGTGCATTTTATGTTTAAGACTATGATTCCACCACATACTTCAGTTATGAGGTTACTAATATAACTCATATGAAGGGTTGCTTGAACTTGGCCTCTCCTGATCTCTGACATCTTTTCCATGACTCTGATTTATGCCAGAAGACAATAATATCATGAAAAAGCCTGATTATTTCTGTCAATGACCATTATTCTTAGACGATAAACGCTGCAGACAGATACATGAACTGCCCTTCAGACCAATATACACTGACATGCAGTGATAACATTAATAAATGGTTCTTTGCGTGATGAAATGGTTCTTCAGATTGATGGAGAATGTGTTGTAAATGGTTCTACATAGCACTAAAAAGGTTCCTGCTACAAGCTTGACATCGTCACATCAGCAGATTTCTTTTCGGTGTGTTCTCAGGAAGGTTCTCCATAGAGCCACATAACATATTCTCCATCAATCTGAAGAACCATTTCACCATGCAAAGAAAGAAAGGTTCTATACAGAACTCATGGTTCCAAGGGAACCATTCCCTTTAATAAAAAACTCCTGAAGAACTATGTTTTTGACAGTGTAGTGTGACAAATGATTCACCTCCTTATTTATCAATGACAATTCTCGTCATTGCGAATATCTAATTTAACGTTTGTTAAGATACACTCAAAAACTGCAGCATAACTAAATAACACGACTAGCCAACTCGTGTTAATGACGTTAAATATACTAAATAAACTGATATGAATACAGAAAAATCATATTTAGATCACATAGCCAAGACAGGGAGCTTACTAGCCGGCTGCCTAACGTTAACGTTACCATTAGCAGTCCGAGGGCCGAGAGTTAGCATGGAGCTAACAAGAAATAACGGACCATTTCTGACCCTTCCAGGCGGAATAAAGCCTTTACATACCGCTCTGCTCTCCGAGGAACACCAGCTTGAATTTCCTCAGAGGGTTTCCAAAGTCTCCGGCGGTCGACATGACTGCTGCAGGGAGGGAGCTGCCGCTTGCGGGGGTTTGGTGCTTTACTGGCGGCTGGCGGCTCGTCCAGCTCCGGTAACCGTAACTCGGAAGACTGGGGGGCGGTGCGGGCGGTACAGCGGAGGCCGCGGTCAGAGCAGTCGAAGGCCGTTTGGGTGTATAAATGCCGTTATTCCTCCTCAAGCCTAAGTCTAAAGTTTAAAGTTTAAGTTTTGAGACTCTCCCCCGTCACTCCATCGCTCAGACTGGCAGAAGAAGCGTCGACCAAAAGTGATATTTGTGGCTGTGATTGGCAGGCAGTTCAGACCAATGACGAGGCTGAAGGTTGGCTTCCTATTCGCCCCCGTGTTGTTCGAATTCTCCCATTCCACCTTAAATGGTGCCGCAGTTACATTCCGGCGCCTGAGGTAACTGAAGTAAGTGCTGCACCATTTAAGGTGGAACGGGAGAGTTCGAACAACACGCTGGCAAATGATAGCTAACTTCAGCTTCGTAGACCAGATAAAAGGGCTAAAAGACAAAAGAGTAAAAATAAAGGAATAATCGCTTCTTTATTATCGTAAATATTTCAGAATCGCATTTATCCATGTAGACAAACAGACAAAATACGGCGAATGAAAGACTAAAGAGTGAGGTAATTACTTTTCTGAGCTAATAAGCCTGAAAATAACGCTAACTTATACAGTAAATGTTGACATAGTTCGGTTTATTTAATGTGGAAGGTAGTGGGAGGGTTTAAAGCGTTGAATCCAATGTAAATTCCGTTAAATGGTTTAAAGACTCGGTTTAGTTGAAGAGGCGGGATGACAGTGAATCAGGGTTTGGTTGAGGCGCCACGTCACGGCCGCCTTACGTCATCGCCTCTTTTAAAAACGCCTGCATCATCACGAACATCATCAGGTTAAAATCCAGATCGGTGTGGAAGAATGACACAGATATGAGTCACATCCGAGGCAAAAATGCATAGCCTGTGGCCATTAATTAAAATAGAACAGATAAATATTAGGTAGTGTGGAAGGCGAGCGAGACACAGACACCTAAATCTGGTGACTCGACTGGCCCTGTCTGATATTAAAGGGCCCATGTCTTACATTTTTCTTGTAGTTCTATGTTCTGTACGTGTTTTATTTTCCAACTTCTCTTTATAAACAGGGTAAACAGTAAACAGGATGCCCTTGATGGCTGACCATTTCTAATATTAAAGGGCCCATATCCTACATTTTTCTTGCTTTCCCATTGTGTGGTTTTATGTTGTGTGATTTTATTATTTTCCTACTTTACACTTTATACTTCATGCATTAGAATTGAACAGGCTGTTTTTGGTCACTGTGCCCACTAAGATATATGTAAATAGTCTCTGGCCTCTTTGGCCCAATCCCATTTCTTATTTTTACCCCTATCCATTGTTTTCGAGTGTTGCCTTGCCGCTTGGAACTGAGCTACAAGGGGTAGTGGTTGAAATCTTCCCCTACAAAATGGGACCCTCAAATAAAAACAGCATTACTTCATTAACAGCTACTAGCGCTGCTCTGTAGGCGACCCTGCCAGTCTGCAGTGACAGCAGAGGAGGGTAAAGTTCAGCAACCTCACTGCTGGGCTTTAGTTTTCAAAGAGGGGGTCGATTATTCATTATCGTCCACCTCTAATTCTTCAGTGATATGAAGCTGAAGTCAGTTATTCAGTTTATTCACCAGCTTCTTGTTTGAATTTCCCAGTTCCACCTTAAATGGAGCAGCAGTTCTGACACCTGAGGAACCAGAATGTAAATACTGCACTATTTAATGTGGAATGGGAAATTTAGCTAGCTAGCTACCAAGACATCAGCATAACTAGGGATTTTTTACGCTTGTTATAAAGAAAAGGGCCATAATACATTAAAACAACATTTAACTAAGATAAGTCAATGATCAACGTACCTTTAATGGTGAAAATTTTAACATTTGTGCGTTTCTTTGCTCTCTTGCGCTGCCATCTTACGTTTTTATTCTCGTAACGCCCCGTTTGGAGTGAGTCTCTGAAAATCCTCTGTTTGGGGGGTCATGTAGCCCTAACACTTCGCCCTACCCCTCTATCTAAACAAAGATCGGGACACCCTACTCCTAGACGTGAACGTGCAAAACGGAGGGGTAAGGGCTTAGTGGTAGGGATGACGGGGTGAAATGGGATTGGGCCATTGTGACTTCAACATGAAGGGGCAGGGCTTAAACTGGTGTAGACTGAATAGGTGAGTATTATGTAAATGTGTTGGATCTTGTGACATCACAACAGTAATTAATTCAAAATGAGCTGTTTTTGCAGTGTAGTTTCCATATACTGCTCATGTGGACAAGGTACATATATGCTGTTTTAAACTTTAGCAATATTTCCATCCTACATCAAACTCTTTTGTTTCAAAATTTAGCAAAAACATTGAATCATTGTGTCATTTCTTTAGCATTATTATTCATTCTTATTCCCAGCTGCAATATTTTTGTGCACTGTAAAAGGTACAGGTGTATATAGAAAAAAATGTGATTTTTTTTACACCTGCTGTTTTGCATGTGTTTTATGTGTATTTTAAACTCATATCTCTTTAACATTTTATTAAAGGGCCCATATTCTACATTTTCTTTGCATTTCACCTGAGGTCCATTTATGATGTCTGTATGTGTTTTTTACACTGAAGAAAAACATTTATACATCATTTTCCAACTTTTTGCCCTCATAATTTAAAAAGGCGCTGTTTTTGCTATATCTTTAAGGCTGATGTATGTAAATGACCTATAAACCAGTCCAGGTTAATGATTTCTCTGCAATAGTCGGGACTAAAATGCCTCATGCTGTGGGAGAATATATATGTACATGTGTTGATGTTTGTGACATCACAGAAACAATAAATGCAAAGCTGGACCAAATGGACTGGGGAGTAGATTTTGTGTTTTGAAACTTTAACAGCGTTTACTCAGTATATTGAACTCTTAATAAATATAATATAATAAATATTTTAAAAAAATCCATGATACGGTCCCTTTAAACCAGGCCTGTCCCCAACTGTCTGAGGTCAGGTGCCAACCTAAGGAGTTAGAACCGTTTCGCCCAGTAGGTGGCAGTATTGGGTCGCGCCTGCTGCAGAGAGAGAGAGTAAGAGAGAGAGAAGAAGGGAATGCAGTCTACACACTTCATCTAAAGTCTAAATTTGCAGCTTGTTGGCGTTTATTAACATTTTTCTTTTGTAATTTGAACGTGGTATTTGAAAGGATGAACGCGTTAACAGGAAAGGTACAGTAATTTACAGTTAATAACTCAGCAGTTGCGTTGTTTGTGCTTCCTAAAGGTCACCTGAGCCTCCATGTGTTAGATTTACGTTGCTGGATTAGCTGAAAGCTTCTGCTGCTTTTTGGCTGTTTCAGAATCTTTAATACAAATAATGAGCTGAACATATAGATTTTAACATTTTAATCTGTATTAAGTTTATATTTAGAGCACTCTAGGCTGTTTCGGTAAGGATAAATATACATACGCCCATCAGGCATAACATTATGACCACCTCCTTGTTTCTACGCTCATTGTCCATTTTATCAGCTCCACTTACTATATAGGTGCACTTTGTAGTTCTACAGTTACAGACTGTAGTCCATCTGTTTCTCTGCATACTTTGTTAGCTCCCTTTTACCCTGTTCTTGAGTGGTCAGGACCCCCATGGACCCTCACAGAGCAGGAACTATTTGGGTGGATCATTCTCAGCACTGCAGTAACACTGACGTGGTGGTGGTGTGTTAGTGTGTGTTGTGCTGGTACGAGTGGATCAGACACAGCAGTGCTGCTGGAGTTTTTAAACACCTCAGTGTCACTGCTGGACTGTGAATAGTCCACCAACCAAAAATGTCCAGCCAACAGCGTCCTGTGACCACTGATGAAGGACCAGAGGATGACCAACACAAACTGTGCAGCAGCAGATGAGCTATCGTCTCTGACTTTACATCTACAAGGTGGACTGACAATGTAGGAGTGTCTAATAGAGTGGACAGTGAGTGGACACAGTGTTTAAAACTCCAGCAGCACTGCTGTGTCTGATCCACTCGTACCAGCACAACACACTAACACACCACCACCACGTCAGTGTTACTGCAGTGCTGAGAATGATCCACCACCCAAATAGTGCCTGCTCTGTGAGGGTCCATGGGGGTCCTGACCACTGAAGAACAGGGTAAAAGGGGGCTAACAAAGTATGCAGAGAAACAGATGGACTACAGTCTGTAACTGTAGAACTACAAAGTGCACCTATATAGTAAGTGGAGCTGATAAAATGGACAATGAGCGTAGAAACAAGGAGGTGGTCATAATGTTATGCCTGATTGGTGTATTTGTAGTATATTTATTGTTATCATGGTAAATTGCATTACATTACAATCACAAAATGCTTTTCTGGACATTGTTAGTAGATTTTTGTGGAGGGTATTTAACAAACAGGACTTTTCAATTAGCCAGATAACCAAAGCCCAAAGTTGAGGAGGATTGTCCAATAGGAATGCCCCTCAGCTCTTTTCCTGTTGAACAAGTTGACTTAAAGGGTTCATATCCTATGTTTTTCTTCTGTTTTATTTCCCCATCTTTGAGGTATGAGTATAAGCAGTGAATTAATTCAGGTTGTTTTTTGTAGATTAGTTTTCATATTTAGCCTGTGTGGATTGGAAAGTGAATGGTAAAAAAACTTTAACATACTGCATCAAACTCATTTTCCATGATATGGACCCTTTAAGTTATCTGGCTAAAGTGAGACCCCCTAGCCCGCCACCTCCATTTGCGCACAGACAGCAGATTACTCTTGCGCACATAACAACAGAAGATTTTATTTTCTCTCTACAGATTTTGCTCATTCAGAACACACGGGCGTTGATCCAGGCTGTATCTCTGATTCGGTGAGGGTGCTGTTTTTCCATACTTGATTAAATGTCTGCTAATAGGAGTTTGTTTTAACCTGTTTATGTCTTTTACATTACAGTGCACCTTTATTAAAGCAGCAAGTGCCATTAGGTAAGATGGTTGTTCTGTAAATGTAAATGATACATGCTGATGTTTTTTCCCTCACTTACTTTGTGATCATTCTACTAATAATGTTATAATGTTGTGATGATGGTGACCTTTACTATAATTTGTGGCCCTTTCTAGGTTTCTTGTTGACTGACAGACAGTACAGATCCATGCCTACACACGGAATTGGTCGTTACAAGTATCTGCTTCCTAAAGAGCAGGTAAGGCTTAGTGCTGAGATGTCCAGCTATGTTTCTGTGATTTATTTATGCAGAAATTTTGAAAAATCAGTGGAATTCCTCTTTAACTGGAAAACATCAGTAGTAATTTCTACCAAATTTGATGGCATTCTTCTCTACTGGAACTTTTTTTGCAATTATACAGCCAAAGAAGAAGAAGGAAAAAGTTCAGGTGAAGCAGATCAAGACCGCCACTGGTACTCAGTACGGGGTTCTCAACGTGTCAGTATCTGGCTATGACATGACCCTGGTAGAACATTACTCCCAGTACATCCATAACCTCTGCAATCGCCTCGATATCAAAGTAGATGAAAGGTAACATATGATTTTCTTTCTTTTTATTTTGTCAGACTCTGACTGTGTAGATGGTTGATTAAAAGCTGTGCTGAAACATAACTGCATGTTTTTCTTTCTCTTGTTATTTGTCAAGCTATGCATTGCCAACTAAGAGCACAGAGGTCATGGTCATGCCAGACCAAGGCACAAAGATGTATGTGGATGTAGTCCTCAAAACTCACGAGAGGGTCGTTCAGGTAAAAACAGTTCTGCAGTGTCGTTCTGAGTGTCGTTCGGTTCTTCTATCGTATTTACTTGTCAATTTTTTTTCCACAGTGAACATTTAAAGGGCTCATATCCTACACTTTTCTTGTTTTCTGTCGTTTTCCTTGAAGTCCAATTATGTTTGTTTGGCTTTATGTACCAAAACAGTTTATGTTTATATGACCATTTTCCAACCTCCCTTTATCTTTTAGAATTGAACAGGTTGTTTTTGTTACTGTGCCTTTAAGGCTGATATGTAAATGAGTTCCGTTCTCATTGGCTGCTCTGTATTGTGCCTCATTTAAGAAGCAGTCTGGACTGAAACTCTCGACTTCAGTGTAAATCAGCGGAGCTAAACTGCTGTAGACTGAATAGGCAGATTTATGTCAATGGGTTGTTTTTTCATGATATCACAAAAACAGTACATTCAGAGTGGGATGTTTTTGCAGCTTAGGTTTCATAAGCTGTGGAGTGAACGGTATGTTTTGAAACGTAGCTAAGAAAAGTGAGGAAAATTTGGTTTTCCAAGATGTGGACCCTTTAAGTTATTGTTTTAAAACAAACAAAAACAATGCTAGTAGTCTCAGAAGCATCATCTTCAAATAGCAATAATTATGTTTGGTGGTAATAGTTAACTTTTATTTCTTTCTCTGTGTAATATATGTTTAGATAAGTCAAATGAAGGCAGCACTTGCTCCTATATTTATGGAAGTCCTTCTGAAAAACCAACCAGAGGGAGTCGAGCTCTCCATAAAGGAGGTAAGCATAACAGGCCATTTACATTTATTCACATCAGCAGCTGAATTTTGTGTAAAAATTACATCTCAATACACTTTTCGGGGCCTGTGCTTGAAAGAACAATGACCAACTGCATGTTTCATTATGAAGAGAGCATCACTCTTAAAAAATATTGTTCTTCAAGGGTTCTTTGGTAAAGAAAATGGTTCTATACAGAACCATGAGCACTCAAAGAACCTTTTGCAAGATTACAGGGTTTTTTGCATCATAAAAGATTCTTCAGGTTGATGGAAAATGTGAATAAATGTGCTACAGATGGTTCTATATAGAACCTTTTTGAAAAGTGTTCTATATAGCACCCAAAAGGGTTCTTCTATTGTTACAAGCACAATAGAAGAACTCTTTTGGATGCTTTATAGAACCCTTTTCAGAAGGTTCTATATAGAACCATCTACAGCACATTCTCAATCAATCCGAAGAACCTTTCATGATGCGAAGAACCCCGTTATTTTGCCAAAGGTTCTTTGAGTGCTCATGGTTCTGTATAGAACCATTTTCTTTACTAAAGAACCCTTGAAGAACGATCTTTTTTAAGAGTGATCCTGTTTCATTATTTTTAGTGCAGTATTGTATGTGAAAAATTAGTTTTTTCAACTTATCCAGCCTCAGAAAAACAAAATACCATAATACAGATTGTGTATTGTGAAAATATCTTGAAGTATAATGATTTTGTATTCTTGTCATATCACCCACCCATAGCTCTGAGTTCTTTCTATTCTTGCATTGTCTGTTTTAAGGCTGTTTCAATGTTTTTCTTTTGTTTTCTGTTTTTTCAGCACACTGAGGCAGATTACCAGACCCGGTTTAAGGCACGACCAGAACTGGAGGGCCTACTAGCACAAATTGGTTAAAGTTCTTAAAAAAATGAGTGGATGCTGTTATATTTTTTTCTTTTTCATGCCCCATAAGGAAAAATGTATATCGTCGATGTCCAATAAAAACCATGTAGCTCCATTTTTGTTGATTTTTATTTTTCTGCATCTTTTCAACACGCTAGCTACGGAGCCCCGCTGGTGACATCCTGTATAAATAAAAATAATGTACGACTTAGTAAGGCATGGGAATGAGATGATAAAGTCATGGCCACGACTTAGTAAAGCATGGGCCTTACTAAGTCGTGGCCACACACTATTTGTATTTATACAGGACGTCACCAGCGGGGCTCCATACACTAGCAGTCCTTCTTGATGTGTGAAAATTTCATGATGATTGGACCAATAGAAATGCTCCAAAATCACTTGGAATGAAGCCTCTTTACATTAACTTACATTGAAAGGTGAGAGTGTTTTCGCCCTGTCCTGTAAAGTTGCTATTTTGGAGATGCTTGTTTTTCTTTGGACAGCGACGATATGCAAAGTGTATTTATCAAATACATTTTTGAAATAATATCAATACATTTTTTTTTCACAATTTACTTATTGTTTCAAATACATTTTGGAGTGAAACCGTGTATTTGAAATGCATTTTGTACATATAAAAAAAGTGGATTTTGTTTTTTCGTATGGTCATTACATTCATTGTACACATTGTCTGAAAACATGCTAATAAAAGTGGATGTGGAACGTTATTATTGTGCTGAGCTGCTTTTTGTCACGTTTGCCGGTAATTTACTGTGTCAGTTAACTATAACTTTCCCGAAATATTACGTCCAACAGTATTTACATTTTTTGCCTTTGGGGTGATTCAATTTGTAATGACGTTCCTGCAGAAACTACATTACCCAGCAAGCTAAGCGGACTCAACATAGCAACCGTGCCTAGTAACAGTAAACTAATGTCGGGCCTCGACGTTTCTGGAGCGCAGTCAGATTAACGTTAATCTCGTAAAAGTTCGCTACTTTTCTGATTACTAAACTGAAAATGGGCAGAGACTATTACGCTGCATTGGAAATCAACAGAAATGCAACTGATGCCGACATAAAAAAGTCGTAAGAATTGCTTATGCTTTTTGTGGTAACGCTTAAACCAGTGATATAGCTGGTTATCTGAAGCTAGTTTACCTGAATGGACATAATGTACACCTGTTAATAATACAGCTCTTTCACCAGCTGTGCTCTAACTTGTCTGATATCAGGTATCGTCGACTAGCGCTGAAATATCATCCTCACGCTAACAGCCTTCCAGGAGCCCATGAGAAATTCAGTGAACTTGCCGAGGCTTATGATGTCCTGAGTGACCGTAAGTAGCCTACATAAGGATGAGATACTCAGCCACTAAGTGCAAAGACATGAACAAAGCCTGATACAGTTTAATCCATCTATTTTAGATATTCTCTTCATCAGTGTGGAGGAAACTGGGATGTTAACAAACTAAGCTGTGTACACCAACCAGCCATAACATTAAATCCATATGTGAGCACTTTGTAGTTCTACAGTTACAGACTGTAGTCCATCTGTTTATCTGCATGCTCTGCTAGCCCCCTTTCACCCTGTTCATCAATGGTCAGGACCCCCACAGGACCACCACAGAACAGGTATTATTTGGGCGGTGGATCATTCTCAGCACTGCGGTGACACTGACATTGTGGTGGTGTGTTAGTGTGTGTTGCGCTGGTATGAGTGGATCAGACACAGCAGTGCTGCTGGAGTTTTTAAACACCTCAGTGTCACTGCTGGACTGAGAACTAAAAATATCCAGCCAACAGCGTCCTGTGGGCAGCGTCCTGTGACCACTGATGAAGGACTGGAGGATGACCGACACAAACTGTGCAGCAGCAGATGAGCTATTGTCTCTGACTTTACATCTACAAGGTGGACCAACAAGGTAGGAGTGTCTAATAGAGTGGACAGTGAGTGGACACAGTGTTTAAAAACTCTGTGTCTGATCCACTCGTACCAGCACAACACACACCACCACCACGTCAGTGTTACTGCAGTGCTGAGAATGATCCACCCCCCAAATAATACCCGCTCTGTGGTGGTCCCATGCGGGTCCTGACCATTGAAGAACAGGGTAACAAAGTGTGCAGAGAAGTGGTCAGTGGAGCTGATAAAATGGACAGTGAGTCTAGAAACAAGGAGGTGGTTTTAATGTTATGGGACCTCTCAACAGTGGTGTAACTGAAATAGTCCCCCATGTGAATAAATAAAAGAAGCAATGAATAAGAAAGACCGAATAATTTGCTTGTTTACTCATTCTTGCTGTGTTTCAACTAAGCCGGTGCTCTAATGAAGGTTAATGGTATAAGTATTATTATCATAGCTACTAATAAGTCATAGATGTATAATTCTATAAGTAACAATATATAAAGCACATATATAGTAAAGGGGGGCTGCAGTATGGCCCCCCAGCCTGCACTGTTAGTAGTTATACCACTTAAAGTGGAATTCCACCAATTTTTCAATAGTCCTCCATAATGAAATGGTTATTGTATAAACCAAGTCATTCAGAGTGGTTTGCTGTGAAATGCTCTGTTCTAGAGAAACCTAGAGAGTCAGAATCATTCACTGTGGTGGTGATAGGAACCAGACGTCTGAAGAGTTCAATACCTATGAAAGCTCCCTCAAAAACATGTTACATTAAAAGGTTACAGATATGCTGGCTGATGTCTTAGACACTGTTTTCCAAAAGTTTTGGTCCTAAAACATATTTTTGAAATCCATTCATGGTGGAGGGGTACAAACAGGGCATTGTGAGGCAAAATAGTCTCCAAAGAAAACACATTTTTTTTCAGATTTCTCACTATTATACCATCATCAACATTACATATAAACTCAGAAGACTCGTGTAGGTTCACTGGTGGTTTTGCATAGTATTTGTGTTGTAGACATTGCGACCCCTGGTTCCTATCACCACCACTGTAAAGAGTCGATAAGTTTCTCTACAGTGAAGCATTTCGCATTAAAACCACGCTCAATGACTTTGTTTACATCTCATCTATTAATTTATGCAGAAATTTTGAACATATATTTTGTAAAAGTTGATAAAAAGTAACCATTTTTAACACTACAGCTCGGAAAAAGGCCACATACGATAAGTTCGGTGAGGAGGGCCTTAAAGGTGGAATCCCTGCAGATTCAGCAAGTGGAGCGTGGTCATCGGGATACGTCTACCATGGAAACCCTGATAAAATATTCAGACAGTTTTTTGGAGGCGACAATCCTTTTGCCGGTAAGCTGATTCAAAATGTCTGCTTTCCTGACCACTAGATGGAGCTTTATTTCACTGGTGTCTTTAAATGTCCCCTCAGACTTCTACACTGCAGATGGCATCGAAGTGGACATTAATTTTGGAGGGCTTCGTGGACGAGGAGTGAAAAAGCAGGATCCACCAATCGAGCGTGACCTTCATTTAGCCTTAGAGGACCTTTTTTATGGATGCACCAAAAAGATAAAGATATCCCGACGAGTAAGAGCTTTGAGTGTGTATTCTAATAAGGCAGGACTACTTCTCATACCAGTTACTGTGGAACTGAGTAGAATACTGAAAGGGGAACTCCACTGATTTTTTAAATTTCAGCCTAAGTAAATGGTTAAAATATAAACAAAGTCATTCAGAATGCTTTGATCTGAAATGCTCTATTCTAGAGAAACTTACCAACTCAAAATTGTTCACAGTGGTGGTGATAGGAACCAGACGTCTGAGTTATCACATGAAATGGTTATGAATACACTGCCTGATACATCGTTTTTAATAATTCTGAGAAGGTTGTGGCTTAAAATGTAATGTTATTATCTTTATATATAATTTTTTTTTAATCCATTAATGGTGGAGGGGTACATGCAGGGTGTTGTAAAGCAAAATAGTCCCAAGAAAAGTCAGATTTAACACCATTTTACCATCATCATTATTATATACGAAAACTCAAAAGATGTGTAGGCTTACTGGTGGTTTTGGATAGTAAAGAAAGTGCATTTTAGATGTTGCAACTCCTGGTTCTTATCACCACCGTAAAGAAATCTGATTCTGCAATGGACTTTTCACATCAAACCGCTCTGAATGACTTTGTTTACATCCGAATAGATGAAATATTCATAAATTTTGAAAATTGTGGAATTGTCCTTTGTACATGTAAATTGGTACAGATTACAAATTACATGACTAAAAATGTTGCACACTTAAAAGGTGTAATTTGATCCGATTCCTTTCAGACTTCTAATCTAACTACCTTATTCGGTTCCATAGGCAGAAGACGCACTTGAGCAAATTTCAAAGGTGTTCTACTGTAATTATTCAGTGCTTGATTTTTGTTTACAGATAACATTATCTATATTACATGTAGTTCGTTATTAGCCAACGCTGCTGTTTCATGTGATCGAGTTTCAGTGCTTGACTGGTTTTATGTTTTCCTGGGACATAATCATAGCATATTCCTTTAGGTGATGAATGAGGACGGCCACACGTCCAGCATCAAAGACAAGATTTTAACCATCACTGTGAAACCAGGTTGGAAAGAGGGGACACGGATCACGTTCCCCAAAGAGGGCGACCAGGTACGATTATGGAAAACCTCTGTTGTTTTGTGGTTCCATCAGTTCTGATTTACTTTCTTTTAAAGTAACCATATCATATTTTGCTTTATATATTTTCCCTTAAGGTTCACTTATAACATTAGTGTGCTTTATTGGCCAAAAATCATTTATACAATAATTTCATCTTTACATGCCAATTTTCCATCCAATCTTAGAATTAAAACAGACTATTTTTATGACTGTGCCTTCAAGACTGACATATGTAAATAAGCCCTGTTCTAAATGGCTGTCCTGTATTGTTCCACATTCAAAAAGCAGTCCAGGCTGAAACACTCCTTAGAACTTCAGCGTGAAGGGGCGGGGCTAATCTGTGGTCGGCTGAATGGACTGGTATATGTAAATGTGGGGATTTTTGTGACGTCACAAAGGCAATTCTGTTTTTGTGGGGTAGTTCTCATGTATAGACTGCATGGACTGGAAGCTGAATGGTATGTTTTGAAACTTTGTTTTAAAAAAGCAAGGAAAAGTCAGTTTGGGCCCTTTAAAGATGAGTAGCATTTGCTAAAATAGAGCTCAACAGGCCAAATGCTAATATTTGCTATTACACTTTTTCCTCAGGGTCCAAACAGCATCCCAGCAGACATCGTCTTCATTGTGCGCCAAAAGCCTCATCCACGGTTCACCTGTCGAAATAATGATTTGATTTACACAGCACATATCTCTCTAGAGATGGTGAGATGCTAATATGCGTTAATAATGTTTTTATTCATTTTAAAACGTTATCTAGATTTCTGCATTAGAGCTTCTCATTTTGATTGAATGGAGATTTGCATTGTGTCGTAATAAAACCTCATATCTCCACAACACTAACTTTACAGGAGCATAAAAACATCATTTTAATGCATGTTAATGTAACAAGACTGTAATCCTACACACTTAAAATGAGTTCATGGGTTCTTTAGTAAAGAAAATGGTTCTATATAGAACCATGAACATTAAAAGAACCCTTTCCATGATTAAATGGTTCTTTGCATCGTGAGTGTTCTTCAGATTGATGGAGAACGTGCATGTGGATGGATCTAAATCAAACCATTTTGAAAAGGGTTCTTCTATTGTCATGATGTCAGGCTTGTTACAATAGCAGAACCCTTTTTGGTGCCATGTAGAACCATTTTCAAGAACATTGTATATAAAACCATCTACACCATGTTCTCCATCAGTCTGAAGCCCCTTTAATCATGCAAAACGTTCTTCGAGTGTTCATTGCTCTATATAGAACCCTATTTTTTTTTACTAAAGAACCATCATTAAGTGTGTGGTAATTTTCTATTGGTCTGTTTATCACAACATAAAGGGCAGCTGATGTTTTGAAATGTAGAATAATAAAAGAATAAAACAGAGTTAAGATGTTTTGATATGACAGATGATTTGCTCCACAGGCACTGACTGGCTTTTCATTGGAGGTGGAGACACTAGATGGCAGACTTCTCAACATTCCTGTCAATGACATTGTACAGTGAGTATGATGTAACTTCAGCCTTCCATGTCATGCGCAGTTACTTAAAGATCACCTATTTTAGAATTAATTGCCTTTATGCTCTAGTATAAAGCTAAAAGAATTAAAGCCAGCCCAGCAGGACATTGTAATGATACTTAAAAGTATTTTTTAATTAATACTTTTTATCTATAATTCTATAAACAGGGTCAAACTTTCAAAGTGGCCTATCACCATAATATTGAAAACAGAGAAAATGTATAGGGGCCAATATGTTCAGCTAAAAGAGCTGAGTAAATGTTAAGGGACAAAATGAAAAACTAACTGACTTTGGTTTCTCACAGCCCCCAGTACAGCAAGGTGGTCACTGGAGAGGGGATGCCTTTATCCAGCGACCCATCTGCTAAAGGGAATCTGATTATCCAGTTTACTACTCACTTCCCAGAGAAGCTCACTGCTGAGAAGAAACAGCTCCTGAAGCAAGCGCTCACCATGTAATCTACACAGCATGCTTCTTTTGTCCTTTCTTATCTATTAATTTCCATATAAACTTGTGTACATGAGTGTTTATTCAAACTAAAGCTTCTGTTGAGAAATGAAGACACTTTTTTAAAGCTTTATTAGCAGATTTTAAAAAGACCTTAAAACAGAGAGACAAGGTGAAAGACAAAGGGAAGACCAGCTTTCCAGTCCCTGGGATATACTTGAATGAAAGCAAATAGGAAAAGGGTGGGTGGGATTGGTTGGGGGAGGGTTGGTTGGGGGAGGGTGGGTGGGGCAGATGTCAAATGAAGGTTTAACTAAAGCAAAAACAGAATAGCACCCCTAATAGCAATAGCCAGGACTAAAGAGGAGAAGAATAAGTCTTCTTTTTTCCTAAAGAGGACTAGCCATATTATGGCGAGCTGCCATCATGGCACGTTTCAGCTGCTCATATGTGACGAACATCACCACATTCCAAGAGCCCAGCCTCAGGAAAGAAGGCATGAATCTGTAGAAGAGATTTAGAAATGATTGTAAACATGTGGTTCCAACAATAGCAAACAGCAACACTAACACTGAATTAACAGCAAAAATCAAAAAAGTTACCCTTTGTAGAAGGCCATAGGTCCCTCTTTGGTCAGCATGGCCACAGCACAGTTCAGGGCACTGCTGTACTGGCCTTGGGCAGAGTTCATGTATCTTGTTTTCACGACATCCACTGGAGAAGCAATGACTGTGGTGCAGAAACCAGCACCAAAGGCAGATGTGAAGTGGCATGGAAGATCATCTGTGGGAAACAGAAACCACTTAAGAGATCTGCTGAAACAATTACACCATCCAAAATTAAGGCTGCTCAATGTGGCAGTTATCTTACCAGTCATGGGTGTAGATCGCAGAAGAGTGTCCTTAATGATGTCATAGGTCACCAGTTCAGTACAGTTTACAATGGCATTGCGGGCAACGTTTGGTCCAGTTCCTGACAAGAACAAGACACTTTCAGATTAAGACTGCTCAGCTGCTTACTTTGAGTCAGATGGTTTTCCTCCCAGGTCACGTATGCTTACCTTTCCACAGGCCACGGACCCCCTCCTCCTTAGCAATGGTCCGATAAGCATCCATGGTGCCCTGGTAGCGTTTGTTAGCTGCACAAGCGCTAACCTGAGCTTGAAAACGGACCTTGACCACATCCGTGGGTTGGGCCAAGGCCACTGCCATCGCTCCGGTGGTACAGCCTGCCAGCAGGCGGCTGCCAATCCCAACATCTAGTGTAGAGAGAGGGTAACGTTTATATGCCATGCCTTTAACTCATTTCCGCAGGCCTTCTAGTGGCCATTCTGTCAACACAATATATATATATATATACACACACACACACACACACACACACACACACACACACACACACACACAAATTTTTAATCCAAATAAATCTAATTTAAATTTACAAATTTTGAAAAGTTATAAATATTAGAATTCAAGGCTAAACCAAGGGACCCCCAAAACGGGCGGAAATGGCATTTTGTGGCTGATGCTTCATGGCACACTGATGTAAAGGTGGCAATTCAACAGCACTTTGTGAAATATTGCAACTGATCATAATCCATTATGATATTTAATGAAGTAAATCTTTTGAAATGCTGAAACTTGGTATAAATCTAACCTGTGATTTCTTGATGCACAAATTATAAATCCAATAGTTGTTCAGGGTTCAGGTTTACACCCCTAATCTCAGTCTTAAAACAGGCTAGTTATCTCTGTAGCCAAAAGGGAACCAAGCTATGTTGCGGCAAGAAGGTGCCTGTACGTACGTTCTGAGCCTTTGGTGTAGAACTGCTTGACCGAGTCATACAGGCCGATGCGGACCGAAGCGAAGCTCATCTGGCGCTGCAGTCCAGCCACAAGCCCATTGTAGAGACTCCGCGGCCCCTCCGTGCGCACCATGGTGGTGATGGTGCCAAACACGCCGCGGTACTTCACGGCTTGAGCATGACTCGCTTTCGCAGTACCACTGGACTCCCCTTGAATCTGTACAGAACAAAAAGGGGCATGGAGAGGCTTTACAGGGACTTGAAAGGGTGAGCGGGAGAGGGAAGGAAGAAGACGACAGTCTCCAGCCACAGGGTGTCCATGATGCACCGTTCCTGGATCTGCATGGTCCTAGGGCTTAAACATCAGCTTCTCTGTCAGCCTACTAGACTAGTGCAAGGAAGAAAATTGAGTTGAAAAGAAAAAAAGAAAAGGGAAGAGCCGATGTCAGTGTGGGCTTTAAAAGAATTCGGATTAAAGTCAGTTATTCTGGCATGATGAGCTGGCCTTGCTGCTCTGGGACTCACACTAAGGCAGTGTGCTCCTGTAACAATTTCAAACTTCGTCACTACACCATTCTTCTGCTGCTGGGAAAAGCCATTTGCTGTTATTTAATTTGGCTATTTTGGAACCTTACCTGGAGCCTGACTTTGGCAGTGTCTAAAGGAAAGGTGACAAGGTCAGCGATGCAGGCTGCAGTTCCGGCGCCAATAAACTTCACAGCAGCCGTTGGAGGCACATCAGCAGGTCTAAAGCCAACCATTTTTGCGCTTCTCAAGGTGACAGGAATGTGTAGATGGAGAAGGACGAAGGATGTCGAAGCCCAATGAAGTGAAAACAAGATAGGTGAACTCTACCCAGATCTGAGAGGGGAACAAGAAAGAAAATGCAACTCAGTATATGGTACTTTGTGACTGTAACACATCCTTAATTTCAGTTTCAAGTAAATTAAAGCCGTTTTCTAATAAACCGGAACAATCCTGGTTGGGAGGGTGTTTAACAAAGCAGGATCACAATTAGCCAGATATCTTGAGCCAAAACAGAAGACTGTCAAATAACCATCCCTATTCAAAAATTGTAATATATGCAATCTAATTAAAAAAATAAACACAGTACAGATAAAAAAAATACACTAACACTAGATGGTATGACTAAACAAAGCAGTTTTTTTAGTTAGTTGGATAACTTTAGCCAAAAGAGATGATTTACATTATGGTACATTTATTGCCAAGCCTGTAAGACATTCTCAACTTCAGTTAGTCTAAATTAAAGCCTTTGTTTAACTAAAAACAGAACAATTTTAGTAAGAGGCATTTTACAAATCGGAATCTCTCATTTAGCTAGATAACTTAAGCCAAAAGCAAAGACTGAACAATACGTGTTTAAGGCACTCAACTTTTGGGGGTGATTAACAAAGCCGTATTTGATTGTAGTTAGCTGGATAACTTTAACCAAACGTAAAGACTGTTTCAACTGTCCAGATGATGGTACTTGCGTGCCTGTAAACTTTTACTTTCTTTAAATAAAATCTTGTCAGGAAGGTATTTCACAAAGGAGGGCTGGCAAATTACTGTTGCTAACTTATGTTTTCCCTGTACTACATCCTTAATTCCATAGGATGCCTCACAAAATCTGATAAGCCAAAAGTGAACAATGTCCATTGGGAATGATTCCCAACTTTTTCTACTGGACATGCTCAACTTTTGGCTCAAGTTATCAGGCTTACTGGGAATCCTTGCTTTGTGAAAGACCCCCCTCCCCCAGGCCTCCCTTCCTCTGGACAAAAACAACCAGAGAACAGCGAGTCCCTTGCGACTGGAAACAAGTGCTGGTGAGGTGGGGGAGGTGTGAGCACCGCACAGAAACCTCGCCTTTCACAAATTTACAGAAGTGCTGCTGCTCTCTGATTGGTCCCCCCGTCTGTTGCTAAGCTCATCTTGCTCAGCTCGAGTTAAACAAAAGTGCTGTCGTCATCGGGAGGTGAGACTAGTTTCCGAGCAGTTACACAACACAAACGATACCACATCCTCACCATTTTCTTCGTTAAGATGTTTTAGGCGTGCAAAATGGTTAGTTTGGGCTGGTCAGAGTTAGAGTGAACCGTTAAAATGGAACCAAAGTATCTTTATTGTTTACATGAGGCTGAATTCAGCGTCTTATTCGAATTATTCCGTTCCACCTTAAATGCCGCAGCAGTTACATTGTGGCGCCCGAGGCCTCGTGCGATTGAACGTTACTGCAGCGCCATTTAAGGTGGAACGGAAAATTATGCATCGTGTTATTTACCTTCACTCAGGAAACCCCGGGCAATGGTTCCAGAAAAGTCAAGATTCTCTAAAGGCGTCCCTCTGGTTGAAATTACTTTCAACTCTAATCTCGTTGCCTTGTTCTTCCATAGAAAACCGGTCAGAAAACGGACACCTAAAAAACATACTCCTGGAACAGAACCAAAACAAAAGAGGTCAGTTAGCTCGACGACTTCCTGGTCAAAATTTGTCAACTTTTAGAAAGTCCACACATAAACTAGATGTCACAAAGTCAGGCTACTGACTCTTAAAGCTTAAGACTTACCGTAAACAGGATAAATAAGAAATGTTATACGAAGAAACGGGCTTTGTTTTCCTCAGAAGACAACCTGCCGCCGGAGTCGAGGTAGCTACGTTAACTGGTTTCGCCGACACAAACACTGGCGTGGGATGAATCGAGGAAGCAGCTGATTATATAGCCTGCCGGCGTTTTCCTAACCCACCCGTATTCCGACACAAACGGCTTCCTGCGCTGCGATTGGCCAGTGGTTCATATTTACCAGAGCCATGCGGATAGCTCTGATATTCGCGTGCGATTCGCTCATTTGCATATTACGACAGGATTGGGTAGAACGTCGTATATTTGCATATCGCCCTAGGATTGGCTAGTAGTCGTCCTCAAAAGCAGTCCGCAGATTTGCACGTTGCGATACAATCAAGGGTTTGTCGGAATATGGGTGGGAAAAAAGTCCCTTATTCTCTTTCACAGCTGCAGCACTGTTTACTGTAGCTGCTGCTCGTCGTGTAGAGTCACGCCACCATGATCATTTTATTTGTCTAAAAATGTCGTTCTAGGTTTGTGTATTTATATCAACACAATTACATACGTTTTGTTCATTTCTCAAATCCAGAGAGACTTTTAGAAGTAGCGACATCCTGTAACGTAAATTGTGAAACGTGGGGGAGACAAAAAGTGCACTACATATATTATAGTGAAAAAAAAAGAAAAGATTATATATATATATATATATATATATATATATATATATATATATATATATATATATATGCACAACCCCAATTTCCAAAAATTTGGGACGCAGGGTAAAATGTAAATATATGTAAATAAAAACAGAATGCAATGATTTGCAAATTTATAGACCCATATTTTATTCACAGTAGAATATAGAACACATATCAGACATTTTACCATTTCATGAAAAACATTAACTCATTTAGAACTTGATGGTAGCAAGTGGTACTATTGATGGTAGTAAGTGGTACTATTGAAAAACAGCTGGAGGAGGAATTTGCAACTAACTTAGATGACTGGGTATAAAAAGCATTTTAGAGAGGCAGAGTCTCTCAGAAGCAAAGATGGACAGAGGTTCACCAATCTGCATCTAAAATTTGTGGAACAATTTCAGAAAAATATTCCTCAATGTAAAATTGCGAAAGCTCTGGACATCACACCATCTACAGTACATAATATCATCAGAAGATCCAGAGAATCTGGAGAAATCCCTGTACACGAGGGACATGGCCAATGGTCAATATTGGATGCTCATGATCTTCTGGCCCTCAGGCGGCACTACATTAAAAACAGGCATAATTCTGTACTGGAAATCACTGCATGGGCTCAGGAACACTTCCAGAAATCATTGTCTGTGACAAATGCAAGTTAAAGCTGTATTATGCAAAGAAGAAGCCATATGTCAACAAGATCCAGAAACACCGCCGTCTTCTCTGGGCCAAAACTCATTTAAAACGGACTGAGACAAAATGGAAAACTGTTCTGTGGTCAGATAAATCAAGATTTGAAATTCTTTTTGGAAACTACGGACGCTATGTCCTGCGGACTCGAGAGGAGCGGGACCATCCAGCTTGTTACCAGCGCACAGTACAAAAGCCTGCATCTCTGATGGTGTGCGGTTGCATTAGTGTCTATGGCGTGGGCAGCTTACACATCAGTGCTAAACAGTATATAGAGGTTTTATAACAACATATGCTCCCATCCAGACAACTTTCAGGAAAAGCCTTGCATATTTCAGCAAGACAATGCTAAACCACATACTGCATCCATCACAACAGCATGGCTTCACAGAAGAAGAGTCCGCTTGCTGAACTGGCCTGCCTGCAGTCCAGACCTTTCACCAGTAGAAAACACTTGGCGCATCATGAAATGTAAATCCGGCAAAGAAGACCCAGGACTGTTGAGCAGCTAGAATCCTATATCAGACAAGAATGAGACAACATTGTTCTCCCAAAACTCCAGTAATTGGTCTCCTCACTTCCCAGATGTTTACAGACTGTTAAAAGAAGAGGGGTTGCTACACAATGGTCGACATGGAACTGTCCCTTTTTTTGAGATGCATTGCAGCCATATATATATACATATATATATATATTCATACATCGTCTAGACCATTTATCCTTCTGGGTTGCGGTGGGGTGCTGGAGCCTATCCCAGCTGTCATTGGGCAGAAGGCAGGATACACCCTGGACAGGTTGCGAGTCCATTGCAGGGCAGACAGACAGACATACATATACAATCACACACACATTCACACCTAGGGGCAATTTAGCATTTCCAATTGGCCTGACTGCATGTTTTTGGACTGTGGAAAGAAACCGGAGTACCCGGAAGAAACCCACGCAGACACGGGGGGAACATGCAAACTCCACACAGAAAGGACCCCGGTCGCCCGGCCGGGAATCGAACCCAGGCTGTTCTTGCTGTGGGGCAACAGCACCACCCACTGCTCCACCGTGCCATCTATATATTTCTTGATTGATGTCAAAAGTAACAAAAGCAGGCTTTATGACAACTCACACTTTATGAATGTTTACATAGATTTATGTCAGTTGTCGTTAGGCTTTTGTAGGTGTCAAGTAGCCCTACCAATGCTACCCATCAGTAAAGTGTTACCTTTTTTAATGCCAGATTTACAAGGATCATACATGAAATGGGGTCTAAAGTGTTAATACATGCAAGAAGCATGTCTTTTACTGCTGTAGCAAGAAAATGCTCCACATCAGACATTCTGCCTTTAAATGAACTGCTGAGTCACAATGAGAAGTCAGTATACGAGCACATGTGTGATTAATCAGAGAAAAGCTTCTTCTAGTTCCCACTCCCCTTTTTAACTGAACCGCTACGTTATGTAATGCATGCATCCATTAAATTGTCCTTTGATGTGAAGGCTGGAGAGTATGCAGATGCATTTGTGGCATATTCCATATTCCAAAGCAACAGTTAACATTAATGCATAAAAGTAAAGATTTTAAATAAGATAGTGCCAACAGCTCAGAGAGTATTTGTGAATCATCTTTCCTGGTCTAAAACACTCTAAAGCGGTCTAGAAAACACTGGTGGTAGTCTGCATGTAAACAGCAAGGTTAAGTTATTGTGTTGAGCCAACGTTCACGTGCCTCATTTATGGATCAGCAGTGCTGCACACTGCTACCTATTAGGACTCCTAATAGATCTGGACTAAAGGAAGGAACACTGAGTGCAGGCCCTTGCTACTTCTGATGGGATAGAGTTCAGGTCACCAAGGCAGCCATTCTAATTAGTGAGTTCAGCTACTTTAAGGGGCACCCATTGCTGACACAGATGTTCAATTGTGCTCACACAGCTTGTAAAATCTCCAAAGAAAAGCACTCTGACCAATAGAATAGGACGTTCTGGAGCAGCCACACATAAGCCTTAGGCCACCATGTCCAACAGCAAACGTCAGCTAGTATAAAGTAGAGCTGGACAATATGTCAATATATATTGTTATCATGATACATAACACCGCAATATGTCACTATATGCTGTTCTGAGCATATTGTGGTCATTGTCAATACTTAAAAATCACTTTCCAATAGCATGTTTGATTAGTGCAGCACAGTGTGAAATGTTGAATACAAGTAATTGGATTCATAGTATTTGATAGAATTTTTAAAACATGCCACTTCTTTGTCTTTTTGCCATATTGTCCACCTGTATTACAAAGCCCCCAGCATTGGGCTGTGTCTTCTGGAATAAGGAGCACCGTCCAGTACCTTGGGGACATTTGTGATCCTAATCATCCATCGTCAGTACCTGACCCATTGATGCCCTCATGGCTGGATGCAGTCAGAACCTCACAGCAATGTTCCAACATCTGGTGTAAAGCCTAACCAGGAGAGTAAAGGCTGTTACTGCAGCAAAGGGGGGCAAGCTCCCTATTAAAACACTTGATTTTAGAAGAAACTCTTTGTCACTTTGTCACATTGAGTTAGTTTTTCATCTTGTCAGTTTCCTGAGCCACAATGGCAAACGTGAGATTCTTAAAGTGAACGTTTCTGTAAACAGTTGCGCTAACTAGCCAGCTAATGCTAACAGCTGTTTAAAAGACTGCTTGAGCTATTTATTTCTGGGCATTAGCCTGCTCTTCTCATGATTTAGCTAGATTCATTTCCTCCTTGCTTGATGCTCACTTGATTTTACACAAAGCTCAGATTTAACTGGAAACCAAAAGATGAAAATGATGACAGAGCGTGAGACTGAGACGCCGTCTGCAGTGAGCTTCTTGTGCTTCTAGGACAGGATGAGTGACACATTAAGCATGCTAACGGTCATGGCTACTCAAGCATTCATTTTCAAAGGCTTAACATTCACACAACAGAAAAACAAAACACAAATATATAGTAAAGAACTCCACATATAGAAATACAAAAGTAGTGCAATGACAGCTGAAAAAATATAGCCTACAAATTTTTTATAGTGAGGTTATAGAGTTATATCAAAAATACGAGCTGCTGATTTGGTAAACTAGTGGAATTATTGGATGTGTTGCATGAAACGTTTTTGAACTGTTGTATCTGCCAAGTTGCATGGAAATGATGTGGCTGGCAACTCAAAGTTTTACCAAGTAAAGCTAGCCTTAGCAAGCTTTCTGTGGGCTAATAATGTGTCTTCAGTAGCATGAATTCGCTAAGCTAACAGACTCTTTATGTTTAAATCTTTATTGAAGGAGTTTATATCCAAACTGCACCATCCAACATAAAGAAGTTACCTAAATGTCTGTTATGAGCTTTGAATGTCTGAGTTTAATCTCGAGAGCTTCTATAAAATGCAAACATTAAACATAGTTAGCTTGATGCTAACATAAAGTTAAAATCACCATTACCAGGCTAGCAGAAATTAGCATTATCGTAGTGTTGGCAAAACGAGTGAACAAAGCTACTTCCAAAGCAAATTAATAGGTTTCTAGATCAAACCTTGCTGTATAAACATGTGTAGCTGGCACATGCTCAAAATTTAGTGACTGTGCTTGGTCTTTTAGCGTAAACACGCTGAAAAAGCTGATGTGGCCTCACTACATTGTGCTCTGTGGCAGCCATTATTGTGCTCTTCACCCCCACACAATGTCCATACCCTTTACCCCACCCCTTCTGGCAGAAACCAATCAGAGCCATGATCATTAGCATATCAAATCAACACCCAAGAAACAAGCTGCAGTAATTCTGCATATATGATAACAATATCTCAAAGAGATGATTAATAAAGCACACCAAACACAAAGGTATAGTCTCAGATTCAACATTTTTATTAAAGTGCTGGAGTGTATTGGTTGGTTATTTAAGAAAAAGTGTCCTATTTGTACATTTTCAAGGTATGAAAATGGAATGAACGTCTCTTGTTGCTACTCATACATAAGTTTTATGACTTGGTCTGACGTGTCTGCCTAGCTAATGACCTACAGTGTAAAAATAGCCTCATGGCTCTTACAATCTCTTCCCACATCTGCATGCTGAAACAATTAAGAGGTCAACACTGACTTGATTACAGTGCAAAATAATGAAATTATTGATAAGCCAAGCTGAGTAAGTGTCAGTGATTGATTGATCAACTGTTTTGGTCTTTTGATTATAGTTGTTTGATGTCGCCAAACAATCTGAGTTAACGTTAAATTTGAAGGCATTATTGGAATTTAAGATTTGGGGAGTTCTGTTCAATTTGTATGATTTGATAGTGCAGTTTGAGACAAAGTTCACAGATTATCCATTATCCATGTTTTCAGTGATAATTTTAAAGTGATTGTTGGCTGACCATGGATAGGTTTCCTGAAATCATCTTAGCAAAAAGTTTATTTTTAAATGGTAGAGTGAGAATCACACTGAACGCTCTCTCTACCTGTTATCTTGGGCAAAATGGGCCTTATTTGATTAATCCTGAGTAAGCACACTGACTTAACTAATACAATTTAAATTCTTGTTTTTATTGACAGGAATGGACATTGTATAAAAGACTGTTTTAAACAATTAATCAACGTAGATGTGCGTTCATAATAGTACATACATTTCACCAGCTATGGACCCCACATTCATAAGTTCATAGCACTTGTAAACACAGCTGTGAAGCACTAACACTTCTGTAAACATGACTGTACTCTTCTACATGACAGAACATATATGATAGCTCTACAGAGTAGACGAATACACAGCTCTATAGGAAAAGTATTGAAATGTTTTTCGCTTCTCTTGGAAAGTGTCCTTATTTCCCAGTGGTTTTTAGCCTCACAGTCATTTTTTGTGTGCATTAGCGCAAGTTAGAGAGTGCAATGTCCTGCATTTGCCTAACAACCCGTCTTCTAGTAGTGGTAAGCGTGACCTTTGGCCTAAATCCACAGTGGGTTATCTTTACTGGTCTTTTTTCTTCTCAGTCCATGTTTAAGATAAAACTTAATCCCATACCGTCTTCTGAGTCTTCTCCCACCACCACAGAGGATTTCCACACACCCGTATTGTCCTCTCCGGGGAGTAATCAGATTCAAAGTGAGAATACGTTATCCTTCATATCTTTTTAAGGCCTTCTTTGTGCAGCGGCAGCTCAAAATGGCGACTCCCACGACTGCTGCGCTCTTGTCATGGCTCTCTTGATTTGCTCGTAGGAGACAAACATCACAATGTTCCAGGATCCCAGACGTAGAAACGAGGGCATAAACCTGGGTGGGGACAGAGAAGCAAACACCATTATTTATTTAATCGATGGCTTAATAAAGAATGCTTTATATAACAAAGATGTGAGTCATGTTTGAAGCCATAGAACAGTCACTGTACCACACACATTAATTATGTGTTAATGCGTAAGTTATTAAAAACAGGCATGTTAATAGATTTGATTATTATTTTGCTTGGCAACCATTGCCAACTGTTAATACTGTTGCTAACTGTTAACTACATTATTAATTTATTGCGACTACTATTAATAACATATTATTGAACGTTGGTATACTGTATCATAATGCATTCTGCTGTTTTATGAACGCTATAAGTCATCTGAAGCAGAACATTACAGAACATGACACAGTTGGGAGACTTCTATTCAGTTTGGCCAAACTCCTTAACTATGTTTAAATCTTAGTTAGTGATAATTTTAGCTCTAAATGTCGATTGGCCGAACCACATTTGAAGCCATTGTAAAATACAAAATACTCTGTATAAATGCACAACTGCCTCACAACTAGTGCATTCTGTATTAATGCTCCAAGTCACTAAAAGCTATTGTGCTGTGAATTTTTGCTCTCATGGAACAAATGAGCTGATAAATGATGTACAAACCTGGTTTTGTTTAGTCTGAGTTGCTGAGTAACAACTTTTTTCTTAACAACTAGGCTAAAAGATAGCAGGCTAAACAGGCTAAAAGGGCTCTCCATTAATATTCAGTGTTGGGCTTTGAATTGAAGTATTTTCTAAAAACTTCAACATAAAAAGTAAAGAATATGTTACTTGAATGTCTTACATGCTCAGTATTTTGGAAGATCAGCACTAAACCAAGCATGGGAAATATGTGGCACTGCATTGAGACACTAGTGGAAATTAGTCTTATCGCTGTGGTGGTAATTTTGTGAGCAAAACTATGTATAAAGCGAAGGTTTCTATATTAAACACTGTTGTATTATGATTTTAAAAATTGAATTGCTACATTGGGGAACAAACATTTGAAAAAATTGATGAAATGACTGGAATATATATACGATGGGTGAATGAAAGTTCTCGTTCTCTTTCAGAAGTCTGTGGTTGATTAAATATTTTATCGAAAATTTGAGTATTTTGTCATATTTTATTTTGTTGCCATAAAAGCAATAAGCCACCTGAGACCATGTGTTAGTGATTTTTACCATGGTGCAAAGCTTAACCCTTAAATATATTCCAACAAAAAATCTAAAAATATTGTCTATTTTTTTTTACATTGTCAATAAATTTTTTGAAAGTTTTACACAATCTCAGCACTATAGATTGATTTGTTTAAGATACGCCATTGTATATATGAACAACTAATGAGTTTAAGGGTTAGTGCTTCTCCTAAAAGACATATGGATGTAAAATCCAAAATTTTCTCACCCCTTGTAGAAGGCTGTTGGTCCTTCTTTGGTCAGCATGGTGATGGCACAGTTAATGGCACTGCTGTACTGCCCTGGAGAGGAGTTCATGAAGCGGGTTTTCACCACATCCACTGGAGAGGCCACGACGGTGGTGCAGAAACCCGCTCCAAACGCAGCCGTGAAGTGGCAGGGTAGGTTATCTGAGGGGAAATTGGCAAACGGAACAAAATAAGACGCTGTCTCTTCTGGCAGGCAGTGCACCTGAAGACTATTTCCAAGGTTACTTGTATGTTTCATACCTGTCATTAGATCGTACTTCAGGATCAGCTCCTTAATGATGTCATAGGTGACCAGCTCAGCGCAGTTGACGATGGCATTTCGGGTGATATTCGGCATGCAGCCTGAAACACAATCATTTTCCCACCGTCACGCTGCTGTTGTAATATTGGGGCAGGTTTACTAAAATTAACAACAGTCTACTGGCTTATTTACTAAGAACTTCCATGCACTTGAACAAAGGTACAGGTTGTTGCAGCACTTGCAGTTTGCGATGGCACAAAATGTTAGTAAATCTGCCATAATCTTGTAATTTGGTGTCCAGTGGAAGCTAACAATAAGCGTTATTACTCACCTTTCCACAGTCCTTTGACACCTTCATCGCGAGCGATGGTCCGGTAGGCATCCAGTGTGCCATTATATCTCCTCACTCCATCAGCTACACGTGCTTGGGCCTGGAAGCGCACCTTCACAACATCTGTAGGCTGTGCAAACGCCACGGCCATGGCCCCCGTCGTACAACCAGCCAGCAACCGACTCACAATGCTTGCATCTGGACAAAGTGTACAGAGAAAATCGTGAATGCTCTTATCTTGAAAAGCCATTTTAGTGTTTAAGGTCTTCAGTAGAACGCTCACTTTCAGATCCTCGGGTGTAGAACTGCTTCATAGAGTCATAGAGGCCAATGCGGACTGAGGCGAAGCTCATTTGTCTCTGCAGTCCAGCCACTAGACCGTTGTAGAGACTCCGCGGGCCCTCGGTGCGCACCATGGTGTTGATGGTGCCAAACACACCCCGATATTTCACTCCCACTGCTCCTTCTGCTGCTTTGGCCTCTCCCTGGATCTAAAACCGGCAGAAACCAAACCATAATAAGATGGCTTACCGAGAGAGCTCTGGACAATTGCATGCATTTATGAAGTAATCAGTCATTATTCATTTAATTACTTCGGAGAAGTCCAGCTGGTTCTTACCTGAAGCCTCACTTTGGCCGTATCCAGGGGAAAGGTCACCAAGTCAGCGATACATGCCGCTGTTCCAGCGCCAAAGAACTTCACTGCGGCTGTTGGGGCCAAGTCTGTGGGCTTGATTCCAACCATCTCTGCTTCTTCTGTGAGCTCAAAAGTTGCAGTATCTTATTTGTTAAATGTTGTTTTGGAGCAGCTTATGTAATTACCTGTGGAAAGCGGACAATGAGTGAAAACCGGTAAGACAAGAGTATTAATAGCACCTATAGCACTGATTCTGAAGGAGACACAACAGGGAAACAGACTGTGTACACGTTTTGCCTTAGACACTACCAAGAATCTAGAGGTAGATCTTTTTTCATGTGAGATAACAAGAGAGAAATCTTGTAACATGTACCTCAGGTCTTTTCAACGGGGATTCTTCTTTGTTGTGTCAGTTGTTTTCCATTTGAGATGTCTTTGGCCATAAAAACTATGGAATTTGGATTAATATCCCGAAGTAGCATACCACTGTAGGCGACGAAAGGAGAATGTTTAGAAAAAGTTTGCCGGACTCCAATGTAGGCAGACGCTCTAATGGAAATATGACCAACAAGCACCTGTTATTACTACTAGACTCCCATTTTTCAAAAGTATCGCCAGTTTATTTACCTTGTTGTACAAATCTCCGATTCCAAATTCCGTCTGGAAAAATGATAGAAGGTTAGCCTATATTCCCGCAGGAAGTATTCCAAAGAGCCACTGGTTGAGGTTACAGACTTCTGGCGAGCTGTCACACGACTCCTCCAATTTATAGGCGCACCGGCGGGCAGCCGCTCAGGTTGTTCCCACTGTGTTGCTTTGCTCTAAGATTAACTCTACTGTTTACGTCATGCCAGTGTATGGCAGGCTGTTTACTAGCTCTAGTTCTGCACACAAGAAGCTAAACAAGCTACTGGGGTTTCTATGTTCTCTTAACATGATGTCAATGTTGTTTACACTATTTTAATTCAAGTGTTCTTCTCTCAGACATCAGGCAGTGTATGCATAACCATTCATAACTTTCTGTGAGGGAGCTTTTAGAAGCATTAAACTCTTCAGACGTCTGGTTCCTATCACCACCACTGTGAACAATTCTGACTCGGCAGGTTTCTCTAGAAGCGAGCATTTTACATCAAACCACTGACCTTTAATTTATGAACGACTTTGTTTACATCTTAAATATTATACAATGCAGAAATTTTGAATAATCTATGGAATTCCTCTTTAATTTCTCAAATTAGATGGAAAGTAATATAGGCGGCCTACCTGTCAGAGTTGAATCAGGAACAATATACAAAAACGTATGTTACAGTATAATTAAAATTTCAGTTTTGGTTTATATCTCTGTATTTTTTATTTAAACCATTTTAGATGCTTAAGTAAACCTAATTTTGGAGTTTAACAGTGGCTTATTGTTCTGTTATTCTTAGATGTCTCTTCACATTTTAATAAGAATCATTTTTAGCAACTGAAGTAAATAATGTCAATACTTCTTTCTGACAGCTGTGGGCTTGGCCAAAACTAAATGTTGCTTCACGTTAAATTTCTGCAAGGCTGAATTTGGCTTCTTATTCTTCTGCTTTTTTTTTTTCTGTTCCACCTTAAACAAAGCAGCAGTTACATGCTGGCATCTGTACAGGCACCTGAATGTACAGTTTATGGTGGAATGGGAACTTTGAATAAGAAGCCAACTTTTAGATAATTCACTTATATCCTCAGAAGATGGCTTTCAACAAGTTTTGCCTGAGCTCTCTTTGAATACTCTTTCAATGTGCTTGCAGTCGTCAGATTCATCTGCTCGGGCAACCTTACAAAATGTTCTTGTGCTGGTTGCGTGCTATTGCACATTTCCACTAGAGAGGTCTCCAAATCCCCAAAGCTTTCAAAGTGTAGCTTCTGATAATTTCCATTTAAATTAAATTCATTTCATTAATCTAATTTTGTCTTTGCTTTGACTTACTTTTGTCGATAACTGTGTTGATGCAATATATTTTATTTGTGTGGAAATTTGAATAAGAACTTTTATATAATTCACTTACATCTTTGGAAGACACATCCTTCACCAAATTTGACTGAGTTCTCCTTAAATGCTCTTTCAACGCTCTCACAGTCATCCAATTCCTCCCCTCTGGGAAGGGGTCTGAAGCACTATCTTACAAAAACAACCAGCCTTCTGCATGTTGCATGCAATTACACATTTCCACCAGAGAGGTCTCCAAATCCCCAAAGTTTACATAGTGTAGCTTCAGGTAATTTATATATGAATTAAATTTATTTCTTCAATCTAATTTTGCCTCTGCATTGACTTACTTTTAGCAATAACTGTGTTGATGATATATATATCATTGATGTGCAAATGATATACACATATGAATCAAGTCAATTCAATGCACCTTTTCACCCTTTTGAAGACCCATCTGGAAGGCTGGAATTTCACACCAAACAAGATCTTGTTGGCTCGAGGGTTTGCAGAGGCTTATTTGCCTATCCTGTCTGGGAGGGGGGCTCTCTCATAGCAGCTCTTTTTTTATCTTTAGCATTTTTTATATTTGGTGGGTGCGTTGAAATGATTGCAGTAACTTCAGTGAAGCTCATAATTCCTTTGATTGATTTTGCATACATTACACTGAGAGCACGCACTTAGACAATAGTCTGAGAGCTTTTACTGACCCAACCCAGGCATTCTTTGACTTCCTCTTGACATAGATTGATACTAACCGAAAGCATGAGCTTGCCTACCACTTTCACTGCATTCAATTTCACGTTATACCTGTTTTTGCAGAGATTATCAGAAAAAAAGGAGAGGAAACAATGTGCACCCGGCCCTCATGCTCCTCCTCGAACCCATAAAAGTTGAGTAATGCCTCAGTCCCAGGAACACCATGCATGTGAGCCAATCCATAGATGGCATAGGGGTGGGTGTGCATGCAAGGCATCTGCACGCAATCAGTCAGGAGCCTCTGCAGGCTGGATTTGTCTGGTTCAAAAGACCCCCATTAGCCATGGGGAGGAGGGGGGGGGGCAATAAACATTGAAATGACTGGCCTCAAGTCTGGGTTCAAGACGTTCTCACATCGCTCAGACTGCCTCACAGCTCACCCCTCTGCCTGCTGACTTCTGAAGTGCTTTCCTTCTCACTAAGAAGCCACTTGCATGCTCAAACTGCCATTTGTGCTCAACCTGTTTTTGTTTTTCTTTCATTGCATGGTGATTTTATATAATGCCACCACACATTAACTCACGTGAACACCTCGAAGGAACTGAGAGACGGTGGAATGTGTGGTTCCTTGCTTAGAGCAAATGAAGTTCCTTATGAACACCTGCATTCTCAGTGTTTGCCCAAAGGGGTTCTTTGAAGCAATGTTTTAGAAGAATCACTTTCATTTCCATGAAGAACCTTACAATGAGAAGTTTGAGTGGAAAGGACCTTTTTAAAATTTAAAGACACTTCTACACTCAAAAGATGGTTCTTCAAAGGTTATTTAGTAAGGACAATGGTTGTCCTTAGAACCATGATCTTTCAAAGAACCATTTGAATGCTTGAAATGGTTCTTTGCATGGTGAAATTGTTCTTTAGATTGATGGAGAATGTGTTGTATATGGTTCTATATAGAACTTTTTTTTGTTACAACAGAAGAACATTTTTTGGTGTGATATAGAACCACATACAACACATTCTCCATCAATCTGAAGAACTATTTCACTATGCAAAGAACCACCTATGCATGAAATGGTTCTTTGAGTGTTCTTGGTTTTAAATAGACTTATTATCTTTATGAAAGAGAATTTTGATTTTGAGACATTCAGAGGGTCTAAGAGGTTAATTAAGGGGTCCTGGACCCTTCAGGACCCCCTGTATTTCGCAGCTTGGTGCTGGTCATTTGTGTAGAAAGTGAATTATTATCCTTGGGGAAACTAACTTGTCTGTTTTTTTTTATTAATTGTGAACGTTTTAAAGGTCCTATGGAATAAAAATATAAGGTCTTTAAATGTCTAAAAATGTTGTATTTGTAACTAATAGAGGTATTCAGTTCCAAGACGATGCCTTAAGACTGGGTTAAAAATAATTCTACACATTAAGCTTATTATAATATCCAGCTGACAGCAGCCCTGTGGTCAGAAACAGCGAGAGCGAGAACTGATAACAATGTCAAAGGTCCTGAAAAGACCATGCAAGGAAAAGAGAGAGCAGTAAGTGGAGCTGGCTAGATAGGGAAGCTATAGGAAAACTGAGAAGAGGCCTATGGAAGTGACAATGACACAAAAGTCAGAGACTTAATACACTGAAAAAAAGGTGTGTAACTCAAGAGCGTCAAGCGGTTGAACTTATACACAAAGAAAACATCACACATCAACACAATTCCTTTCTTTAGGTTTGTTTTGGCAACAATTATGTTTGCATAAGACATTATATTTATGTGCAACTGCTTGACACATTATAATCATGTCAGTTTAAAGCACTATTTTTACAGTGTATAACATTTTAAAATGCTTTCAGTTGTTCAAAATAATCTGCAGGGATATTTTTCTTCCTCCAAAGTTCAGTCATAGATGTTGGTTGATTATTTTTTGAAGTAATCAAACACATTCAGTGATGTTGAGGTCTGGACTCTGGGGTGGTCAGTCCATTGTTCAGCTTCTTTGTTTGATGTGTCTGTCTTCTTTTCTCAGTGAGGCTTCCTGACAGCTAGACATGCTTTCAGACTCATAGCGCTGAGTTGTCTTCTCACAGTGGAAGGATGGCTGTGGATTTTTTCAGATCTGAATTAAGAGTGGAGATGGGGACAGTTTTGGTGGTCTTGCATGGTTGTTAAGTGTCCCATTTTCTTGGTATCTTTTTGCTTATTCACTTATTTTCCTCTGACTTTCCTCTTTCTTATCTAATCTCCTCCTGAAAAAATGAATAACTTGCAGTCTGTTTAGACTGGAAAGTCAATAAGTGAAGGGTGGTCTCTGACTTTTCCACAGCACTTTACATGTTTGATTTTCAACCCTTCTATTTGAATAAAATACATGCAGTGTGCGGTGGCATTGTTTTTCCTTTCTTATGGTCTTTAAAAGATATTTAACAGCACTGAATTTGATTCAAATTGTGCAGCAACCCTGACTCAGTGTGACGGATCAGATCTAATGGTGAAGATGTGATCCGTATGGATTAGTCAAGCTTTAGGTTTATTAGCTGAAAGATCACCACAGGCCCTGAACTAAAGCACACAGCAGGAGGCTCTCATGTCCACAGTGACCTTTCAGCTCTGGACCCGAATAGAAGCACAAACGAATGTTATGTAACTGGGTCATTACCATATTTTGCTAAATAGTTTCCAGCAGGAGCGTTTAGGGGGCGTTTATGTTGAGGTGGAAGGGTCTTCATATGTAACAGAGAGGTCCTCAGACTTCTCAGAATGGCCCATCAGGCATCTGGGTACAAAACAGCATGAGGATTTAACCTGCTACTCACACAAAGCTGTGGAAAAATAAAAAGATGACTCCTAAAAATATAAAAAAATTTTTAACCCTAATTAGACACAGAATAATCTGAATATGTAGCATATTTCTTTTTTCCAGATTTAATTCAGATTTAAATATTCTTAAATACTTCTTTAAAAAACATATACACTGTCAAAAAAGATGGTTCTATCAGGGTTTTTTGCTAAAGACAATGGTTCTATATAGAACCATGAACACTCTAAGAACCATTTGTATGCCTAAAGGGTTCCTTCTGTGATGAAATGGCTCTTGAGATAGATGGAGAATGTGTCGTATATGGTTCTATATAGCACTAAAAAGCTTTTTC